TGTAAAACCATAGGAGGGTTAACAGTTATTTTAAAACTGTTGCTTGTTGGAAACAAGTTGAAATGCACATCAAATTAGGACAGCAGGCAAATGCCACCAATGCAGCAAATGCCGGCAATATACAGTGTATGTATGGCTGACTGTCACTTTCCCTGTGTCAAAAGTAAACTCTTAACGAAACTTCTTAACGAAAATACTGGCTGGAATGGAGTGCGGATGACTTGTGCATGGCGAAATTACATTAAAGATGACAAGCTTGTCAGTCAAAACAAAAATGTGTGGAAACTGATACCCAAGTTTGATAGCACTTTTACGTCTTTATGACTGGGACACTGCTGGGATCAAGGCATCCTGAGGTTATACCGAAGCGTGGGCTTTTCACTTTTTCTGATTAAGAATAAGAAATTTTTATGCAATGCCTGAATATATCCATATCCCCTGATTAGTTGTTGATTGCTCGACTTTAACTTATTCGGTCCATTGCAAGTGCTTTGCTCACAATAGAAATAGATGTTCCACTCTGCTACATGTATGTCTGGTTGGGTACCATCCAGTTCCAAATTACAAGGTTTTATACTGTCCCATCCTGTGTCAATTAATGATTAACACCTCCTATCATTCATTTTGAGGTCCTGTGTGTTGCTCATCAACTACTGAACTACTTGAAGTGCAGATGAATCATTAGAGATATTTTAAACCACCCTTTTGCGTGTGTATATCAGAAATCATTAATTTAGTTAAGAATTCCATAAGTTTAGGGAAATTTTGGAGAAACACTGAGGAATATCCATGCATGTGTTTACTTTAAGATTCCACTCAATATAGACCTTGAGCCATTTTGTTGTACTTCACAAAGTGGTGGTACAACATTTTAAATCACCTGACTATTACCACATCCCCCATCCATGCCCCACCCCCAGTGGAAGAGTCTCCAATTTTAACCAACTGTATCATAAGCGTAGGTGTGTGTTCTGTGAGACAAAAAAAATAGGTGGGAATTTTGATCATCCAGCCCAAACCGTGCTAAATCTAGGAAGTCAACCAACTTGGCAAACTTGCTGGATTGAAGGATTCACCCCCCCACCTTACTAGCCTCCCTTGGATTGGGTAGGCTACCTCGAGGGATGGTCAGTCAACATGGACTCGAGTACATTGTACAGGAACAGTTCAGTATTATTGTACAGTATTTTCTTTGTACATACGCCTAGTCTAATCGCTGATGGGTAGGAGGTAGGTGGTGCTTGTTCATGCACTGATTGAGCGTACTATCACTACAGTGTGTGGACTTGACCTGTTTATTGGAGACAGCACCATTCAGCCCACACATGAGAACCGATGAAGGGACACGCACATGTACATTCTGCGTTGTCTGTACCAGTGTGGCATAGTGTATTCCATCAGGTGAATTGAAAATGCACAGAACATAGGTATTTTTACATGAATACAAAAACTAAACCAGCAACCAGAACTTAGGCCTCGGCTTGTCTTACCAAAGTAGGTGGGATTTTTTTTGGGGGGTCTTGTTTCTGCATAAAGTCTAATGGTGTGTAGTTACAAGTTAGCAGTCACAAATTTAAACGTGACTCCATTTGTCATTCATTGAGACATTGTGTGACATTTTTGCACGTGAATTTTTGAATTCAAATCGAATTGCTGAGCTGTGTAAATATGTTTTAGTACAGACAAGTAAATGTTCATGTATTCACATCACTCATACGTGTGCCCTCAAACTAATGAATGTTACCTTTGGAGAACCTACCCGTACTTTATGCTTCCACAAGCAACAGTCAGTTAAGGGGCTTGGTCAAAACATTGAAAGCAACTCTCCCTATCCGTCGCTTTTTATTTCCTGTGGTTTTGTAGCATCACGGCTGCTTTAGTGTTGCAGGCCTCTGATACCATAACTCTGCCTTAGGTTCTAATTTGGCCTTCAAGTGTCTTGTAATAAAGCATCATGTTGAATTTAGGACAGTTTTTAGTTTAAAATGCATCACCTTGGAAACAATGCCCAGATGACAGTCCAACTGTGTCAAACCGGTACAGGGGAAAGGATTTTATTGAAGGATTATACAGTTGCTCCCTTGAAATGTTTTCTTTGAAAGAGAGAGAGATGCTTCAGAGATAAGTCTTGCACATATAGTTCAGCAAGTACATGTACATGTATATCATACCTGCTGCATTCTGAATTCCCTTCAGCCTCAGTGCAGTGTCTGCATTTGGTCGGTGCAAGAACCTCATGAGATCACATCTGTATGAGCAGGGCAGGGCAGCAGCCTTGCCGCTCGAGTAATCCTAGCTCTGTGAATTAAACCAGTCCCTGTTTGTGTTAGGCAGCACGGGCTCGTACAACAGGCCAGCAAGTCTGATCAGTGATCATTGGTCAATCAGTGGTTCATTTTGCCTTTCAAAAATGCTCTCTGGGTACCAGACCAAATCGACAGTGGTTGACTCAGTGCGAGCTGACCAAACTTAGCAATGGTGTGCCACTCCGATATTTGAGTATGTGTATGTCTCTATATACTTCTGTACATACTTCTGCTTGTACATACATCACACAATCCTGACATGTATAGCTGTTGCATCACCCAGTCACCCTGTAGCTAAAGCTTACCCATTGACTTGATGAGCAAGTAGTACGGTGCCACTGTTGCGTATTACAGGCTGTGATGCTTTTGATCTCACCACGTGTGTTGTGTGTTCTTTTTAAAGTATTTCATGAATTCTGCAGCATTCATGTCACAAATCCAAATTACACACAAACATTTCTCAATATGTGCATTTTTTATGTTGCAGTGTTTGTGAATCCCATTTAATATGGCATAAACGGTACAGGGTTTTTGCCTTTGGCACGGCCGGAAATTACGCCATTTTAAGAGATATTAAAATGAATCCCAACATGTTAAATTCAAACTGTTCGAAACTTAATCTTGTAAAAATAAGTTTAAACAGAAAATAAGAGGCCGTCTTCTAAGCTGTGCAGTTTGGGGTCAGGCGGCCTGCAAATTTTACTCTGTCGAAAGAGTTAATCTGTAGTGGCTTCATGCTGCAGACTTGCACGCAGCTGTTACTCTATTCAGTCAGTATGTACAGAAATCATGTTCCAGTTATATGCGCGTGAGACAGTAAACTATTACAAAATCAGAAGGGGCATGACCAAAGCAAGGAGATATATATTGTGTCAGATCTGAGAGTCAGCGAATTGAGAGATGGGAAAAGGCTTAGGGGTTTAACCTTGAGGAGACGAGTTAGACTGAAATGAGTGTACTTGATGATGACCACACTAACATTTTTGAAGACGAGAAAGTATTTACCTGAAGCATATGCAAAGTTTGGCCAAGAGTGTTCGCTTTGAATGTATCTGGTGTGTATAACAGTTGCTATTGTCTTCGACTTTTTGAACTCAGAAGGATTATTTCGATATCCTAGTGTAACAGTGCCGTCTCAGATCTGGATCTGCATGGTCACAGGGGTTGCGGTGGACCTGGGACTGTACAGCCCTCCCACCGTGACTCTTAGTTTGGGGTTTTATTGTTTGGTTTTTCCCGGTCTTTTGTTTTTTGGTTCTTTTGTTTGTTTTATTAGAAGAACACAGAGCTGTGCTATTAGTCAACCACACAGTCTTGGACTTTTGGCCGATTCTTAAAGCTATTCGTTAAAAAACCCAACTTGTGAGTTATGATTGATTTACTGCAGCCCTTTCTGTCCCACAGCAGAATACGAGATCACAAGTTATTTGCAGAAAAAAAAAAGAGAACAGAAATTCATGTTGCGCCAAAAAGTCCAGATGTGGCACAACAGTTCAACTTGGGAAGGTCTATATAAATTCACGTTAGTTGCGAAGGTGTTACTCGCCATGCATGAAACTCCATTTGTTTCTGAAGTAGTGGAACGTCAGTATTCTGTCGTTAACTGTTTCCTGTTTGGTTTTGGAAATGCCTCAAATGAAAACACGCCAGATGCAGAAATTTGTGTTAAGTTCTGCAGATACGGTTGTAAATTTAGATTTTATGTTGCTACCTCTGTCATATAACTAGATACTAATTTGGTTTCATGTTCATTGTAACTATGTCACCGCCTTAGGCTCTCGGTACATTTCAGGAAAACGTGCTAGACCTGTGAGTTATCCAAGTAGCATGTCGTTCTGGTTATGCAGTTAGAAATTTTTTTGTAGTGGTTGGAATGCATTTTGTTACTATGTGTTAAGATTTCACGAACACCTTAAGTGGCACAAGATTATTTGCTGTTGTTTTTGCCTCTCTCATAAAATGTAAAAAGGAAGTGTAAAAAAAGTCCCTGTTCCGCCAGATAGTTCATTCTTTGATGGAAATAAACCACATTTGTAGCAAATCTGAATTGTTTGTAGTATATGCAGGTGCTAGTTGATCAAAATCTTCATTGGAAGGGGTGCCAAAATTAGGAGAAGGTGAAAGAGGATGTTTTTGTTTAATATGTTTTAGTCAGTACCCTGAGCGAACTAGCTTTCGGGGGGTGCTTATTTTCTGCAGCATGCCAAGCCCTATGGGGACGAGGGTCCAGGATGTTCAACCCTGAAAAGGTCTACAAGTTAGAGATGCAATGCCTTCAGTGTTGAGGCTTTTTAACATTTAATGACCCTGGACTCAATGTTTTCATCCAGTTCGCCGTGTACAGTTATTACAACATTATTAAGCTGAGGGGGGGGGGAATGCAACTCTCCAATCGTCCCCGGGCCTTTACCCATTAACAGAAACTACAACTGATATTCAGACACTTGACATAATAAGCAAGAGGTCGTGTGTCAACGTTAACCATTTTTCCCCTGAAATCAGTCAGCAAACCGTGCTAATATTTCTAGATTGAGTAAGAAAAATTTTCAATATACTTATGTATTCCCCCGCCCCTATCTGAAGCCCCCCCTCCCTATTCTTCTTACCTCCCTGACAACTGCACCTTCACCAGTGCGAGACAACGTCCTTGATTGATAACGCCATGACATACAATCAGACAGTCCCAACCAAGCAGCGCCGATTGTTATCGGTTGTTATGAGGCATATTGTCATTAAATTTTGTGCCCCTAATGCAATGTTTTCCTTTACCAGTGCGTTTTCATTATTATTCAGTTACGGAAGGATGTTTTAATTATGAAAAAAGTTGCATTCTTTGGTCCATTTATAGTGAAATCCGTGTTTTTGTCTCACGGTGGTTTTGGAGAATTAGTTCACTGACTTTTCGGAACACACTCACATATAATTCCGTGTGTTTGAATGCACTTTTGCCACATTCATCCTTCATTCCTTAAATATGGTTCACTGATTGAATGGGAGGTTTTATGGTTAAATAAAGTTTTTTATAGAAGAAACATTATAGAACAAAACATTTTGTTCCTTAAGACTCGGTACATCGTTCCCCGCTCTCACACTAGTCTTGGTTAGTCTAATTTGGATAACGGTCTGGGTTTTGTGTTTTCTTATCGGAAGCTGTTGGTTTTAGGATTTAGCCCCAATGGAGAGAATTACCTGCATGTAAAGAGTTAACGTCATCACAATGGATGTTATCATACCGCATTGTTTACAAGGTGGAGATTAATCGGCCCAATTCTGCATCACAGTGCATTTCCTTTGATGTTAAATAACATGCAGATAATGACAGCTTCATGGTGACACCAATTTTCCCTTACATCTTCAAGTGAAGGGTACTCAAAGTGCAAAAGGGTCCTATTTTCTGAGCCTGAACCGTGACGTGGCAGAATATTCTGCATTGGATGAAAGGTCTTGTGATCCCCATCATTACGTGCATATTGTAGGAATGTTCTCAATTTTGCCAGCCCATTTTTCAGCCAATCAACCAACTTTTAATGCCTCTGATATTTGAATCGTGGGCTGGGGCAGTCAGGGCACGACTGGTGGACATCGTTCCCCAGCTACCGTGAAGATTAGGTGATGAGTGGCCGTCTGTAAACGGTTGGAATTAGGACTGTCCTCTTGAAAATGTTCCGAGCAACCGACGAACGCGTCGCCCATGATACAATGCCAGTGTAATCGTGTGAAACTGTTACAAAACATTATTTATTCAGGGAGATACAAGTCACTTTAACCTCTGGAATACATCCTTGGTGGCAACCACTTCATGATAGAAAAAAAATCACGTCGATTTGGAAAATCTTTCCAGGCCTTAATTTTGTCTTCAGGCCGTACTGCCAATTTTAGTCACTCATATCTTTAACTGGAACATCTGATAGCAGGTAACATCAATTATATTTATGGGAATCGTTAAAACTTACCCAGAAATCATCCGGTCAAATTATAACCCAAACAACTCCAGACACATAAAAGATCATGAAAAACGCGTGTTTTAATATCCTCGAAAAATTTGACAAGAACGATATGACTATTGTCTATAATCGGACATCCAAATTAATATTTTTCAGTTTTGTGAAAATGAGGAATTAAAGTTTCAATACACAGTTCCAATGACATGATTATGTCCTTGTGATGAACCCCGCAATGGAATGGCTTTTATCGCAATCCTTTCTGGGCTCCAAAGGTTGACTTCAAACACTTTGATAAACACGGTCCCGGCAATGTTCGTCTGACAGTGTGATGTCCCGTTACCAATTGTTATATTATAAAAGGAATATCATCTAGGAGAAGCTTAAATTTTGAATTGTATAGACCTAATGTAGGCCTACTTCGTTTTTTCCCAAGTCAGTTGACAGATCGGAGGGGGAGGATGTCCGTATCCCCTTCAAAGAGGATTTTTTTTCGTAGTGTAATGAAAAGATAATTTGTTTTCGCTATTTTCGTTCCAAAATTTCTTGCCTAGAATGCATGAAAAACACCCCCCCCCTGTTTAGCCTCACCCCTCTGGCAGGCCTTAAGTGTTGCATTTAAAAAAAAAATGGCCTTCCAAAAAGTCTGGCCCCAAATATTTTGGTTCTTGATCCTCCCTAGCAGTAAAAGATGGTTTCTTCGTTTTGTTCTGGTTTGTTTTCTTTTCATTTTCAATATCTTCTCTCGTTCTCCATTCATTGCCGGACAGTCTGAAAGAAAGCACGCACGAATTCATTAGGTAACTCAATAATTTTGCGCCACCAGCGAATTTGGGGGGACCAAGTGACGTTCAATAAAATTACGTTTGGCAAACAAATTCTGACGAGTGTTTACAGGCACAGTATTGATCATTTCAAGCAGAAGCTGCAAAAAATGCACCCAACTGAGGCCAAGCCAGATTCGTCGCAAATATGGCACCTTCAACGTGTTATCATGTACCACAACGAGGTCCATTATCAAACGGCATCTGGGCTACAGGGCCGGACCGCTGATACCAGCCCCGGGGTACAATTATTTTAGAATAAACACTCAGTGTTAAATTAGCGTACTTATTTTGATTTCCATCGCCATTTCGAACAATGGACACTCCATACTAATGATACCCGCGCTATATTTAGTCTTTTATGTACCAAAAAAAAAACCACTATTGGAAAAGACACTCGTAGTACAAATGAGACAACTATATAGCTAAAAATAACCAACGCAAACTAATCTAAACATAAGACTTGACATGAGTTTATCTGATTGTTTGTACCTCCCAATTATCTCATTCTGTGTACAGCGTATTGAGTCTCGCATTGACCTCCGTCCGTGCTGTCTAAGTTGTAGCACTGAAAACAAAGGCCCGACGAATCGAGATTCTGTAAATTCAATATCAATATCTCGGGAGAATAACAGTACACATTATAATAACGTAAAAAATCAGGGAGGTTCAACTACAAAGCAACAGATTGATTTATGACCTAGTCCAACGTCTTGTGTAAGTTGTTCCATCAGTTTCTTCACCCCAGGTTTTCTTAGCAAACAAAATGAGAATCATGGGCGGTTGCTTGAACAGTCTAAACCAAACCCAAGCTCATTGGTTTACCTAAATGTGTCGGCAAAATTGATGAGTGTATTGGTAGTCTGCTTCCCCGACCTTACAATTGCATGACCTCCACCTTCCCATTCCTTCTCCAGTCTTGCTGGCAGCTCCATGATTTTGCCGACAAAACTGATTCATGGGGTGTGACACCTCCACCCCCTTTATCGATGCCCCTGACTTGAATCCTCAAACTACACTCTAAAAACTTCCGGGTCAGATTGACCCAGAATTGGGTCCCATTCGGTATAACGCTTTTCTGGGTCAAAATATGACACCCTTTCGGGTCATTTTTTTACCATTTTGGGGTCATATTTGACCCTTTCTGGGTCATAATTTGACCTTGAAAAGGGTTATACCGGATGGGACCCAATTCTTGGTCAATCTGACCCGAACGTTTTTAGAGTGTAAAGTAACCAGGGACATCTGAAATCAAAGGCTGTGTACGGCAGGGGTATTAATCACGGCGAAAAGAAAGGAAAAACAAAAAACAAAACACGGGTGTAACTCTCTGAGCCTCTTCTACGTTATTCGTGAGAAACGTGGATGCCATCAGTTGAACATGACGGAAACAAAGGCCTCGGAAGAAATAAAGGCCTAGTCGGGTCTAAATGAGACCTTTCGTGAATGACAGTCCCTTTGCATTAAAGTGGAAGCTGTAGGCTGAAAACATGGACAGGAGACGGCGCGGAATGAAGGGAGAGGAGGTTGGTTGAGTCAAGGGGGTGCCCCCAGAAATGTTGCTTTCCCCTCTGTTCTGACTGCATCTCAGCCCACTGTTGCTCGGTCTCTAATCTATTCTGCTTATCAGCTCCATCAAATTTGAGCCCTGATATGGTTTAGTCTTTGCAAAGTCCCAAGGACTTCAGAAGAGCCCAAGACTTCAACCTCTTCAGCAACTGCACAAGGCTTTCGCTTGATTGTACAACGTTGGTCAACAATATACGTTCAAGTAGATTTCAGGTATTTTTGCAGGTGTAGGCTCTTCGACAACTGCATAGGCCTATGCTACAGATTTTTCGCGGAAAATCTGTGGTATGAGGAACTTGAAGTGTTGGTGGTGAAAAAAAGGCCGGTGGTGAGAGAAAGAGATGTGGGGCATCTACAAACCTGTTTCCTATAATCACACCCACCAGGATAACCTCAAAAGCACTTCGCCGTGAAATGAGTCTATTTAATCTTTATACTTTTATGAGAACAAAAATTAAATACGACGAGCATCTTTCTCTATTCGAAACTGTTGTAATATTCCGGGTTCAGCTGTAATAATTAAACCAGCTTATAATGATTTGCGCCTGACCCGTGAACTAAACTCACGCTCATTGGTTTATCGGAGTATCGTACCATGAGAGGCAACGGAACAAAGCTATCATCAGAGATTATCCCCGTGTTTGCTATTTCACCCGGCAAAGAACTCCATCTGAACTTTGGTCAGCAAGCCCAGCTAGCTACAAGTTATCTTTGTGTCACTTGGGTGACGATACCACGGCGGTATAGATGCTAGGTTTAGTCATCACCAAGGTTGCAACGCCACAGGACTGTTTTTCTCTGCTAGGATTCGTATCATTTCAAGTTACAGACTCATTGAATTTTAGCAGTGCATTTGTTTGTTCAGTGGCTGTTACAGGGCTGACGTGAAGGATGGTCCAGCTTGGTCAAAGAGGTGGCCAGGGAAGCCTTGTCTTAGCCCTTGTCGTTCTCGGCTTGCTTATGATGCGGGTAAGTCGTTGGGACATGAATATTTTCCTATGATCAACCAATATGGGCGTGGTTACATTTTAGAAAATTTACATGGTATAAATTTCAATTATTGTAAACAACAGTGCCATTTTTATCATAGTCAACAACACAAATACATTTGCACAGCAGGATTTGAATGTGAGCTTTATTCAGTCTTTAATACTGGGACGGACACTTCGTTTCAATCAGACTTACTTATTCCTACGAATAGAAATTAGAATTTGTTGTAAATAAACTGTCATTAAACCTTTAAAAGGAAACGAGAGCGAAGACCTTGAATAATTTCCATTAAATAATTTGATAGTTTCACAATAAATGTGTTGATAGTATGTTCTTTTTCATTTCTTCCCTCCAAATTCAGTCTGCCGCTGATTCTCAGATTCACCAGGAAGGTTACTGCGTTATGTACGGAAAATGTACAAATTCGTACAACTGCGCGAACAACATCCTCGCACCTCCGGTCAGTGAGGGCAATCATGCGACCCTCCTGGCTCAAGTCTGTCCGCACCTCGCTGGCAGCACGGAAGCCTGTTGCGACGTGGAACAGCTCGATGCGCTGAACGTCTACCTGGCAAAGAGCCTCGGTGTCTTGAATCGCTGCCCCTCCTGCGAGGCTAATCTCCGCCGTTACCAATGCGAGCTGGCCTGCGGCCGCGATCAGAGCGTGTTCGTCGAGGTGGTGGACACGGTCGAGGTGGTTCCCGGTGGAGGCCAGCCGAATAGCACAGCCGTGGAGAAGGTCCGGTTTTACGCCACCCAGCAGTGGGCAGACGATACGCTCAGGTCGTGTCGGTACGTGTTCTTCCCATCTGCCAACCGGCCGGTGATTGACATCAATTGCAATGGTTTCTCCGCCGAGCAGTGTGAGCCTGAAGTGTGGATGGATGCAATGGGGAATCCCGCTAACAAGATCGCATCGTTCACCACAGACGTGGTACTAACAGACAAGGTTGATATACCGGGTATGAAACCCTTAAATCCAACAGCGCTCTCGTGTGCCGAGCCGGCATCAGCAGACGGGTCTGCGTGCAGCTGTCAGGACTGTCCAGATGCCTGCCCGGCCGGTATCAAACCAACCATCCCACCGACGCCTGAGCCATTCACCGTAGCCAACATAGATGGCATCATGTTCATCGTTATCGTCTCGTTCTGCGGCTTCACTGTCATATTCCTGGCCGGCTTACTCCTGTACCACTGTAGGAGGTCACCCTCGGCGGACCCTGAGGGAGAGGGCAGTGACAAATCGGAGAGGAAAACGCCACAGATTACTAACGATGACGTCAGCTGCTTCGAACGCATCGGTAAGATCTACGACGACGCCTTGCGTCAATTCTTTACCAAACTCGGCACCTTCGTTGCCACCTATCCAGTCTCCATCCTGGTGATAGCAATCGCTATAGGCGTTCCTCTAAGCATTGGCTTCGTTTTCTCTGACATCACTACGGATCCCGTAGAACTCTGGTCTGGCCCACAAAGCCGAGCCCGCACGGAGAAGGTATATTACGAGAAGACCTTCGTACCGTTCCAACGCACTGAGCAACTCATCATCACAGCAAATCCAGCCAAATACAGTAAAACACAATACAAGCCCTATAACTCCAACGAGACACTAACCTTTGGCTCGGTCTTGAACATAGAGGTTCTCGAGAAGGTAAGATTCAGATCCTTGTTATTGTCGACAGCAGGGTAACTGTTTAAAAACTAGAAGCAGTTCACAGAATGCCCTATTTGGAAAAAAAAATGAAATGCCCCAAATTTGAGAATTTTGAATATGAAGTGGAAAACTGTCGTCATAATAGTGGAGCTTTTTTCATTTCTGCTCAGATTTGACTTGCTTTATATGCTGTAATCAATATAGGATGTTGATAAATATGAGGTATGAATCATTTTTAATCTTAGAATTTTCATTCTTGGCTCACTTCACGCACGTACGATAAATCAAAAGGCAAAGGCTAATAAATTAACTCTCAAGAAGCAACCTTCATCGGAGATCGTCCATTTTCCTTTACGTATTTGCTCGTTTCGTATGTACAAAAGAGAAGGAGGCAATCCACGGCACACCCGTATCAAAGTTCACTTCAGAGCAATAGTGGCACAGGAAAAACTAGTGGCATTATCCAAAAAAAATATTTAAAAAAACAAAGACGGTAATGCTATAAGGCGAACTGCTTGCATAATCATTTTGCCTCACACGTTTTTCTTTCTACAATAGTCTTCTGTTTTTCAACTAGTGGTTGGTAAACTATGATCGACCGTCAGCACAAAAGAAAAAAGTCAAGAAGTACCAAAAACGTATGCAGATATCAATACGCTATGAAAATATGACGCTCTTTCAAAGCAATGAGACAAAAGAAGAATGTAAGGGAAAACCTAACTTCAACTAAGGGTGATATCTCTGAACACTTTGGGTCATCGCACAAGTAGCGGGCGATGTGAGAAAGATTAAATTAAAGATTTTTTAAAACAATTTCACCTGACAGATTTTGGATGTTCAGAAACATCTGCAAAACATGAAAGTCAATCGGACTTTAGATAATGGTGGAGTTGAGGAGATGTCCCTAGCCGATATTTGTTGGGTGCCGGTAACCATATTCCCTCCTCCCATGACGTGTGCCATCACTAGCCCTCTTCAGTGGTTTCAAAGCAATTACGACACACTGCAGGAAACAGCCATGTCGGATGATGGCCAGCCGCAGGATTGGCGGGATCATTTCTTATATTGCGTGCGGTAAGATAGGCCTATTATTTTACTGTGTAACACATTATAAGATGGCGCAAGCGTGTTTCTGCACATCCTGTCGAAAGTTCAAAATGATCGCCCTCATTGTGCATTGTGGGCGAGTCGACCAGTGCATATCTGTGAGTTTGTCTCGCCATATTTCCACCCTGTGTAAGGTCGAATGATTTTTCACAAAATTGTATGCAAAGGAGCATTTCGCTCGTTCCAGAACGAAAGAACCACGGGTTTCTCAGCATAACCCTGTGGATACTGCCGCAACTGCTGCACCGTACAGGTGCACGCGTACATGCGACTTGGAATTTTTGGATGAGTTTTGGTAACCAATATGGAACTTTTCCAGTCGTTGGTTGAGCGCTTCAGCGACCCGTCTTCGATAGCAGCTCCGACTGCTGGTGCAGCTCACGATATTTGATGTAAGAAACAATGAATGTTCATGAATGTTGAACCGCGCTATTTTTCAGAAAACGTCTATTCAATAGTGAGGGACTAAATGAATTTAAACCGTCGTAGAGTCAGAGGAAAATTTAATCAAGCCTCCCCAGCGCCCTGTACCTAGGCTTAGAACACTCTCCTTAACATACTGTCCTGTTCTTTGTAAATCCGAACCCAGACACAGCAGGAAGATCAATGTCTTTAAGGGATAAGAAAAATCATTTTCAAAGATGTGTCTGCACTTTTTGAGATAATAATAAATTTAAAAAAACCACTCCCACACATTAGTAAAGTGAAAACAAAACACTCCCAAAACAAAACGAGCCATTTTGTGCAAATTGAAAAAGCGTAGTGGTTAATTTTCCCCCCATCCTCATTACTTCCAGGAATCCACTGGCTTTATCTGACGGTACAAACCTCAACATTCCACTGGGATGTATCTCAGAGTTTCTGGGTCCTAGCTACCCCTTTGTCGTACTCGGAGGTTACGAAACGACTGAAGAAGGTGGGTCCACAATACTCGACAAGCAGGAACGTAGCAAGGATTTTTAAAAATCTTTTTCGCGCCCGTTGTAAAATTGAATTTCCCTCTCGTTTAAAGGTTAAAGAGACAGGTAAGATAAACTGTAGTAGTCAGCTTGGAGATGTATTTGTGGCACAGTGTTCAGTGTACTGTATTTATTATCAATGATCACAAACCTGGGTTATGCTCTTATAATGAACTGTTTTCATCGTTCCGGCTTGCTTCTACCGGCATCTCGAGTTTTCACCTATCTTGGTAGAAAAAGAGTTTCTATTATGGATAAAATAAAGTACCTCCGTGTTTAGACTACAATATCCTACTAGCTCCCCACTCAAAATCTGGTACCTGGTTTTCCATATAAAATGCCAAGTGTCGACTGAGGATTTTCTGTTTGACTTTTAAGTATGAATGGTAAAATATAATTGAGGCTGTAAAAGTAGAAAGGCTGTGGTCTACCACGATTGCTGTCGAGGTATTTGGGTGTTGGTTTGGACGTAGGTGTATTCCTCTGCATATTACAGGAGAGCCATTGTATCACACTGCCGAGGCTGTTATGGTTACGTATGCCGTCAACAACTACCGCGACGACGGCGAAGATCTGCAGTTCAAGAGGTCAGTGAAATGGGAGGAGGAAGCAATGAAGTACATCGAAGAATACATGGCTGAAAATGACGACCTCATCATTCGGTATATGATGGAGGTAAGTGTATATACGAGGCATAAAATGCGACTAAACAATTCACATACAACTTTATGATTTAGAAGCCATGCCAATCGAGTGTCTTCGCTGGCTTTCAAGAATGAAGATATTAAACGAAAAAAAACGGAGTTAATCGTGCAAAATTTTCGACATAAGAATTGACCATTTTGTTATGGAACCCAAGTTTTCTGTCAGATTCATTCGAGGGAAATACCAACCTTCAAGAGAGCTTGGAGACGATTAAAAGTTTTGTACTTCCGACTTTTGAAATCGTCATCTTATCTTATTTAGACTTGCAATTGTGGTTAGATGGGGTGGGATGTTTTGGCCTGAGGAAAGTAAACGGTATGCACTAACAAGTTTGGCTAAGCAAAGTCAGAGTGCCAACAAAGAGCACTGTGTGAAATACACCACTTGGAACTGGTTCTCTCTGGCTTTTTACTCGAAACTCACATGTACTTAGCAGTCATTTCTTCTCAGAGGTCTATGACATTGGACCTGACTGATTCATACATGGATTACAGGTTTATTTTTCCTGTCTGTTGGCAGCGTTCTATCGAGGATGCCCTGATTGAAAGCAGTCAGGCAGATATAGTGACCATCATCATCAGTTACCTGGTCATCTTTGCTTACATCGCTGTTGCTCTTGGTGAATTCAGCACATTCAAACGTATCTTTGTAAGTTAATATACTGACCACACAAGAACAAACGTAATTCTTAAAAAAAAACCTGTACAATAAAAATTGCCCTGAATTTGTTCTGACTTTCCAACCAGCTCAATAATTCCTCTATTTCAACTCAAATATCAGCAAAAAGTACCTTCCTGAGAGTTTAAATGAACTATGTTTTAAATCTGCTGTACATATCTGAGACAACACAGAGAATGAAGTTTTGGATTCTCTAGGATTTGGACCTAAAGTCTTCTTATAACAGAAAAAAAATAAAATCAAAAAGAAAAAGACACCAGTTGCTCCACATTTACTCCTGGTCCTTTCGGAATTAACCAAACCTTTAAGCACTGCAGGGCCTCTGCTTTTCAAACGCCCGCAAGGAATAAATACCAACTTGGCTCAGATGAAACCAACCCTGCAAAAAAACCCAATGAAATGCAATACCACACTGCGGTGTCCCTTAAAGTAGCAATGTAGTAGATGAATATTTTTCCAATTAACATCAACCTGCTCTCCGGCACCAGGAAATACTCCAACCTTTTTTGTTACTCTTAAAATCACTTGCCTCCATTTTTGTCTCAGATTGATTCCAAGATCACGTTGGGTCTAGGAGGAATCTTTGTGATTTTGCTGTCTGTGGTAATGTCCCTGGGTATCTATGGTTATCTCGGCATAGCAACCACTCTAATCATCATCGAGGTGGTGCCCTTCTTACTTCTTGCTGTCGGCGCCGACAACATCTTCATTCTGGTGCTGGAATACCAGGTACGCCCCCTTGCATTGTTTTGATTTCTCATGTTGTGTACCAAGACTTACCATCCCCAATCCCTAAACTTGGGCACTTGGATTTCGCACTGTTTTAATGAATGCAGGCAAGGCTGTTGAAGTTCAGTGCCTACTGCTCGACATCATGCTTGATGCTCTTACTTTAACTACAAAGAACGTGTCGACAGTTTTTGCACATCAGTACTTAGCTGCAGTAGATTCCGACAGCTCCCTAGCTAGTAACAGTACGTCAGGGGTTTAGGGGCTTTAAGGGTAACTTTCTGAACAAGACTCGGCAAATCAATCACAAATTTAGTTTTGACCAAATTATATTTGAACACTTATGTAACTCACAATCAAAACAAGCAACTTGTTACAAGCAGGAATGTTTTAAAGCATTCATTCCTTCTACAGTAATCTAAATTTTATGAGTTTAATACTTTTATTAATGTTGCTGCAGCGTGACATCAGACGACCCAAGGAGACCAGAGAGCAGCAGATAGGTCGTGTCCTGGGCAAAGTTGCTCCTGGAATGCTCATGTGTGGACTCTCAGAGTCTATCTCCTTCTTCCTTGGTACGACATAAGAGTTTTGACAGATAAGATAATAGTTTTGCCGTAAACTTTGTCCCTTTTTCACTGCACTCTCTAAGATGTCCTTATGTAGGATATGATAATGTTTAGGTTCAAACTGCATGTACGGTATGAGCAAATCAGTTTGATACGACACATGCAAAAAAATTTTACTATGTGGGCTCAATCAATTTTACTTCCATTGAAAGAAATTTTTACAAAGATCAACGCAATAAAAAAATCACTGTGTTGTTTTCAGTATGTCCCCTTTTTAATACAAGGCATTACTCATCAATCTGTCAAAAATCCATAGTTTCTCAAATGGTTATCATTTTTAGAAAAGGGGGTATACTGTAGTAAAAAAGAATGCACTTTCGGGGGGGGGAGGAAGAACAACATTGTAACGATAAAACCGTGTCAGCAATTTTGGCTTTCAATTTGAAAAACATGAGCACTTATGTTCAACCCGTCATATTCATTATTTTGATTTTAAACAAATCAAACATGTATTCTTGCAAATTGTCTTCTGGTGCTTGCATAATCTTGTACTCACAAACAACTACACCCTCACAAACAGCATTGACTTAGAGTGTGACCATGGTTACTTGTCCCTAGGTGCACTGACTGACGTTCCTGCCGTCCAGACTTTTGCTCTGTATGCCGGCTTGGCTGTTCTGATCGACTTCCTTCTTCAAATCACAGCATTTGTGGCTCTCCTCTCTCTTGATCTGAGGAGACAAGAGGTGAAGAACAAAATTCATTATTTTCCATTATTGGCTCTGTGCAATGACAGTTGAGGGCACAGTGTGTGATCTTTGAAAGCTACTCACTGTGTAATCTTAATTTGCACATTTAAAGGCAAAATGAAAATTAGAGCACCAGTCACAAGCAACATACACACCGTGACTTTTTGGGTGGTAATCTGTCTGGCCATGCAGACATTCTGTGCAAATCTCCCCAGCTTACCAGATCAATGGAATGGGCCCTAGGTTTATATGTACAAGCAACAAAGTCAAGAATTGCATCTGAATAATGCACCAATAACAACATGGAGGCAAACTATGGACAAGTGTATTTTTCTTGGAGGCTAACTCTCACTGATTAACCTGCATTAAACCAACCAACTACAGCACCTGGCAAATTTGGCAAATGCAGGCCCCAGCCATTATTTCTTTTTGTGGAGCTTTGATAACTTAATCATGCTAATTAAAAAAGAAAACCGTGTATAAACTTTGCACAGTGTTGGGTTGGGGTCACAGCATCATTTGTTTCCCGAAGAAGAGGATAAAGCACTCATCATCGAACTGACAAACCATCCACAATGAAAATGTTAAGATGATTGTAAGCAAATAGAAAAGTTTCAAACCCTTTCCCCACTACTTTTTTTCCGAGGGAAGGGGGGAGGGAATCATCACCCTCACTCCTCTCTTTTATGATGTCTATGCATGGATAGGGTGAATTCAAGGTTCCTAGAATGCAGCATGCCACAACTTGAAAGCAGGGACATTGATTGGGTTTTTGTCTATACATTTCTTTCTTTTCTTCTCCCAGAGTGGTCGTATGGACATCCTCTGTTGTTTCCCTCCTTGCAGCAAGAGCCGCATCGTCAGGCATCCAGGCTTCATTCAGGTTTTCTTCAAGAAGTTCTACTGTCACTTTCTGCTCAACAAGTTTGTGAAGCCAATTGTGGTAGGTCACGGACCCAGAAATTCGGCCTACCAGTTCACAAATCATCATCAATTAGATCTGTCGGTTTTACTGATTTCAACAAATGCGGAATATACATTTCTAAAGCCAAGGCATGATATCCGAAATATCTGTATAAAAATCAGGCAGAGAGGACTAATAAACCGCAGAACACTGTCTCTTTAAATTGATACACAATCAAAAGAATAAGGTCCTCTGCTATTCTAAAAGTCTTCTGTATTTTTCTTAATTTGAATTGTGAGAATCCCTTTTTTTTTTAAATTTTGTAGAAAAAGATATTTCAAATATCCAAGGAAGGTTAAGGCTGTCAATTTAAACTACATTTACCGAAATTACATAATTAATACTTTCGATGAGAATAAGCCTGGGTATCACCAATCACAAAAGAATGAAAATGCATTTACTGAAATGTTGATTTTTGGTAAGATCTGATTTAATAGTACTCACATTTTCTCCACATTTTTATTGCAGTTTTTAGGATTTATAGCCGCCTTTCTGACTTGTGGACTACTAACATTAAAGCTACCAGTTGGTTTAGAGCAGGAAATACCTGTCCCAGATGTAAGTAAAATCAATATTTTTTCGCAAATTAATGTTTGTGAAATGTGCCCTCACAACAGTGGATGTAGACTGGTTGCCTATACAAAGTACGTGGAACCCACGACGTGATGTCACAGAAAATGAAGTCCAAGTAAGGCACAGACTTTCATGTACATCATGCGACCAACTGTGGTGTAATTGGGGAGGGGAGCAGTTGTGACCCCTCCCCCATTTGCAATTTTTGTCATCAAACTGTCTTCACTGGCCACTTGTGTAATTTTCACATAAAGAGGCTCCACCAGTTTTTGAGTCTCCAGGGAACCTCTTTAGGGATGAGGGTTATTTCCTCTTGTTTCATTGTCTACTGATAAAATTCCTTCCATTTAGATTGGTCTAGTGATACCTGTGGTGGCAGTCAGACAAAAGCTGTGCCCATGACACCCCCGAAACAATGTGGTATCATACATAAATAAGATTAGTGACAATGTTATGGACATCAGAGAGTAATGCGAATGTCAGGGCTCCAAATATGATGAAAGAACAGAGGGAACAGAAAGAAAATCTTCTCTTCAAGTCATTAGGAAAACCAACCAGCAGCCTTTTCGTTATTGCTTTCTCTCCTCCAGAACCACTACCTCCTAGACTACTTTGATTATGTTGAGAAGTACCTCTCCGTTGGCCCACCAATGTATTTTGTTATCGTTATTGCTTTCTCTCCTCCAGAACCACTACCTCCTAGACTACTTTGATTATGTTGAGAAGTACCTCTCCGTTGGCCCACCAATGTATTTTGTTATCAAGCATGACAAACTCGACATGACAAGGGCTGAGGATCAGAATCTAATATGTGGCAGCTCTGGGTGTGATCCTAAATCGCTGGCACAACAAGTCTTCTATGCAGCCCAGATTAAAGAATAGTAAGTTAGACCAGACATGAAGCCACAGCCAAATTAGATATATCCATGCCTCTAGTCACAAGAAGCAATCACTCATGGCATTGTATCAAGAATAGGACACAGTGGCTTAAAAAAAGACTTTGGTGACAGGCTTAATATGTGGTGACATCCACAAAAACAACCTAAGCCCAATTAGATGCTGGGATGAAAGATAAGCATGTTCCGTATATCATGAAAGTCTCTTGACCCCTGCATTAGAGCACCACAACATGTTGTAGTGCAGAGTGATACCAATGGAATTCTATGTGCTCTATCCTGTGAAGAAAAAGTGGTTGGAGTGAACAAACTTGGGCATAATCTCATGGAGCCGCTAGGTACATTGCCTAGCCAAGTTTTTGTGCAAAGCAAAAAAAAAAAAAAAAAAGAGTAAAGAACTAGTCTCTAAGAATTCCTGTAGCATGGCATTTTGTCTTTTACCCATTTTTTTTTGCTTGGTAAGTATTTTCTTTGCTAAGCAGGCTTTCTGTGTTTATCATCTCTTTAAATTGGCCCTTGGTGTTTAAAATGAGGTCTGTGAACAGCGATAAGGATTAAGACCAACAACAGAGCAACCCACTGGAAGCAATGGAAAGATTCTTGTGTGGACTGGGAAAGTTTCAACTGCCCGAAAACTATCCCCTAAAAGTGATTTAAAAAAAGCAACTAAGCATCAACGCTGTCATCCGTACACTTGAAATGATACTTCAAAGCAGAGCACCTCTGAATTACTGGTATTTCCTGTTGAATATGCTTCTTTCCACAGCACAAAAATCAGTACTCCTCCGACATCATGGATTGACGATTACTTCGACTGGTTGAATCCAAGCACAGTGGACACCTCCTGCTGCAAGTTGTATTCAAAGCATCCACAAGACTTCTGCGACTTCTCCTTCTGTAAATATCCATGATAATGTTTTCTCTGATGCGATCTTCGTTAGAATATACAGTCAGGCATTATGGGGTGAATAGGAATTGAAATCCATAACATGTGTATGTAAGAAATAGAATTCAGAAAACATCCTGACGACATTAATGTGCAATACAAACGGTTAAATGTCCTAGGACGAGCTAAAAATTTCCCTTTATATTTTCATTTCTGCAGTATTTGTAAAAGTGATCAATCCATACTGTTTCAATATAATAAAGGTCATCATAGAAAAGTGTACTTAACTTTTCAGCCGTGAGCTTTCACCTCAAATTAAACAGTATGAATGAAACCACACATTTACAGAGTACAAACTGTGCCATGAAATAATTGACACACTTTGCCGAATCTTGCAGTTGAGCCGTGTGAGATGTGTCTACCACTCGACCAGAAAGGAATTCGACCGACTGGCAAAACTTTCCAAACCTTACTACCATTCTTCATTGATCACAATCCAGGAGTGAACTGTCCTAAGGGGTAAGTTAGATTCAATGCTGGCTTCACATACAACACTGAGCAATTAGCATTCAGTGTCTCTCTTTGATATGTACATGTACTATGCCAAACATGAATTAGGCAGAATAAACTGCTTTCCTTTTGGTGTGTCCAAGTCCATACATCATGATCCTGCACATGGGATCAGATCCTGCCATAATTATGGTTTTGGATCACACAAATGTGACAAGGTCTTGCACAATGAGTCTTGAAGACTTTTTTGGTAATTTAGTTTTAATTTGCATCAGATAGAGGAAATGAGCTCTTTAGGCTAACTTATCTCAAAGTTTGGCATCCTGACAAAAATGGACAATATGTGAATGAAAAACTGTTAACGGATCCCACTGACATCGTGCACGATCCTTATAAAGCCTCAAATTCAGAAGTGGCACTGAGAACTTGCAACTTACTTTGCTGGGCTGTGTTGGAAACATGCATGCTGCACTGGCTACCCAAGCTGGTTCATGCTATGTTCAGGTATCCCTATGCCTTCTGTGTTGTAGCTGGGACCAACTTGGAGCACTTGTTTGCACACAAATTTCACTTGATCATTGTAAGATATTGCAGGGTCGTTTTGGACATGCTGTGCCCACGGTGGCAAAATAATGATATTCAAATTGTTAGCCAGGCCTTTCTCTGTTACCAGTGAGGCAGTGCTTGAGCACAATTTAGTTACACAGTCAGCTAGCAATTCCAGTAAGTCTTGCAAGTGCCACAGCGGTGGGATCACAGGAACATTCATGGGCAAATTTGATGTGAACTGTTGTTTGACCACTGGTCAAATACTGTCACACTTGAAAATAACTGTGCCAGATGTCACCAACCATGAACACCACAAAAGTTACTACCAATAGGAAAATGAGAGTAACAATGAGATGCTACAAACTAGTTAATATTATTTTCATGTGAATAAGTGCCTTGGAACTGATAACTTATATTGGCTGCTGATAATCAACAGTGTGACCATGCCCCAGCGTCTGAGTCCAAAATCCAAATGGTCAACTAGATGATCCTAACCATCCATCTTTCAGACAATGTCGGTCAAACTCTGGTTAACTACAGTCGTCGCTCAAACTTGCCCCATGATTGACTGCAGTTTTGTTTTTAAATTTTTTTTTCACAGAGGACGATCAGCCTATCATGATGCCTTGCACTTTACTGATGAAGCTAAAACCATTCTTGACGGTAAGATGATTTCACTTTGTGTATTACATCAGTCCAAGATATCAATCATGATGACTGTGGTGAAGAATTCCCATCTCGTATCTTTTGGCAGCTCTTTCCATCCCATTTTTATTGAAAATCATTTTGATCACACTCATGGGCTTCCAATGCAAAGATATATGTTTACAACACTTTAACCAAAAACAGTAACATTCCTGCACTCATCCGTCGATTTCGATCATTAAAATCTTGAACTTAACACTCAAAATGGACGATAGCACCAGTCCATCTCATGGTGATTAATTTTGTGGCATTCCACATAAAAAGAGGTGGCATAAAAGAGACATCTGGGGACAGTTTATTGACCATTTTCCTATTCTATTTTTGTTTTACTTCAGCCAGTTACTTCTTTGCCTTCCACACTGTCCTGACACGGTCGGAACAATTCACAGCGGCGGTCAAGGAGTCAAGGGTGGTAGCTGAGCAAATCAAGATGGACTTGAAGATGAAGAGGCCCGACCTCAGTGACAACTTTGACGTCTTCAGCTACAGGTTTGTCTTGAAGTGCTTAGCCATTTTAAATTACTGGAACTTCACGTAACTATATGTTGCAGACAGCTGTGAAGTGTTACTTGTAGGCCCTGATCATAAGCTTGTCCAAGTGCTTCATTTTGTCAGTTACCCTAGGGCCGTTTTCCAATACTCAACTTTGTCTCCGTCTCAGGCTTCGCTCCAAAAAACAATCCCTGATTGTGGGCCTGAAGTGTTTAAATTACATTGGGTTACTGTAATTTTTGGCTTACTTGCATCTTATTTGATGTTCTGTGGCACTAGTAGATAGAGAGATTTCACATTAGCGCCGTCTGCGCATATCTGCATCGAAACCGAGGCTCTCTTTGTTGAACTTCATCGCGCGCACCCGCGGAGTCCACACAGTACATGGAGTATCCGGTTCTTAAGTGTAACGCCACTTCATTTTAAACCACGCCCACTGCACAAGAAACACGACCATCGCAGGTACGTTAGTCAATTGTCGTTATTTTTCTTTGGATTTTACGTGTCGAGTCATCCTGAAAGACTCTTCCACAAAAATCTTCAGCCTGAAAAGTCTGAATTTAAAATACCTTTAAGTATTTTGTGTCTTGACTCCTTACTTTCAATCGTCTGATTGTATTAAGAATTGAACCTGACACATACAGCCTCATTTCCAAACGCGGAAGTGCGCAGATCGACGCTAAAAGCGTCGTATTGGGATCCCTCTATTGATTACTGCACTTACAGCTTCAGAGTCAGCTTGTAAAACACAGTTGAAGCCTGAGACGGAGCCGAAGTTGAGTACTGGAAAACGGCCTAGCTCTACCAAGGGCTAATACCTTGCTGTCAGCATGGTCCTGTCTGTGGCTTAAATGTTTTTGCCAGTGAGTGCTGTGCTACAGTGAACATCCACAGCCATAGACTACACTGTACTTCAGAAGCAGAGCCTCCTCCACAGAAATTTCTGAAGTAAATGTACAGTGTTTTTGAGGTAGATTACCACCATGACTTATATGCATGTACATGTAAAATTCCTGGCTATTTATCACTGGACGATATGTCAGGGCCACCAGAGCATAAAATTTTAATTGTTGAAATAACAATTGTTCCTTTGTTGCAGCTTCTTTTATGTCTACTATGAGCAGTACATTGATCTTGTGGATAAAGCCATCGTCAACATCTGCATAGCGATGGTCCCCATCTTTGTCGTCAGTTTCTTTGCCCTCGGCTTTGATGTCATCTCTGCATTCTTCATTCTCATTAACATCATCATGATCATCGTTGACACTCTTGGAGTCATGTACCTGTGGGGTGTGGACTTCAACGCTATATCTCTGGTCAACCTGACAATGGTAAGTTTTGGATATGTGGTTCAGTGAGACCAGTCATGCCAGATGTCTCAAACATCTGTCATCACTCCTCCCGGATCATTGAAAAATCCATCAGTAGGTTGGTGAGGGATTTCGTAGGAATGATAACTGTACAGACTAATCACAGTAAATTTATATGAAACTAGATGCCCGGCCTTGTAACTTTAAGCACAAAGAATGTACAATTAGATTCTTACACAGTGGAGGATTTCGGAGGATCCGGGAAGGTGCTCACTAACAATGCCTGAAGCAATTAAGGTTACCAAACAAGGTGGCCCATGACAACAAAGCATGACCAAATAGTGGATTCAAACCTTTATTCCAACATTTCTACTGGGTGCCAGTGCCAGAAATCTGTTTGTTCTCATTCCCACAGGCTATCGGCATGTCGGTGGAATTTGTATCTCACACAACACGAACATTCCGCATGTCTACAAAACCGACCAGGAACGAGCGAGCCAAGTACGCTCTCTACCACACAGGAAGTGCCGTGAGTACTGCTTCGTCTCTTTATCTTGCACCAGTCAATTCGCTGGGTGAAGGGACCCAATTTGGTCTGATCTATTAGGTCCCGAGCATTGTGCTACGACCAATGCGTCAGACACCACCGTTGTCATCAATGCTAGATGTTCATCTCAGCTTTTTGATGTCTATCATCCCACAACAAACAGACACACACATCATGAACGACCAGAACATTCTCATCTTCACATCCAATCTCTTTAAGGTCTCTTACCCTTAAGGCAAATAAATTCATCAATATAAAAAAATTTACAAGAAGTAATGTTTCTCTCAACAACCTTTCAGGTCCTGAGTGGGGTAGCCATGACCAATCTACCAGGTACCATTGTTCTGGTCTTTGCCACCTCTCAACTCTTTGACATCTTCTACTTCCGCATGTTCCTCACTATCACGTTGCTCGGCACGGCCCACGGAATCATCTTCCTCCCGGTTCTCCTGAGCTACTTTGGTAAGTTGATCAAAACATTCGGCTTGAAATAAAAAAGGGTTACTCCCAACATCAGGCATGCAACTTTTCCTTGGATCAGCTGATTTCCTCATTTTTTAATTCATGATCATGCCATTGAAAATTGAAAACATGTATAAAGTCTTGTCAAGATTGGAATTTTGTCTTTTTTCGAAGTATTATGGGATACTCAAAAATTAAACTTGTTCTTACAATTTCCAGTGTGGTGCCACATGGTCTCCATTCTTAGAAATAACAAACCGCAATGAACAATCAGACTTGACCTGGAAGTGTCCAATTTGATCCCTTTGGATAAAAAGGAATTCAAGAAATGTGGTTTAATTGCAGAAAGAATGTTTAGCAAGAAAAACATGGTAAAATTGTGTGATTTTTTCGTTGCCTATTAAGCCTTTCGCAGCATTTTCTAATCCAAGGGTTATGTCACTAAACCTGACTAAAACTGACACTGACCCAAAGAAGTTGATGAACCTTCGAGTGTACAGCATAGAGGGGTGCGGGGGGGTGTGTTAAATCCAGAAAATAGTTCCATATGTATTATATGACAAATCAGTTACGAATGGCTCCAATCTATTTCAAAGACAACAACCAGACCTCTGGCTTAACGCGACACTCTCTTTTTCTGCTCACAGGTCCACCAGTGAACAAGGCCCAGCTGCTGTATGAACAGGATGAAGAGCGCAAAAAGCTCCTGGTTAGGCCCACCAAGCAAGAAGAGGCTGGTGAGACTAACATGTATGACAACACTGCACTGAGCAGCGATGAACTGAACGACCAGCCCCCTCCGTACATGTACACCGTCCCCCACGATGAGGTGGGGGTCCAGACCAGTCCAGGTCTGAAGAGAAAGATGACCAAGGAGGACAAGGAAGGCAGAGTTACGGATGATGGTCCAGTTGATCAAGCTACTGATTTGTGAATTAAGTTTCTACCAAAGTGTAAAATGGACATGCAAACCAAATGTTGTGATTCGTAGCATAGATACTTTCTTTTGTTTGAATGGAAAAATGACCAATGAAGACAGTTGGAAGTAACGAGGCAAGAAAATGCAAACGGGAGAACTGACTCTGTCATGAAAGCTTTTGGCTGGAGATGACTATGCTGCATTTGAATCTGTTATCTAGACCTAGGTCTAGGTCTTCACTCCATAGGAAATGTGTGAAAATGCGCAGACAATAGACCTAACCGTAGCTCTGGAAGCCCGTTTTCGGACATGGCCTTAATATGAAAAAAAAAAGCTAAATGATAAATAACAGAGGCTGCAGGGCCTTTAGAAATTTTTCACTTCTTCAACTTGCCTTACACGTATACATCCAAGTTGGAAGAATCATACAAACTTTTGCTAGTAATTTACAGTAGAGATATAGGTTGTTTTCTATGTACATATATCTGGGCGTTTTCTCTGAGTAAATATCATGTGTTATGTTGTGTTTCTTTTGCACTATTAGATAGCAGTGGGGGAAATTTTAACATTAAAAAACTTTACATTCAAAGCACATGTTTATGATATATATTAACAAGGAGTGTCTAGCAAAGTTTTCTTATCAATTCAAAACACTTCTATGCAGCTGTGAAGAATTTTTGTTCTCACTGGAACGAACAAGAGCTTGCCCATGCTAGGTTTTGAAAAAATAGTTTTGAATGATTCAAAAGTTATGTTTCTGAAATGATCATAGCATGACAGTTGAAAGTTCTTGATGTTTTCATACAATTTCACAACTTCAAGTCATAAAGTTTTCTTTCAAGAGAACTTGTCCAATACCTTCAGAAAACACTTTTCAAGCAGCACCACTCTTATGTTTTTACTTTATTAACACAGATGCACAAGTAGTGGGTTAAAGTTTTGTCATGGTGTACTTTTGTTTTTCAAGAAATCCCAGTAGTGTTTGAAGATAAAATTCAAACATTCCCTGCACTTTGACCCCTTAATGTTTTAGTAGCTAAAATATTCAAAAGCTATGCATTATCAAACTTGGTTGTGGACTAGCCTCTCAACTAAAGAGCTTTGTAAATTCAGTCCCTCATAACACAAAGGAATTTTTATGTTAACTTTGGAAATCTGGCCAGAAGCAACTGATTAATTTCATTTTTTATTCATAACAGGATATGTTTATAGGAAAAATAGTAACAACTACATTTGACTTTACATTCTATCAAAATTATGCATTTAATTATGGAAAGATGATGCAATGAGTAAAGTGATTAATATCTTTCAATGACTGAAAATCTTCTAAGATAAATTGTTTTCAATATTATTTACCTACAATATCACAATCCTTGTGGACTCTGTGTTCTTAACGTCTGCTATCAGGTAAAAGCAAGACAACCAATAAACAACTTCCTCAAACAATTTGCAAAATATCAATATTCATGAGACTGGCAACATTTTTGTCATCTTGGTACTGGTTCCCGGTATTCCCTACTGCTTTAACTGCAGCTAGTAAAACATGAGATGACCCATGCACATAAGAATATTCAAGAACAATGCCTTGGTGTCGCTTTGTGGTAACCAAACAGCCGGAAGAATGTTTTGAACGCCCCGCTTGACATAAGAATATGAATAATTCATGAACCTTAGGGTGTCATATAACCACTGATCTCCAGAACTCCTTGCTCCTCCTTTACTAGCCATTGCGTATTAATTTACATAAACTTTGAATATTCCTCAAGGTGATGTCACCTAGCAAGAGGTATCCTATCTGTTGGTACAGGTATGACCCACTTTGCATGAATTTGCATGAAAAGTTTGACTATTCATAAAGCTTACCACAATGTCACCTTGCCAGTGGTATTCTGAACTGCTTACAACCTGCTTTACACCAGACTTCAGAGACTGTGACTGGAAGAAAGCCGTTCTCACAAAGTCTGAGAAACCTTTCCTGTTTGCAAAATCCAATTATGTGGGAGAAACTTTGATGGTAAATTTTAATTGGAGGTGACAATATGCTGCAAGAGAATTGACTAAAATGTTCAAGTCTGATTAAAAGTATAAGACAAGATGAGACTTTTAACCGCCAAGCCAAAAAAAGCAAATGAACATACAATCTATTTTTTCAAATGATATATCCAAGAACTTGGCAAAGCACAGACAAACTTCAAATACTGCCCTGTCAGAAATAAAAACTGTGCAATGTTAAAGGCAGAGCATAGGATTTACAAGATCTCAAAAATGACTGTCAAATCATCTTGAAATATCTTCATAAGTACATAATAGTGTCAGACAATCTGTGAAATCTTACTGCCAGGAATGCTGTCATTTTCGAGAAACAAGAAATTTTATTTTTTATCCAAAGATCGTCTGGATGGATCTTCTCAAAGCAGGATCTCAAAAATGAAACAAGTTCTTGGAATGATACACAAAGTAAATCATAAACCCCAATATCGGCCAATTTGGACAAATTGCAGTACATGCAAATCCCATAAACTACCTTTAAGAGTCCATCTTGCTCTCACTTCACCTGGCTGAAGCATTTATTTGTTCTTAAAGTCAAATTGTGATGGAATACATCATCAAGGGGAAAAAGGGCACTGTTCTGAAAAAGTTACAACTTCCGGTAACAGGAAAATACTTAACAATGAGAGATCAGACTACCGGCACTTCCAAAGTAGGGAAAAAATAAAATAAATAATGGTGAAAATTGAACATATGAAAATGAGCACAGGTAACCATACTAACCTGGATCGAGGAGAGAGTAGTGGCACTTAAAACCTTGCTGTAATCACCAAGACACCAACCAAAACTGACATGGAAGGAAGGGTCCTGGATTCAAACAAGAGAACCCAAATCTAATTGAACGGTATCTTGGTGGTGAAACTAACTCACTGTTGTCAGCTTGGATGGCATAATCAGTGAGGGGATTTATCCTGAACATGCTACTTTTGATGGGGGAGGGTTCCTGAGTATGTTCAACATCCAGTTTTGAGTTTGAACATCTGGGCAGATATTCATAAAGGCATGTTAAGCCTAGTTGGCTGCTAAAATGACCCCAAGTTGATAGCTAACCCTATTTGAAAGCTAAGTGACATTCATAAAACTTTGCTAAGTTTACAATGTAGTTGGTTGCTAAGTTGGCTGCTGATGTTAGAGTTGATCTGGGTGTCTCTAAGTCACTAGTTGGCAACTAAATCATTTTTGGGTTACACATTGAGCTGCGAACATGGGGGGACGTATACTTGAGCTTGCACAACTAAACCGTGCAATTCATAAAAGCTTGATAGGCCTGGTCCTAGACCCATCCAAAAGCATCACCATACCCTATTGACAGGCTAATATACATTTTCTGGTTTCTGGGTTTGAAGAGCTGCCTAATGTCCCAGCTGCATGCTTAATATATCTAGCTCCCTACTAGCTGGTAACATTCTTAGCAAGGTTTCATGAATACTAAATGAGTTGGTAACCACAGAGCGGAAAACTACAGATTTAGCAGGCTGCTGCTAAGTTACCAGGCTTTTATGAATATCGGCCCTGGTATTTTGACCCCAATTTTCTATAAATCATAAACACACATCTAAAATATATGCCTTATTTTCTAGTTAGCTGTACACTTGGAGTGAGCCACTTCCCAGTGTCCAACAAGGAGCTATTCAACAGAAACCTTTCACTTATATTCTTGTGTTTTAGACTAGAAATCTTTATATGTGAGGTTTCTTAACTTCTCCCCTGATTTTCACCTTGTAAAAGACAGGTAGAGAAAACTCCTTAAGGCAGACATTGATGACTTCAACCAACTGGAGCATTTCTGGATGTCCGTATCCAACCTTCAGTCCAACAAACGACCTGTGCTTCACAGGGATATGAAATAAGAAATGGGGAAAAGATCTACACTAAAGCATCAGGATTTTGCAATCTGGTCTCACCAATGCTATCCCTCAACATTCCTCACAAGGTTTGGGAAGATTCTGAAGATTTGAGGAAGATGTAATGCTTCAGCTGATTTTTTTTGTGGGAGCAATGCCCCTTGAAAAGTTTTACAAACCACCAGTTTCTTGGGCAGTGCTTATTTTGTTCATGCTAGAAAGTTCACGGTAGAAATGCCTGAGGAGCTAAGGTCAAAATAACGGGGTCTCTTTTCACGTTCTCACCTAGTCTTCTCATCATTGATGTAGAATTCCAGGTCTTGGAAACAGTAAGTGAACCCTTCCACTGAAGTAAGTCGTTGGAGCAAAGAGTCTACAAATGGGTCAATCCACTGATACTGTAAGGTCACGGTCCTAGAAATGCTAATGTGGAGGTCAGCGACTGGCTTCATGTCAACAGTAGAGGGCAGGGCACCAAGAAGATCTTCCATTACTGTCTTCAGCTGCTCTGTTATGTCCACTGTGAGGGATTTAAAAAATATGAGAAACTGGTTTAATAGTGTAATTATGGTTAATGGAGAAATGTTTTCTTAAAAACTACATGAAGTTCAGAACAAAATACTGAATGAGTTTGAAAAGAGAGAAGAACTTTCTAAAAATTTGCCTGCCAATCCAAGCTCAGAATTGTCCCCTTTAAAATTGTATGAAAATTGACAAGTCCTGTTTACATGTACCTGGAATATACACATAAGTTGCCCAGTTACCAGCAACATGCTCAAATGATCGAACTCGTCCTTCGTGATGACTACTGGAATCTTGCTGTCCTGAAGATGAATGACTCTTAGAAGGCTCTCCAAACATACCAAGTATTTCTGGCGGCAGTGATGGGAGGAGTGCGCTGGGTTTGAATCAAAATGAAATGAAAAACTGATACTGTGAAGTGACTCCAGCTGTACCATACAATGGCCTAGTCCATAAATCCCACCACTGCCACTGAAAAATGTAACAGGGCCCTGTGAGAGTAAATCACCTCTATTGTTAGCAGGCAAATACTGGTAAAAAAAAGTAGATGCCTCAACTTAATTGCAATTGAAAATCAAGTTGAAATATTTTTGCTTAAAAAATACATGTATATTTATGTTTATTGATACCATCTTACTAAGTTAGCTTTTCACATTTGTCAAGCAGCCATTTAAGGCTATGAGAGCAGGAGAAACATTCTGTTTTGATTAGGCCTACACATCAATAAACACATTCTATACACTGTCCATTGACCTCTTACTTTTGCTGTCGTTTTCCATTCGTTTTATGTGCTGGATTTTGAGTAAAATCTGAGAGGAAAAAAGTGACAAAAATAAGCAGAATATTGAACTGGCAAAGGCCTACTATGTGCATGTAGCTGACATGAGGGCCTAACATGTTTAAAGATGCTCAACATGTTGACTATCACCAAACTGATTAGGCCTAATAATGAAACACATATGGGGGCCCCTTGGACTACTCGAGTTATCTTCAAGCAAACTTGTGTTCTCATTCTGACTAGTCAATCCATGGCAACAGACAATGTGACATACATGAAACTGTACAGCATGATTGTGCTATTCTAACTCAACACATTGCACTACATTGACACTAAAAGCAAAATGCACATCTGCAAAATTTACTGCAAATTCAAAGGTGGGGTGTTTGCGCGCATGGGCCCATGCGCGTCAAGTTGGCTTGAAGATAAAGTCGTTATCACGTATGCGCTCGTGGAACACAGAATATAGTGTATCTGTGTCTCGTATTCCACTTGGCCTTCCGATTCATGGTATACAGGACACACACTACATAACTCTGTGATCCACTTGGGTTTGTGTGATAAAGAATAGTCCACTATCATTTTGCCTACAACAAAGTTTGCAGAAATGAAACCTTCGGGTCGGCTTTCGATTTTACCCCAAACTCGCTGAAAATGGAATTTGTCCCATTCATTTGAAGTAAGGTTGTATTTTCATTTGTCACTCAGTAGTAGGTCTACAGGTATTATTATCCAGTGTTGTGATAGCTGTGTGGGATTTTTAACACTTTGTGACTTTTGTACTGATGGCCAACCATACTTTTAGCAGCCATAAAACACGATTGTGACATCAAAAGAGTTGACACTATCCGCCTTGAGCAGAAGCATCCCCTCAACTGTTGAAAAGAGCCATGTTGGGGGGTAAATAGTGCTCATTTTCGTTGGCAGTGATGAAACCGTACACATATGTACATGTATGTGTGCTTTTCATAGTCGTTTGTGAACCAGTGAAGCGCAGTTCCTATCAAAGCCAGGGAGCCTGAGCTGCATTGCTAAGGAAATTGTGCCCTCTCTTGGTCCAGCTAGGGGCTATTTACACAGAGTAGACTGTGTGGATAGTCGGAAAAGGAGGTCACGGCTCACGCACGTAGAATGATGTGTGTCACATGATATGGGACAGCATGGACATCCGGGAGTTTCACAAAAATGTAGGTAGCAACCACACTGTGCCGCTGAAAACAACTGCAACAAGCACACACGTATGTACTGATCAAAAGAAAGATTGTGTAACCCGATCCTCGCACTGGCTGGTGCATGCATATGTTGCCGTGGTCCTTGTTTTCACCGGTGCAGTACCTGCCATTTTTCAAAAATCCCAGATATCCGCGCTGCCCCATACACTACAGGCCTATGTGCCATGCTTATCATATTTATAAATTATAGGCCTAGGCCTTAAAGTTTTAAATGTTAGCATAAATCAAAATGTGGGTTGCACGTGTGAAGTCATGAAAGTGTACACTGTACACGTCAGTAGGCCTAGTACTATTATGCGTCCTTGAGCGATCTGAATTAGGCCCTTGCCTCCTAGGCATATGCATAATTATGTGTTATGACGCTATGTGCCTCCTTTTCCGACTTCCGACGTATGTACGTCTTACCCCCCCCCCCCACAGTCTGGGGGGGGGTATGTAGGTCTAGGCTTTAGCATGCTACGTGTACGTGTGAGAGTCATCATGGTCATCGAGCCCTACCTTCCTCATTGTCATCTGAAGAGCTGCTGGCGTAGTCCTGAAGTGCTTGTAAACCTGACATTGTTGTGAGCGGGAAATTAAGCTTAACTCGTTCTTTTAACTTAAACCATGGAGGAAGGAACACATGCCCAACCAATCAAGGACGACACCGCCACACGCACGGTCCACGTTAGTCATTTGACATTGTTTTGTATAGCGCGACCTCTACTGATGGTTTTTAGAAATTGTTTCCTGGCACACGACCCCTGCAGAGTTGTCGATGCATTCAGAGGGCCGATTACCAATGTTGGTTAAAAAGTTCGCGCGTTAAAACCGTTCTTGCAACCTTGATAGTAAAGAAACCGGTTCCGGTTAGTGGTTAATCAGAGAGACTAGGAGAAAATGAGAAACGTCTTTGAGGTTTGTCTCCGATGTATTTAATTTATCTGTTGGTCACGATCATGTTACTCGTTTGGAAATAGTTTGCTACTTATTGAGGTTCTTGCGGTTTTTTTGCCAACATGGACAAATTGACGCTGGCACCTGGGGAAGCCGGAAGCTAGGACCGTACCTAGGCTAGGCACTATAATAATGTACTTGAGTTGGTACCCGGTCACACCGTACTCGCCACCAAGCAACCACAAAGAAACAAAGATTCTACCTCACCTAGGATTTTCATTGAAAATAAATCAGTTTAGCTTGGAAAGAAGTGAAATTGATCAGCATTTGGGAAGTTGGTTTTGGTTTACTATTTCAGCTAGGCAGTGCTGGTAAAAACCTTTATGACCAAGTTGTGTGTTTTTTAATTCAAAGTGGCTATCGTTACGGCAGTGGTAACGCATTTCTCATTTTCTATCATTACGGCACTGAACTTTGCAAGTGTGATGACGTAGCTGATCATCACGACGGTTTGTATATTTTAAATTACCTGGATCGCTGAATGCTTGTGGCAGTTCAAATCCGCACTTGGACTGTTTTATTTTTTTCGCCAAAATTTCATGTTTTATACTATAATCGTTTTTTTAATGTTGGTTTCTTATTGTATAGGCCTAAGCAAGAATCTTTTTGTCTTTTCTCATCGGAGGCTTTGGAGGTTTTTTAAAGGGAAATAAAGTCCAAATCTGTGCTTAAGTTGGCGTGCTTGCCCAGTTGCAGTGCCGTAATGATAGAAAATGGGAAATGTGTTATGGCTGATGTAACAACAGCCTTTGTGTTTTTAATTTGCCGGATAGGCCCAACATGCCCAAGGCTGCATAGAAATCGAATGACTCTCTTGGCAATGGTCAGTCAGTTCATGACACCAAACCCTGACAAGACATGGGCAGAAAGGGTAGGGAAATAATTGATCAAGTTTTATGCCATTAAACATGAAAGAAAAATCAAATCATCAAATGTAATAAATTTTATATTTGAAAATACCTTTTACAGGCCTAAGAGGCCTAGTAAAGAAATAAAACAGGCCCTTTCCCTTTTTTTGTCAGCTGAAGTTTTCTTTTAAATGTGCACTTAATTTTTGCTATTTTTCTCTGCCTCTTACTGTCTTACATGTATCTGAATGCACGTTCAAAACCTGTAATAATTACATGTAATAGGCCTATGTGATGACACCTTTTCCCTTTTTAAAGTGGTATATTGTCAAATTTGACAAGGAAAGTGTTGAAGTATTTATTTAGAATTTTTCAGACCAGTCTCACATACAGCAGTTTGTGCATGGGGTGTTGAGTGATATCTGTGTATGGAACTCTGTCCAAACATACCATCTTTAAATGAGAGAGGCCACCTTTTTGTTTTTATTGCAAGAAAAACCTGGGGAAAGAGTCCCATATACGGACACCACTAATTTTCCCATTCCTTTAAAGGTGGAGCAGATTCTGGCTACAAAAAAAGTGCGGGGAAGGACTCTCTACAAAGTGCGCTGGAAGACATACGGCCCCAAAGATGATACTTGGGAACCCTTAAGCCATCTCAAGGGATGCCAGGAATTGCTGGAACAGTTCAGAGCCAAGGAGGTGTCACAGAAGGCACTGCAGAAAGCATCATCCCAGTCACAGCAGAAGGCTGTAAAATACACTCAGCTGGGTGTGAAGCAGTCTGTGGGTGACATGAGCTCAGCTGACGGAGACAGAGTTGGCATGAACGATGTTGATGGACAGGTGACTGTTGAGGATAGAGGAGACAGAGAGGTTGACATGTCCTTAAGAAGATCAGCCTTGAGGAGAAGAGTTAGGACAGATGCCTCACCTTTAATGATGGGAGATGCTCAGTTCATGCAAGAGACTACAGAATCAACACAGGAAGAAGTAAGCAGCATTATAGCCTTCAGCTTACATGTAGATTCAGACTGTACCATCAGGAAAAAAGTCTGTAGATGCAAAGACCAATTTGGGCTATGTTTATTCTCTCCTCAACTAACAAAATTCTACAGATTTTTCAATCAGTGAGGACTCACCTACATGTAGCAAAATATGCACTTGTTATATTTGGCTATTTCCCCCCTCATTATAGGTTTGAATTGAATGATTATGAATATTTTTAGAATTTAGATGCAGTTTTACAATTCCATAGTACTTTATACCCCGTGACATTTTTTAACCAACTGTATCCAAGTAAAGAACTCCTAAATAATTTTAAAATGAATTAACCATAGTTGAGATCGAGTAATTGTTTGATTTTATGCCAAAAACTCATTTGTGACTAAAAAAAATCAGCTGAAGTTTTTATTTTTGTTTTTCCTTTCCCAGAACAGTGACATCGAGAATGGCAATGATCCTACATCCTCACCTTTTCTTGCATTCTTGTGCATTGCATTTATTACAACAATCATTCTGCTCATTTACATGACGCCATAATGAACAGCTTTCTCAGAATTCTCTTGTTTTAAATTGAAAATCGGTTCCATCAGGAAGTTTTGTTTTGTGCATTACCTATATTTGACTCCGAGTACAATGTTGGGCAACACTAGTAGCTGTATTTTGCAAGTAGCGAATAGAGTTGAATTTGCCCCAACAATATTCTTTTTTATACAAGGATAGACTTACTTTTTTTAAATTAATTACATTTCATGCATATATCGCCGGAAATCTGTTTAATCATGAAACTTAAAGGGTTTACAACTTCAAAAAGTCAGTGTGCACCTCCATACAGTGTGTGAGTTGAGTGCTTTTGACTTCTCATTTACTGCCAAATGTTGAACTGGTGAGATGTGAACAAAGCTGCAGATCATGGGCATCATGATTAAGCACATAGAGTTAAGATCATAGAATAAATTGACGACTTAAGACTACCACAGATTTTAAAAACATTTCTAGAACAAAAGTATCAGGAAAGTACTTGGCCTAGTGCTTTTTCAAATACTTTCTCCATGCTCATACTTTTCTCCTGAAAGCTCATACTTTTCTCCTCAAAGCTCATACTTTTCTCCTCAAAGCTCATACTTTTCTCCTCAAAGCTCAATGGAATGAAGCATTTCGAAGATTGAATATTTACATGTAGTTTTCAAAATATATTTTCATCTCTTTCTTATACATTTTAAAAATTTACACTGTTTTCAGCAAACAGCTCGTAAGTCTTGCACATAGAATACATCCTCCTCTGAAATGTTTTGAATAATTTTTAATTTAATAGAGATGTGGAAAAAGGTACATGTAATACAAGAAGTACCAGAATTTTTAAGTATAACCTTTTGCCCATTTGAAAATTCCAAAGTCTTCCACTTTGCAAGAAACCAAGATAAATATTGTGTGTGGTTGGTTTTTGGCAGTTGTGAATGTACAAGGGGTTTTAGCAAGCCCAATCTAGGGGCTTTCCCTTGTAATTATGTCAACTAGTAGTGAAGATTTGTCAAAGTTGTTTAAAGTATCAAAAGGGAAGCATTTCAGTGCACATCTTTAAACAATTGAGATTATAAAAGGTAAGTTACAGCTTTTGTAAGTTGTCTTTCGTCTGACAACACAAATTCAGGAATATAAGTTATCGACTGAGAGTTGTAAAACTGTTTTCTGTACAAAAATCAGCAATAAGATTTGCAAATTATATGTGTTAATTAAGGTTTTAACAAAGTTTGATTCATACCATTTTGTCTAATGGTCATGAAATCAATCAGCCAAGGAGACAACAGATTTGCATGGGCAAAGGTTTCAAATATTTGTGACCTGTCACAACAAAATGAGAATAAAGTAGCATCCCACTCTTTTCTACTTTGAGGGTTCAGAGTCATATTGAAGTGGAAGTCAATTTTGAGGTTTAGTAATATTTGGAAAGGGTAACCTGTCCTGTTTAATTCCAAATAGTTTGCAGGATCATATATTTAAAAATGTCATTTTCTTAGCAATTTGATGATAGTATTATTTGTGCCTAGTCAGAAATGTTGAAACAATGTCGAGAACAAAGACGCAAAGCTGTCAGATTAATGTTACATTGTCACCTTATACTTAATCCCTAAGTGCTCTATGCACACACCCCAAGAAAGCTTTTTTTCTGCTTAATTCAAAAATACCAATAACTCAGTTTTTGAAAATTCTATCTTTCAGCTCATTTTGTGGCGACAGGCCACGTTTTTAAAACACCTCAGACCAAAACGAAGAATTTTTGTAAAGAAAAAGAAGAGTTTGTTATTAATTTGTGTTTCTTTTCTGATGTTTTGCTTTACAATATACTGCTGTAAGTACATGTAGCAGATATAAATACATAGGCATCTGTTAACAACTGGGTACTGTTCAGGATTAAGTTTGTGGATTAATTTTTTCTAAAGAGGATGGGTTTAGATTTTTGAGTGAAACATGAGGTAAAAATCCCTGATGACTATGCAGCCTTGAACTTATGTATGCTTGCAACATGCGCTGAAAAAACAAACATGGCAGCAGTAAAACTTCCATGGTTGGCAGTTGCTGAAAGGTTGACTTAAGTTCTACTCAGAAAGGCAGTCTCTGATTGGCCATAAACTTTTACCGTGGGGGGGGGCTTGCCTACTTCCACAATAACATTTTGACAGCAGTGTATATGCATGCAGTGTGTCATCATATGTCGGTTTGCTTTCAGAAACTTGGGTAAAAAGTGGAATTTTCTCATTCCATATTTCAAGTTCCATTCGAAATTCTATAAAGAGGAGGCTAACAAATGTAACAGATGTCATTTTACAGTGACAAACCCTATTTGGACTGAATGTTGGTAATGAATATCAAAATTTAGATGTGTGTTTGTTTGTAAATAAATCTATTTTTAAATCAGACTTTGTGTCCATGTCCAAGTTATTTGAAAATGTTTCTCAATGGCAGCAAGTTGTCATTCATCAGAGGACAAGATTGTAAAACTGGAAAGAAAACAAAGGGCAAGATGTGAATATCATTCTGTTTGTCATACATGTCTTCATTTTTGTTATGGCAAGTGAAACATTTGGGAAAGCACCAAAAAGCGGCATCCAACAGAAAAGGACACTTCCAAATTGATTGAAATCATTGTTGATAATGTATGGTGTAAAAATGCAACTAGAAGAGTGATATAAAGACAGAGTGAATCTGACCGCTAATGTGTGAGTTTCCAGGGTAGAGCATATTTTTATCTGTTGTCTTTATTTCTCAGTTTTTGTTCCTGTCGATACCGTGCACATGTCCAATCCCTATACACACTCTAGACTTGTTACCTAACACATCCCCCAGAAGTCTGTAAAGAATTCCGATCAAACAATGACCAACACAAAGGTGGGGGGGGGTTCTCTCCGCCCCGTATCTTGCATCATATGTTTCTGTCAGTTATGGGATATTTTTTTTTAAATATCCAACAATTTTGCACAATGCCTGTACTTTACCAGTCCTTCCCTGCCAGGCGCGCGGCCCCGTAATGTAAGAGCCCCCGCCTCTAAGAAAAAAAGTTGTGTACGTGCACCCGTACCTATACGAAAATTAAAAACTATTTTTTAATACGCGCCCACAACAAGTTTTATCCAGTAAAATAGTTGAAGATTTTTCGAGTAAAACATGACTTCGTTTAAGATTAATTTTTATCAACTTTCTGTGCATTTTGAGGAGAATGGGGCTTGGACATTGGAGATAATAAACGCCTCTTGTGGGGAGAGAAAGTTCAGCTTGCGCCCAAGGGTACAGAGACGCGGAACATGGTTAAAAATCTCAATGGCCAGTTAAGTTGAACAAGGCCATAATTCCAAGCAGTGAATATATGCGGGGCCTTGCGCTGCAAGACTGCATGCGCGTTGTTGCAGAAGATCGACGGCAGATGTTTCTCCAAAAGTATTTGCTTTTGAAGCACTTTGCTGTTGGTATGGAGTAATTTTACCATCTGATTACCTATGTTTCATTTTAAAGAAGAAGCATGTTGTTTTTCTGAGAATTATGCATGAATACAGCGACAGTTTTCCAGACACAAACTTCTGCGTGGTGGTGGTTGTGTCCATTGACCAGTTGCGATATTTGTGATGCCTCTTCCTCATTCCTCGCACTCACTGTCATACTACTCTGACGCCTGGAATGGAATATGCAACTGCTTGTCGATCTAGCTTTTATTTTTTCTTAGTTGTTGAATGCATCTGACACCATTTTGTTCATGGTCGTGAAGATACGGTCAGTAGGCCTACCCCCAGTGGCCTTGAACATGTTGAACATTGAAGTTGAAGTTGCACACTTGATGACTTGTCACGCTTTTCTAAATCATGTAGGCCTACACAACCTAGCTAAAATACCTGGATTATATTATGATTTCCACTTTCTATTTCCAATAGAAAAGAAAAGGGCTAAGTTCTATTTCCATTTCCCATGGAAACATCAAAATAATGTAAAAAAAGACTGATGAAGTCTCAATTGAAATAAGGTGATGAGCAATGCTTCTTGGGGTACCGGGTCTCCACCCATCAACTAAAATATGTAACATCTTTAATATCTTATATTATATGGAAATAGAATGAAGTGAAGTGAATGATTTATCACTTGCACCGTGGAGGAATAAAACACGCTTTTACTCAACGTGGAAAGAGTTCCATTCCTGGACATCGCTTGACACCCTGTGCACAAATCCTATGAGACTGGGCTGAAAACTCCAAAGTGTTTTCTAAGTGGGCTTAGACCTACATGTGTTTAGATCTCATTTCCAAGGATGGCTTAACATTGAATGGCTTAGGCTTAGAACTTCGTAACAGCATTTTCCCCTGCTAGGCTCCTAAATCAATTTGACTTAATAGCAGAGTTGTAATGACACAAGTCTGACTCAAGCCACAATTTTTGGCAACTTGACTCGAGTCCTAGCTGACGGGTAAATCACTCGATTCGAGTCTCTGACCAAATGACTTGACTCAACTTGAATTTCTCATGGAGATTCGACTCAAGTACAGGCTTATAAGACTCGAGTCTGAAAAAAATTAAAAGCAAAATTTTAGTTGGTTAGATACCCGTCACCCTGATTTGTTTTCAGTATATCTAAATGCAAATAAAAATGCCCAAAAATGACTTACATGAAGTTGTGTTTTTATTGTATTTTATTCAAAAATTTGTGACTTGAATTGACTCAAGCTTGGTACCTGACTAGACTTGACTTGATGACCTAATGACTTGACTCAAGTCACAATGTTAAACTGACTTGACTTAACTCAAGTCATCAAATTTAGTGACTCATTACAACACTGCTTCACTGGATGTGCTATCATTTTCTGATGGCTGTCAATACATGTATGACTGCAGGGAAAAATGATTGATGTCTATATATGGAATTCCTCCCCAAGAATTTCAGCCAGGCCTGACTCCTTTGTGAGGCTGGTTAACTTGCCTAATAAAATTTGTAAATAATTTCTGATGGTTTGTTTCTGGTCTAGGTCTGTCACTTTTTATCCATCTCATATACCATCACCTAAACTAAGGAGCAAACTGATGTAAGATGAACCAGAAGAAAGGCAGAGAACCTCCCAAGGTGACGGGGTTGTCACCCAAGGAGGGTCCCCCAGGAACCAAGGTCATCATCAGGGGCGAGAACCTCGGGATCAATGCCAAAGACTTGTACGGTAAGTTTGAGCCTGGTTTTGGATCAGAAACTTGTGGTGCATCCAACTTCAAAGCGGAGAGGCTTTGAGCAGCACAATATACTGTGTGTATATGTATGCTGGTATGTGGTATAACTTGTAAGAAGGTTTTTGACATGACGTAGCCTGATGGGCAGAGGCATTTCAGGAAGTGTACGATGTCCATGAAAGCATGTGTATTTCTCTTGACAATTTCATGTACCTTATAATGTTAAGAGACTTCAAAGGTGCTTGCGTTTGTGTGCACATCTGTAAATTAAATACTGACCATCAAAAATCATGTGATGGAAAATCCCCTCTATAGCTTCTTTATTTATGGTGTATGAAGGCATAGTATCGTGTTAGATCATGCCCAAGAGTGCATTATCAGAAATTGTTGTTCCAAGTGTTGATATTTCACTGTATGTGCTTGAATTTTCCCCATTATATTTGCATTATTGCTGAAATGATCACAACTTCCCAGACGCCAGATAGCTCAGAACTGAGAAAACTTCCAAGAAACAATGCTCTTAATATTTGAACAAACGGACCAGCGCTAAGAAACTTTATCATTTTTACATACTCTAGTTATCATTGAGTGCTAAAAAAATATATGCAAATCTGAAATTGAGAGAAAGAGACTTTGCATTACAGGACTTACATATTGTTAATGTTACAAAGTCGCTTGGATTTACTGTTCAGAATTTAATATTTTCCTTGCAACAAAGCTATTAATCTGATTCATTTCCATGGTAACTCTCAGGCTTAACCATCTGTGGAGTGAACTGTGTCCTACTGGCTGAATGGATCTCCCCAAGCAAGATCATATGTCGCACTACCAACTGCAAGGGAATGGGCGATGTCGTCGTCACCACCAAGTCCGGTGGTGAGGGAACGTGTACGGTCAAGTTCCGTGGGGTGCAGTTCTTGCCAAGTAAGCCACTGGTTTTGGCGTATTGTTGTTATTGATTAACCCACACTCCCTTTGTCGTATCCTCCATTGCTCAGGAATGGTACAGCCAGACAAAACTGCCGCATTTTTTTGTGCTTTTAAATCTAGAATTTTTGTCTAGGATTGAAACATCTGGCTGTTCCTTCCCAGCAAAAGTTAAAAACTGCCAGTCCACTCGAAGCCGATTGGTTGAAACTGATACCCTGTGGCACTATCCGAGACCATAAACAAAGATTTATTCACCAGATTTTTTGTCTGAACAAGTGAGAGTGTATGAATTTGTATTCAGTAAAAACTGCCTGTTTAAAAAACTTTTAAGCAATTTTTTGGAGAGCTTTGATGTCTTCACTGGTCCCCCCCCAACAATTTAAGTTTAGACTGAGTGAAACTCTCACACATCACATGGTTAAACAGTTTACTTAGCTAACTGGGAATGACATCACTTAGCTCTATGTGCACAAACCCTATGAAAATGGGTAGCGCTTCAATTTTTTTTCTGCTAAATTTGACTTTTTATGATATGTTTTGCTTTCTGATGGCTAGGGGAATTTAAGTGATGCCTTAAGGTGTAACTCCTTCCTCTAACTGCACTATTTTTGTTAATTTTGGGGTTCAGCTGCTTTACAGCCATGTCCGATCTGGATGGACGAGTCCTCCATCTTTGAGCGTCACCTGACCACCATTCACCGATCCTCGTCCCCCTTGCAGGGTGGTCGTGAAGATCCCTTGGGATTGGCTGTAGAGAGCACGTCGTAAGTTACAGCCAGGACTCTTATTTGTATTGAAAAAAACAGTAGTAGGTGCTCCTCTAAACTATTGGAATTAAATTTGGGGTTTTTTGTTCTCATCAGGGTGCTGTCGGATGAAGAACTCAACTCCATGTTCCCAATGGGTGAGTATTGAGATGAGTCAGTCAAAATCTCAATGAGGAACAGAAGCTGACAAAGTGTGAGAGGCCTCTGGATTTTCCCTAAACAGCTAGATAGTCTCCAAGTACACTCAAATGATCTTTACTTACACTCTTCTTATTTAACCCGTCATTTTTTTAAAATGCGGTCCCTGAGCAATACCACATAAATGAGCCGGTTTGGTATTTCCAAAAAGCAAGGTCATTTGGGAGCAGCAAGGGTGCGAGTCTCCGAAGGGCTGAGTTGATTGAGCAGACCTCGCACGAGCATCCGAATGACCTTGGACACGCTTCATATTGGCCATGCGCTGATGGAATTCCCAAACCGACTTATTGATCTGCCGTATTTGCTGTGCACAAATCTATGTGACCCGATGTATACCGTTTGCAGTTGATCATGGAGAGTTGCAGCCTGCTGCATTCTTACATACTGGAAGGAAAAACCAAACATGTCGTTTAAAACTCAATATAACATGTGGTACAAGAGCAAAAGAACCAGGTTTTTTTTTTTGTTCCTCTGACAGGGAGCAGCAATCTTGCCCACAAAAACTTTGAACCAGTGTGGTTTTTGATTGAAAACCACAGTTCCACCAGGTAAGTTTTTCTGCTCAAGTAGTGTGTGTGACTGTGTTTGTACGTACATGTAGTTGCAACTATCTTCCCTGCATTGTACCAATGGTTAATTTACAGGGGGAAACTTGAAATTCTAGTTTGCAGGAGAGGTTCTAGTAACTGGTTTTTGGCTTATTATGCAACATGAATGCAAATGTTCAACATTGTGGCACTCATTTCGTGTCTTTTCAATTTTTGATACATGTATTTTGTAATGTCAAATTCATTTTGCATTCCTATGTGCATAAACTATGAACTGATCTCTCACAGTATTTGTAAGTTTTCATCTTTGTGTTGTCTTGCTTTACTCTGTAGTTTTCCTGTTTTCAGCAGTCTTTGTCGTAGCCCTTGCATCTCAAGTGGGTTAAATGTATACTGAGGACACTCAACAAAAGAAGTACATACGGGTATAGTAGATACTTGGGTGTGAACATGTCTTCTATTGGATAGTGTGTGCAGATCAAATTCGTTACAAAAAATGTCTAACTGCAGATGGGAGACGTGAGCAGGGCATTGAGGAGTCCAGTAGCATGTTGGATTTGTATAGATTGCTTGCACAGCTGTTTGAACTCAGCCGAGTATTTGTGATGTCAACTTAGTGGCCGCATCTGAACATCTTGGATGAGGGTGACAGCAGTGCAAATATGGGAAATGACAGCAGATATAAGCCTCTTACTTGACGGGTCGCACAGCCATTGCCACCTGCAGCCCAACCTCATGGAGGCTGCCAAACTTTATTGACTGCCCCACTACCTGTTACCTTCCTGATACCCCTCAACTGTTTCATGTTTCAATTCTCTTCAGTTTTGATGACCTCAAGAGAGGTCTGAGCCATGTCCAGAAACAGTCGTCCAGTCTTAAGACAGAGGGGCCACAGACATTCATCAAGTCTAACCTGGGAACTTTCATGAACTGCCAGGATATATTAGCAGGTACAAAACAGTTGAACAGGCTTCTCCACAAATTTAAAGAAAAAAGAATTGAAATAGTAACCATGAGAAAATGGGAAATGTCAGCTTTGTTCATGGAGGACAAAACTGTAACATATCCTAGTGGTTGCACATTGAGACTAACATGCATGTTTTCCTCATTGATATTTTCTGATGCATGCCGAGTCGCCAGTGTAACAATTAACAGTCTTTCTTGCACGGTGATTTCTATTTGTGAAATTTCCATGATATAGGAATTATGATATGAGCTTTGACATCTGCTTTGTCTCATTTTATTTTATTACTGATCAGGTGTTCGTAGTGATGGCTGGGCACGGTTGCTTTTTCACATCCCTGATATCCCTGGTATCTGGTCCTTCTATAGGCTGAAAACCTCAATGAGCACTTTTCTTCCAGCTGGTTCAAAGTTCATGTGAATGCGGGAGTAGTCAAAATGTATAATGGAACTCCTGTGGCTGTCAAAGAGTACTTCCTATGAGGTTGGAGCTATGTGCAAAATACATGGCTGTGACTGGCAATAACACACATGTCCCTTAGCTGTAGCCTAGAGGCAAGTGGCATACGTAGACAGCCTGTTATTTCCAGTGGTAGCCATGTAATACGGATATAGCTCCAGATGAGCAGAGTTAGGAAGAAGTGAAATCTCCTTTGTATCAGCATTCACATGTACGATGATCCCCATTTTTAATCTCCATCAATATATCACAAATTCTGTGCATGACCGACAGAGGGCACTGTTTACCTCTCACCAATGGGCCTTTGGGGCAACACAGCACTTCTGCTCTGTCAGTATAAGCATGTATGGCAATAGAAGTGAAGCTTGGCTAATTTTTGTCTGACCTTTTGGCTGTCAGCCTAGCATTTCTCATGTTAACCTTTGAGGGGCCTGCTTGTATGCAGATTGCTTGGGGGTTGAAGGTACGTGACCATGCCTGGGATATCCAGAACCCGAATTCCAGTAAAAATCCAATGCTGCTGCTGATTTACACCCGAGCACCATTACTGTTTGCACATTCAGACAAAATTTAGTCATCAACACTGCACGCCATACAGAAATGTGACCTTTACATATGCACAAGACACCCTTTACTGACGGTCATGAGCAGGCCACACAGTGCTATCTGTAGTTCCTGCACACAATTTGTAAGACTACCAAGGAAGGCTGTGTTCAAAGTGGGCATCTTATGGCTACGGCTTAAGTATATCACAGTGAAGAACCTTAGCCAAGGCCAGAGATGCCCGTTCTGAACACTGTCACTATTAAGGTACCTTGACACCCGAGGACCACAGCATGAATCAGGTACTAACACTCTTCCTGTGGCTGTTGCCTGTTACCTACTGGTATGCACTACTAACCCCCAACCTTCCACCGCTGACACCTTGTGTCCAACCTCTACAGGCTTTGCTAACAGTCTTCCCAGTCGTGAGCGTCGCTTACGTAGCTGGAAACCACGCTCTAATACCGAGGTCTGGATCAATACCTTACAAACCCCTGATGATTCCAAGGGTAGGACTGAGAATGTGGCATGTTCACACGCTCACACCACGAGCCATGATCTGCAGCTTCACCAGGCACTTTTACCCTTTACATGAGTCACTTAACATTCTCAGTGATTGCTTGTCAGTCTTTCAGCTGTTTTAAGCTCATATTTGAGGCAGAGTCTTGGTCATGATTATCACTTTGAAAATAAAGCTCATCGGGGCCATGAATCATAGTTACACATACAAACACCTATGTCCATCTTAAAACAGACCACTGAAAAGTATTTGCAAGATTTGAAAGTTCCTGACAGGCTAGTTACCTTAATTATTTTCAAACATTCCTTGCTTCAACTCAACAATTTGTAACAAATTTTGTAACATCTCATCTCCATGTGGACCACGGAGGAGGCCAGGCTTGCTACTGATGTCATTGTTACAGTTTGGATGTCTTGAAAATGATGGACATAAGTATATAGATCAATTTGCTTTTGTATGTGAAACGAAGGACCTAGCACTATTGTATCCGACCGTTCTGAAATCATGCATATGTATAAAATGTGTGCATGGCAATGGGAATATCGTCCAAGGGAACTGCACTTAACCCTTTTCCATTTATCTGAAAAAAGTTTGTGTACATTTCATTCCAGGCTTTGTTTGTAGGGTGTCATGAGTCATGATAATGCTTTCTTGCTCTTTTTTTCCTGAATTTTTGCACCAATGTGAATCGCCTTGATCATGATTACATGTATTCCAACAAGACCACCAATTTCTACACACTTGACCATAATAGCACATCACCTCTGCAACTTCTCCTTTGCCTTTGTGGCTGTAAACAGTTTTCCAGTATTCTCCTTTGTTTCCATGTCAGGCTTCACCTCTGAAATTGATCCCAAATGAAGTCCTACACTGTTCAAAGTAATTGAAATAGTTCAAAATTTGGCTTTATTGCATGTTGGCTGATGTTCTAATGGCACTGTCGGACTTTGGGCTAAAAATCAGGCAAAGACAGAAATGGTGACATGAGTATCGAAAACCCCCCCTTGATCTTTGACTCACGAGGTCCTGTACGTTACAAGGGACCTCACACTTTTGAGGCACAGACATCCAGACTGTAAACAGTGGATCTCTGTTCAGCCACCCCTCAATACAGTCAGTTACATGTCCTACATTTACATATCATATCTATACACCATGGAACCCTAAATGCGGGACTTTGCTACAAAGCCTCATGCCTCATTTGAGATGTACCCAGGGCATTATGAATGTCAAACACCATACCTCATTTCAAACAGCCTCAAGAGCAATGAATCCCCATTCCTAATTTCACCATCCTTCGTGAACCATGCACTTCTACTCCTCCAGCCATTCATGACAGCCTCGTGAGGCATGAACCTCTTGGGGTGCCCCTACCTGATCTTTCCGAGGAAGACGAGGAGGAAGAAGAGGGGACTACGAGAGGTTACACCTTGGAGAAGCTTGAGGAGTCTCTCATACGTAAGTTCACAATGTAGCTGCAGAAATACTCTATGACTGCAGAAGCTAAAAAAAAATGGTTAAAATCAGACTGCATGAATCCAGTATTATTAATCTCCTCTTTCTAACAATGCAAGTTCTTAAAATACAGTAATGTAGACTTTTTACAAAACTTCTTTATTTGTATCCCTTTCAACAATATTCATCTCAGAATAGTCACACAGTTCGCCTCTTTAAGAAAATTCCTGTGTCTTTGCACACTAAGAAAAGTGTGGTCCCCTAAAAGTTCAAGTTATTTCTGTCGGATGTCTGTTTTCTTGCGTTCAGCTGCATGTGTTATATGCCTCTTCATCTGATAGAGTGTGTACAAGTTGCAAAGTTGACATGCTATTAAATTCAACCGTACAAAGGGACAGATGATGATTGTCTAATTGAACAAAGCATGGCATTACGTGTGGGACACAAAGGGCACGGTTTCACAGACTTATCCTTGTCGTCTTTCTCCCATCTAGAATGCAACGAGAACGCGCAGCGAATTTTTAAGAGCGTTCTCCACCGCAAGGATCGTGCAGATTCCACGCGCAACGCCCTCAACGTGCTGAACCGGTTCAAGTTCCTCTTCCACCTGCCCATCACAATTGAGCGCAACATCAAGAAGGTTTGTTTAAACTCTAACAACACCCGAGACGCTCTTTATTTTCCCTGGGGAACCTTTCTGTTTACCGTGTAAAATGTTGTCTTCATCAGCCATTCGCTTTGTCACATCATGAAGTCCTTTTCTTAGACTGGGGAATTGAGTAAAGTGATTCAAGGCGATAGTTTGGCTGGCTCATTTTTTACTTTGGCCTTGTTGCTTTGTTGGTTATTTTTCTTTTCTCTGTTTCAAATGTTCGGCTTTTTTTTCCGCAGGGAGATTACGAGGTTGTTATCAATGACTACGAGAGAGCACGGCAGTTGTTTGCAGATACAGAGGTCTCTGTCTTCAAGAAAGGTATGGTCTCGACACCTAATATATATTGGCACAGTTTGAGGGATCTCTCTGTATATATGAGGTTTGTTCCGAGAGCCATTTATCTGAGCGTTTTCTACAAAAACAGGTGCTTTTCATGTATGAAATGCAGTATTTATGCATGCAACTGTTTGAGATTTGGCTTGACCGGGCTGTGACATAGGCTTTGAAGTTGAAGACATTGCTCTGAGAGCTGCTCTTGGTTTCATCAGTGTATGAAGAAGTGGAGAAACGCATCGTGGACCTGAGAGTTCAACTCAAGGAGAAACTGATGGAGTTACCTTCAACCCTGGATGATCAAAAGAAACTCATCAGGTAAGAAGTCTGATCCACTCCAGATGGCTCTACCTGTTCATTCTTCATATTGATTACTCATGCTTAAGAATAGTTGCTTGTGAAAATTTTTTCACAAGGTCTTGGTGTCACAGTGTTAGTGGTCTAAGGGCTAAACCAGTTTATATTAAAATTCACATCTGTCGGATTCAAAGAACATCTTGTAAAAGGAAAGCTGCTTTAACAGGAGAATACTAGGGTGCAAGCCGAGTATGGTCATGAATTACACAAGATATGACGTAAACATAGATAAAACAAAATAGACTTTGCATTAGCCGATACTGTATTTGTCGTACCTGGCATCATCAGGGCATGGATATGTACATGCAGTCCTACCTGACTTGGGCCCATCTGTGTTCCACATGCGACTGTGTATTTCTCAAATGTAGGCTGACCTGATTTGTGCCCATCTGTACTTCATATGCACCCACCATTTAATAGCTTGATTTCCATATGCTGTATTATTCATGTTTACGTCACAGTTGTATTATTCATGACCATACCCAGCTTGCGCCTAGATTAGTGTCTCCCACTTTTTGTAACTACTTTTTGGGCCCAGGAGGGCATAGATGGTGAGTGATGCATGTTGTAATTGATTTGTGGTTTTTATAGATATTTGGTGGAGTTAGAGGCCCCTGGCGACCCCGCCTGGGAGTGTATCGTCAATCAGCAACAGTGGCTCCTCAAGTTGCTGCAGAAATGCAAGGATGACCATCTCCAACTGGGTATGCAAGCAAGTTTTGGTCTGAAGGTTGTGTACCCAAGCCATTTATAATAGTCTGGATGAGTCTGAGTCCATTTTGTCATTAAAATACTTGACCAAAAAGTCAGTAGCGGCAATATTTGCCAGCAAAGAAACTCGTTGGTATTGTTCATTATCATATTGTGAAGGATTAAGGGTGCTATGCCCAAACAATCTTTGAGAGGATTGATTTGTTCAAGAGTTGAGGCCAGGTTAATTTTGATGTATACCTACATGTAGTTTTATAGGTAAATAACCAAGTTTGGGGAAGTCAGGTAGAATATTACTGTACCCATCATCCTGTCCTGGATACTCAACCATTGACCAATATTGAAACCAGTATCAACTCAACATGCTCTTATTTCAAATTAAATATTGAACAACTTATAAACTTGGTTCATTTTTGTATGCAGACCAGCAGAACAACCCAGAACCCACAAGTGTGACTTTACGGGCCAAGGTGCACCACTCCAGAAATAGATCAGGTAAAGGGTTGAATCAGAGAATGCTAGCATCGAATACAAATGTGTGCCCACTAACCCTAACTGTCCCCAATGAACTATTTGTGATATTTTTTCACACCTGCTAGAGGGTTAGGGGTTAAAGTCATAGGTCAAAAAAGTTAAGGAACTTGCCCCCCCCTTCCCTGGCTCCTCCAGTTAAGTGAAGCTAAACATGGCCTAGCAACAAAAGAAGTTTGGTGTTCTCCATGGATTAGATACCAGCCTGGGCATGAATACCAGGGAATGTGAAATAAGTACACGTATCTCCAGACTTGACCTGAAATTTAAAAAGTGGGATCATGAAAGCTGAAGTATTGACTTTCCTACTGTTAGCCCTGTTCAAACCTGCCATTCCGTCGCTGCCTGAAAGCTGTCGCACTGAGTTGCATCAAAACCTTTCAGCTAGAAGGTTATAAGTTTTGATGCTTACACCGCACTACCATTCCTAGGCAGCAGAATCACGAATAATTGGAGGGTAAACGCATACTGATATGTCACTGTGGAAGTGCTAACACATCAGCATGTTGCTATTAATGCAGTTCATAATTGTTTAAAGACTGGTCTTCTTTTGGAATGTCGAGATAGGAGATCAGGGTAAACTGCCTTGCTTGTGGACATAGTGCATGTTCTAATGGCTTAGATTGACTGTCTGACCATCTGATTTCATCAAAAAATGTATACCACAGTACAAAGCAACTTGTGAAGTGTTTGTTACATTATGACTTTAGTTCACATCACTATATGCCCATTAACTTCTCTTGTTTTCCTTAAAAATGCAGCATCTTGAAAATGGAAACAATTCTGCTACATTTTGAACCTGGTCTAATGAGAATAAGTGGTGTTTTCAGTTGAGTTTCATAATTCTAACCCAGCCACAGTCGGTGAAACAAAAGTCATTTGAAGTAACACCCTAAATTGATATCTTTGCTTGGAGTAGCACTGGCTTGGTGTGGAGAATCAATGTATCGGTAATATTTATTATTTAAAACTCCGGTTTAAACTTTACAATTACATAAAATGAACAATAAAATGAAAGCATGGACATATCTCATCAGCATTGGTATGCATAGAACTGATAGCCCAACTCAAAATACTGAGACGTGAACTCAGAAATTAACAAGAATGACCTGGATCATGAATGCAGCAACTGCAACTTGCATTTCATTGCTTCTTGTTACAATCTAATTTTCCACCCGTCTCATGTCTAATTGGTTGCATTTCTCTTGAGTTGGAATGCCCTCTTTGCTTTCCTTCTTTACGTTTTCCTTGGTTATTTTTCTGTGCTGTGTTTTTGTTTACATTTAGGCTCTTTCAATCAAATGAAATTCAACGCTGGCGATTCTGCAGGTGAGCATGGGATCTCATATGAGTGGCTGAAGTTTTGCCATTGTATTTTCCTTTTAAAGAAACTCTTGTGTGTTTTTCATTAATGTTTGTAAACGGCTTGCTTATTTCAACTGGATTTCTTTGAGTTATTTTATGACCATAATTACCAATAAATCTCAAAAACAAACAAATTTGTGGGGACTTAGTGACAAAGGGGGGGGGTGGCAGATGTTGAGTGGTGCTGCTCAGAACGGAATAACTTTGGATAACTGCATGGTTTGAAAGATGGATATAAAAAGAACCAACCCAATCAGGTCGAAGTGCTCAAACACCATCCAAAGAATCACTGCACATTTTAAAATTGTCACCTAAAGACTCCATATGCACATCCCTTCCCATCTCACCCTCACCAATGAAAAATACGCAATTTCACAGAGTGTGAAATCTTGATTGGACAGCAGCCATTTTCCAACCACTTTGGGTAGTTAATTGAAAGCAGATGAGGTCGGACTATAAGTCTGGAGGACACGTAAAGGTAATGGAATGTAAGAAAGCAAAATGTAAAAAGCGGAATCCTTTTGACATTTCCCTGGATCTTTGTGTTTGTAGCATTTAAACTGAGGGAGTGTGTTCTCATGTAGCCTTGGTACATATGTTTGTCCAATAAAAGGTAATATTAATAGTCAATTTCACCTGACCATTTTTGAGCTCACTTTCATGCACCAATACCACTATCTGTGTTGGACTTGTCCCCAGATGTTTCACTCTGTATTCATCCTTCCCCTATCCTTCGCATTTTGGGTACCTCTGCTTGGTGTCCCTAGTTTTTCTAATAAGGCAAACAGTATAAGCTGAGGGTGATTGTGATAATTGGTGTGGGCTGAATCATTTGATTTCAGAGGGGAAGTACAGCCCTCCACAGCGTGTGCTTCTGTTAGAGGAGCTGGTGGATATCTTGCAGCTCACCCTGCCAGACCTGGGCAAGTTGGGACACTCCTACTTCTCTGCGTCTATCGTGGCAGAGGTACTCTTGGAAACTTTCCAGTTCACCTGAACTTATGCCTATGGTGCATATCTATTGTAAAAAGAAGACAGAAAAATTGTAGTCTATTGGTTAATCTCTCTGTGGTCCAACAAATTTGAATGTATATTCACCTTCGTTCCCTTTGTGGTTAAGGACATGAAGCAAAGTTTTGTTGTGAGCTGATATACGTAGTGAGCATCAAGTAAACTTTCACTCAGCCCAGCTGATGTGGCAGCCAAACAGCTTAGATTTTATGCACTGTTGGTTGGAATATTAATTAAGAGCTGGAGCTGTTTGTAAAATGTTCCTCTTTGGTGTAGTTTGTAAATGTGAATGCCTTTTCATTTTGCAGGCAGGAGGGAAAGATATGATTATTGACAGATCCAAAGAGAAAAACTTCAGAGTAAGTTGGGAATTATTTTTTTTATCGTAGGTTGTACTGTAGGGACATATAACTGAGAGAAAAAAAGAACTAGTCTGACTAGGCCTTCAAAAGAAATTCAAAGTAAATATATTTAAAATCATTATCAATTTGATTGATAGCGCTTCTTTAGCCATCCATATTTATTTTTAATCTATCAAAAATTCCTACACAGATATACATCATTTATTTTAGAGAATATTGGAATCAAGTCAAGCCCTTCTAGAAGTCTAGATCATTCTGTTTCTTTGTATTTGCCAACCTTGTGTTCTCCTTTTCCAATAGCAAATGGTGACTGAGGTGACGGTGCTGTTTGCAAACCTTGTCCGTGCCGCCTTCCTCCCTGACTCTCTGATCAAGCTACGCAAGGAAGAAAGAGCCAAGTATGGATTCTGGTCAGACACCAAGCAAGAGGGAGCGGCAGGGGCGTGGCTGCCCCCCTGCGTCAGGAGTGTCAGGTAAGCAAAGAGGGTGTGGTCACTCACTGTGGTCAGACATCAAACAAGGTGGGGCAGCAGGGGCGTGGCTGCCTCCCTGCATCAGGAGTGTCAGGTGAACAAAGATGGTCTGGCCCTTATGGTCAGACATGTAAGGGAATAAATAGGGGCCTGGCTGCCTCATTGAAGACTGCTTCTTTGTGGGAGTTTCAGGTGAGTGAAGTTGGAGTGGTCATTATGATCATGTGTGACAAGACTGAAAATGATCTGAGATTTTACTCTACTAAAAAGGCCAAGATCTTGTATTAAAGCTGAATGTTTAATAGAGTAATTTGGTCTTTTCTCTAGGTCTGTTCTTGGTTCACTTGCTGCCCTGGACGTACCTTCCTCAGCCCTGGATCATGTCCACTCATTAGTGGCTGATCTGAGGGTCCATTGTATGGAGACGCTCTTCATCGAAGCTAAGGAAGGTCAGTCTCTCCTTTTGATGGGGCTAAGGTGGGGTTGGGGTGAGGCTGTCCGCTTGTAAGTAGCTGATCGGAGGGGTTATTCTGTGGAAGGGCCCTCCTTTGAAACCCAGGGACACTTGTGTATATGCTATCAAGGCTGCAGGCTAAAGGATTGGGCATCGCTGTTGGGTTGTTACTTTGGGTTCATGGTATGGAGATGAGAAACCAGAATGACTGTCAGATATGGTCGGGGCTGGGCTGAGGTGGAATGTGTTTTTCCGCTTGACCGTGTAAAGCTCATTGTATGTGGACAGTCTGCACAAATGCTGAAAAGTCAGGGTTCAACAGGCTCATCGGCAATGATCAATGCACCCCACCAGTTTCGGTGTCTCAGATTTACCCATTCTAAGTCCTGACATTTGAGCGTTTGAGTCTAGCCTGGTTTTTTTTTCCAATTCAGATATCAGAGGCCTCCACAGCAGAGAGACCTGGGTGCTTCAGATGGACGATCACGGAGGTATTACCTCATTGGTAAGTCCCCTTCCTAGTCATGACCTCATACTTGTACGTCTAGAAATCTTTTGTTTCAGAAGCTGTAATCTGGTCTTGTTTCCCCTCCAATTTTTTCTTGATTTCCCTTTGCCTGACATATTGACTTTTCCGCCGTAGTTTTTGATTTTTTACTGGGAAGATTTTCTTGCAAAAAATACAGAGGATAACTTGTTGGGTCTCAAGTGTATAGTCTTTTTTTTTTCAGCCAATGTTGTTTGAGAGCATGGTGGTGGACGTGGTGCAGCATCTCCAAGAAGTTGTCAGTGTGGCCAAAATGGGCGAGAAAGACGTAAGAGATTGCCCCTCTATTCTTGCTTGAGATGCCGCCATCGTGCAGTCGGGCGCAGAGAGGATAGTCTCGTACGCCTTGACCTTGCAAAGCACTTTTTATTTTATTTCCAAAATCCTCTTCAACTTCACAAGGCAGACCCAAAATGCTCACAACCGGCAGTACCAATGGAATGGAGCCATACGGATAATGACTGGGCAGCACTGTGTTCTTTAAATACCATTTTGAGTAGTTTGTAGCAAAAACAGATTGTGAAAATTTCGAGTATTTTAGAATGGGCAGGCATGCATGTGTTTTGTTTTGTCAGCAGTAGCTTGGTTCTTCTTTGGCTGTCTTGAGAGAGCAATTTCTAATTGTTTTGTGCTATTTACTTCCAGATTTTTAGTGATTATGACGTCCAGCGCAAAACAGTGACTCTAACCTCCGATATCTTGAAGGTGAGAAGGTCATTGCTATTGGAATGGAACTTGAATTTACAGTAATACTGTAAAATGGTAGACTTGGTTGATCTTTCCTGTTTTTAATGCTTTGAAGCAACGGTACGCGAGAGAGGATTTACTTCAAAGACATTTGAAGGATTGGATAATTGAGGAATCTGTGTTGCATGCTACACCATAAAAGTGACGCATGATGGTGTATTTTGGGGCTTGTAGTGTGCGACCACACCACAAATCCAGAAAATAGTGAGTGTAGAAAAGATGTAATCTGCGGTTGTCTGTTTTTTTCTCCACAGGCCTTTGCTGGCTGCTTGGAGCAGTTAGCGTTCATGGGAGACACAGAAGCTGACACACAACGTCTGAGGTCAGACATTTGTCTTTTCAATTTACAAACAAAACATGGAGCACTGTTGTCATTAAAGAACAAACAGTATTTACTGAAATGGCATCTACGAGAAAAAGATCAGAAACACAAACTTATTTTGAATTTGTTTATTTAACTTTTGCCATACATTCACAGGCTACTCATTGTATAGCAGTATTGAATGCTTTGAATTATCCATTTCTTTCTTTATCTGTCAGAACTTAAGTGTGGAGTTAATAGGTAGTTTCTCAGATTTGACATTGACTTCCATTAACTTGAGTCTACTATGTACAGAAGCTAGAGTAATGATTATCCATATTGCCATTAACTTGCAGATTATCTGAAGCCCAAATGAGAATCCCTGAGTCTTTGTTCCAGTCATCTGAAGACAGCCTGCCCTCTGTGGTATGTTCCACCCTATCATCTACCCTTTGACTGTCAGAAGGGTCACCTAGATAAGTCTTTAATTTCAAGTCCTGACAGTCAGGTCTTATAGGAAGTCAAATTCTGAATAAAATTCTGTCCTCCGTGTAAAGTTGTATCATGGTTTCAGTAACTGCAGTTTTGCCAGAGGAAAGAATTCTGGCATAGGAAGTTCTTCTCTTCAAATTTTATCAACACCCATTTATGTTAAACAAATATTACAGTACAGTTTTCCTCCAAGACCTTTAACCAGTTCAGAGTAATTGTGTCCATGTATTTAGATGTAAATTAAAATCATAATAGTAAAAAATATCTTTAGTACGAGTCAAATCTTTGTATTATGTTCATAAACTATTTTATCTTCTGTCAAAAGTCATGGGTCTTTCATTTTCCTACTCAGGAGCAATGCCTGGTGATTGTCTTAAGCAACTGCAACCATGTGTCTCAGTTTGTCATCCCCAATCTTGTGGAACAGTTCAAGAAACAAGGCTACCCCTGCATGCTGGAAATGGAACGGGTAAACTAACTTGGTTATTTCGCCCCAGCTTATCCGACAAACTGCCTTTCGCCATCTCAGTTTCTACTCAGTTACTTGATTTTTAACTTCCTTCAACATGTACTTCCTATTATTGTAGCATCTTATTATTACATATATTTCGAACTAACTGTGGTTTTGATTTTGGTTTCCACGGCAACAGAATGCCCAAGAAGCTTACATTGAGTTGGACGAGAAGATTTTTGAGGCATACTGTGAGCAGAAGACGGATCCGTTGGTTGGAGCCTTGGAGCCTGGCATGTATGCCGGTCACTTTGATTGGGCAGATTGCCCCAAACCAACAGGTAAAAGAATAACCTCGATCAGAAACATGTCTTGACTACTTTGTGCCAGAGGACACAATTTGGGCACCTGTATACACACACATACCTGTTTTACATACAAAGTGTGGACATTCCTTTGTTCTCCTGTGGTTAAGGAAACTTGAGGAAAATGCTCCTTTTTCTCCAATTAGGATAACTCCTTTGAGCTGGATTGTTGATGATGATTTCCTGGACTGTTCCTCTTCATTTTGCCACGGATAACCTTGACCCCAAAATGCCTCTGAAACTGTTTTTCAGAGAGGGGGAAACATTGTGTGGATGTGTGCAAGTCCACACTATGCCATCGCACCCTACATTGTGTGGACTTCTTTTGTGTAGAGGTCCACAAAGTCTGAGAAGTCTGCGGTGGTGGACCATGTGTTGAACCTGAGCTTGGCTGCTTTGCATGGCCAGTCGTGGTATACAAAGAAAATGAAGTAGGAAAGTAGTGAAATCGATTGGAAGGCAGCATGCGACCATTTCCAAGGACATGGTTACCTCAGTCTGATACTTCAGTGGTATATTGTAACATCAGCTTAGGAAGTGTCCAGATTACTTGGTTATAACCGGGCTGCGGATCACACATCCACCTATGGGAGCCAGTGGCTAGGGGCTGCAGCTAGCTAGGTCCCATAGAGGCTTGTGTAACTGCCAGCTACAGCTGCTGCTGATGCAGACTTGGCCTTAGATATATTGTCGGAAAATGACTAGTGTGTCATTGTCCTTATGACCCTGACATGTAGGGCTAGCATGTAAGGCCTTGTCCAACTTTAGCTTAACATAATGATTCTATGATAATGGCTTCAGCTACTACCCATAGAATTGAACATAATTTTGAGCTGAGACAAGTAATTTAACCATGGCCTAAGCGTCCACCACACAGGCGCTATTGATAATTATGCCTTGTGGTCACCTTGCAGGTGTGCGACCCTACATCAAGGAGGCGGTGATGTCTGCGGTGGGGATTCACGCCGAGGTGCACGCCATCGCGCCCGCCTTCATGCCCCGCGTCATGGCCAGGGTGCTGGAGGCCATCTCGGATGAAATGGCGCGGCTGATGGGATGCATCGACCAGTTCAGGCAGCATGGTGCACTGCATGCCAGGCTAGAGCTAGCGGCAATAGAGGAAGCACTGACAGCATACAGGAATGCAGGAACAAGGTTGGCATTCCACCTCTCTTCACAAAGTAACTTCTAATACGGTTTATTCATAATACAGTGCATCACCCAGAGGTTCCCATGGAAAGGTCATTTTTAGCTGTTCCCAATCTCAATTGGGAACAGCTATTGTAATCGTTAAAGTTTTTTTCCTTTTTTTTTTCTTCTTTTTTTTTTCTGCTCTTTTATTCTACAAGGCAATTATTTTAAGTCCGATCAATTTCAAACTTGGTATAGTAATTAACCATCATTGTGACGTCATCAGGGGTCATGTGACCTCAATTCAAATGTTCATTCTTTACAGTCTAATAACTAGTAAACTATTTGACCGATTTCACTCAAATTTGGTATGCACATATTCATGGTGTGACCTCTACTTCCGGTTTGACCGGAAGTTGTATTTTAACACACAATTCATCATATCTCATGAACTATACGTTCAATTGCAGTGATAATTTCTTTTTCGTTATACATGCCACTTTGGCAATTATTTGTAATCAAATTAATTGCAAACTTATGATACTCATTGACAGTCATCAAAAGACAATAAAACACATTTTGGGAACAGCTGTGTGTTTGTTCACAAACACATTTTCTCTCATTAAGTTTATAGTTGACAAAACATGGCAGTTATGTACGAATATTTAACAAGTTTTGATTTCGGAAGTGTGTGACGTGCATTCTCCCACCATCTTGATTAATCTTGAATACAATTGTGAATCTTCTACCTCCATCCCCCCCCAAAAGAAAACATTTGGAACCATTCAAATTGCCCGTGCGATGCTGAAGAATAAAATTGGTCAACCAATTCCCATAACAAACTGCCAAAAATGGCCTCTTCATGTCAGCCTCTTGGTGGCGCACTAGTTGGGATTCACCTGTTTTCTTGGTGTGGACATAGAAACTTCAAGAGTCAAAACAGACATTCGTTTGAAATCTTGCCATGTTTTGTGTTATAAACCACAGCGATGCCTTCGAGGAGGCACACGATGGCATACCACCGTTGGAAGGAGAAAGTAAACGGTAAGATTCTTTTCATGCTGTGGCTGACATTGAAAATATTCATGAGATGTTTTGATTTACATGAACTTTGTCAACGAATAACATTTAGATAGTCACAGAGTCATTCTCCTCGAACAACTTGCTATTGGACGTTTTTATGCTTCCAACAGAATCCAATTTCAGCCCTAAAAACTCTAAATATATTCAATTCTGTTAGGTATCTTTGCTGCCATGAGAACTTTTTCTGTCTCTTACTGTTTACTGCATCAATTTTGATGATGTCAGTTTTGCCCCGATAAATTTAGAACTTTTTAAAACATATTCTAAGAAATTGGCTTTCTCATCTTTGGGAATGTGCTCGTTGTGGGAGAGTCAGAAATAATCTTGGAAATGTCGCTGAAAGAAAGCCTGATGACTGGCAAAGGGATTTTTTTGATTGCAGATTGTTTCAAGATCATCTGAGCACATTCAGGAACGAGATGAGGTTTCAGCTGTCTTGCTTCACCACGGACTCCATGGATTCCGACTCCTACTATTAATTCTGTCAATCAGGAATCCGAGCGATATCTCTGGCTAGTGTTTCCCACCTCCAGGTCCTTTGCTGACGATAGCCCAGGCTATTTACAAGTGATATTTAAATCTGTTCGGGGTTGTTATCATAGCTTTGTAATGTGGAACTGGAAGATTGAAGCATTTAACATTTAGAGCTGCTTCAGGACAAACTAAGAATTCTGTAATTGTATGTTACAGTATAATACTCATGCATAAACACAGATAATTTTTCCATTTAAATCAAAGAATGTTGGGATTTCAAGCCTAGTGGTTGCAATTTGTAACTTTGGATCAGTGGGTGAGGGTTCGAGTCCTGTTATGGGGCAAGTCACTTTACTCTAACTGGCTTCTCTCCACCCAGGAGTACAAGTGGGTGCCTGTTCTGTTTGTTTGAACCAGACCTCACCCGAAATGTTTGCATGGGACCTGGATGTTTTGTCTTACACATGTGTCACTAGCACTAGCGACTACTTTTGGAAGTTCATGTATAAGGTTTTATTAACATTCTTGTACTTAAGGAAAAGCAGCTGTAGTTATTTTGGCAAGAATGCTTGAAAGGCATCTGTAGTGATGGTCCTTTGGTGGAAACTCACAACGTATGCAGTTTTATGTGCATCTTCCAAGGGATGCACCTGGACATCTGTGGCTGATTCCTGTTGTTACCATAGATAGCATATGGTTGGAATGCACAGTGTCCTCATCATAATGTGCATCGGGTGCCCAGATGAAACAATTCCCACCAACCCATGTTTTCTTTGCCAGTGGGTGGAGGGGCTTGGCTTGGCGTCAGAGTAGATAACATACTGTACCACTGGTCACAGTTTGTTCAAACTTTTGGAAGTCCTGTCGTCAGGAATTTGTTCCCTTCCCCATTCTGACTCCCATTTCATCCCAAAGAAAAGAGTGGCCTCTACAAATGAGAAATATCACAGGACTTGCATGTACAGGCAGAGTTGCTGCTGCAAATAATTATTACAGATTTAGTACAGGGTGTAGCTGGGTTACACTTTGAGGGGCCCTCTTTGAGGGGTTCTTGGGGGCCCTCTTTCTGGGCAAGTGGTCACGGAGATGCTGTCAGTTTGTTTGGGCGTCAGTAAAATGAATTTATTGAAATAAAAGGAAACAAAAATAACAAATCAGTGCAATGTAAAAGAATTTATACCATTACCTTGCAATTAAATGTAGGTTAATAAAGTGGTATGTAAACCAAGACATTTTCACTTATTGTTTAATTACAAAAATGAAGACTAATTGACTAATTCTTGTAATTATCACCTCTTTATTACTTGCCACATTCACTGTACACATCGGTGGATAGTTTAATCACAGATTTTTATTCATTACAATGTAAGCAATTTTTAAGAGGCATGCTGTCATTGTTGAAAAGGGTACAAAAAAGCTAGTTTAGAAAGCTATTAACAGCACAAAGTGAACAAACCACGGAGGTTGTGAATTTTCAACTTTAAATCCCTTGGAATGTGGTGTCTCCACAAATCCCTGTTGATTTACGTTTTATTTTCATTCAATAGTGGTGCAACAGGGTAAGTCTTAGACGAGTTGTCCTTGAAATGATAGAAGGGCGGCGGCACCTTTGCCTTCCATCTGTGTGACCTGGGTTTGAATCACACCCAGGCCAAAGTGTGGATTGGATGTTCAGACCCTACTGGACACCTTGATGGAAATAACAATTCAGGTCGATTTTCAGTGTTGAAATGTTTTTAAGTATATAATGCAATGCAGTGGGTATCAAATGTCCCTGACAAGATCTTTAACGATCAGCTGAACACTGGGCTATGGGTTGGATGCCACAATAGACTTTCTACAGTTCTGCAGTATTTTAAATACCCACTTCGGACCCAAAATGAGCTCTGGCTCAAATGGTAAAATATCAATGTATTACTAATTTTTGCAGAAATAATCAAGTACATGAATTGATCAAATTTGCCTTCATCACCACGGCAACCTTTTTTTACAATGCAGCTTAGTATTTACAAATTTATGACAATCTGAACTGATACTAGAGTCTTGACACATCACCCAATTTTGCTGAGGTTTTCTCTTTGGATACATAAAAAATTACAATGTTACATCCAACAGACTGATCCACTTAGCACTGCCAATTGGGCAACGGACATGCTTTTCTCCAGTGATACATGTACAATGCATGTTGCAGCTGCGCACATCTTGCATGCATGCATGTCAGTATTTTGTGCAGGCATGTCAGACACAAATCACAGCTGTAACTGGTCGAAAAATCATGGGATGAAACAATGGATTGGTCTATTGTGAGGAGAATCAAGATACCAACAGTGAGACAACAGATAGCATTCTTAGCAGGTTGCTGCTCCTGGTCATTTTAAAACAGAAGTAAATTCAACTAGATATGGGTAAACATAAAAAAACAACATTATGAAATTTGTTATGTTTGCAATCCTCCCAAAGAGTAATTCGGTCTCTACTCAGAACAAAAATAATGCTTGTACCTAAAATGGAAACGTTAGCCCCAAACCTTCCAAGCATTTTTCTCCAGGATGTTTTCTGCCCCTGCAAAAATCTGGGAAACCAATGGCACGTTCTTTAAGCTTGAACAAAACTTTGGGATTACCTATCCATTAAAAAATGAAAAACATAAAATGACAAGGCAATATTTTACAGGAATAACCTGATTCAGAGAAATTTCACGACAAAAATACAGATCAGCTGGGGAAAAAAAATTGATGGTGACTACAAAGACAGAAATGATAAAATGCAAAGTTAAAATTCTTCACGAAGCTTGAAATGGATGGTTCATGTGTACAGCAGGTTATCTAGGAAGAAAATGAATGCCCCCACAAAGAGTAAAATTTACCGAAGCTTACTTTGAACCTTTGGCTTCAGACCATGTCCTTGATTAATAAGCTGTTAGGAAGGAAAAAGAAATTTATCGGAATACAAGAACTTTCTTCCCTTCATACTTTCTTGTCGGAATGTTGGCTAATGATTATATAGACTGAACAGCAAACCTCAAGCAAAGTAGGTTTCTTGTAATGTCAGTTCCCACTACTGACCATGGGGTGGAACACAAATCCTGACTCATCTCTCGGGTACAACTTTCAACAATTCTAGATCTTGCTGTTTTCTAGAAACTCCAAAGCTGTTCTCAGCAAGATCAACAATGCACCAACTAGACCTTACAAACACCAACTAACACTGAAACTGTAGAAGTCAATTGGTTACTCCCTCTTTGTATCCATTGTGCACAGAGAAGTGCACATACTTTATACATATTACAGCCTGTAAATATCACCTTGTTTCAAATTAAACTATGCGTACTTTATGTTACAACTTACTTTAATTATTGAGTCTCTAGATACAATTTCCTTCCCAAGGAAAAAAAAAAGTTAAAGAGCAAAAACAGTGAACAAAAAACCCTACTCAGAGAAATCAATATCTCATTAATATTTATACAATGTAATGTCACCCTATATGTTGGGAAACACCTCAAAAGTTGGAACGACGGAACGTTCCTGTTCCCACTAAAATGGAAAACCTTGTGCTCCTGATGCCATTCCCGAGTTGGTGTACACACAGCATAGACTGCTGGTACCTTTCTGGAACATGCACTGTTCTGTAAAGGAACACTGGATGTTCCTGACTGGAACAAACCACTTTTCAGGTTAAGTTCTGACTTTTTGAGATGCCCCCTACTGGACATTAACCCTAGCCCTTTTCGCTAGGGACCCCCCTCAATCCTCCCAAATCCTCCAATTTGGGGGGGTGACAAAATTAGATTTTCCTTCAATCCTCTGAAATCCTCCAAAATTTCCAGACAATATTACTTGGAGGTGTGCCTGCTGCCCCAATCCTTCAAAATCCTCTGGCAATTCCTGTCATTACGTCGAGGCAGCGCGAATGGCATTCTTGAGCAGTGTGGTTGATTCAAAAGAAATATCGGGCTGAATTTATGCACGACTAAGCAAAAACAACCAACGTCAAACCTACGACCTTCATACATGGCATCCTTCGCAATAAGCCATGCACTTTTGCCATCCACCCTCAATCCTCCAAAACCGCCCGAAGGATTTTGGAGGATTGAGGAAGGTTAGGGTTAATGCTTCTTTCTTCAGAAGTACTATATACACAGGAAGACCACGACGAGGTCCACACAATCCAATAAGGTCAATGTCCAATGTTTCTAAGTCCACAGACAAAAATTCAAGATATATTCAAAGAAAAGCCAGAAAAAAAGGACAAGATTTAGAGCTGAACTTCTGTAAGATGGAATGCAAACACTCAATAACCTTAGAACACTGTTCCCATCCAAGCAAAATCTTACCAAAATTGCAATTTAATTATTGTGATCAAGAGGCACTTAAAATGCTAGCCGATATTTATTTTCATCATTTCCTTAATTTTTAAACTTTACAAATAATTCCATACTGTACAACTATTAGTGGCATACCCTGGCAGATCAAAAGGATTTCCTTTTTACGCAAAGCCAGTGTCTCTTTATCAAATCCCAACTCATGATACAAATCCCAACCCCCTCATCTTGTGCTTTATATACACGACACAGGTATTTTGACATGGCATCACAAATTGTCATTGTGAATTTGCTATTGAGTAGTCTCAGATGTATGGTCAATCAAATATTCAAGTTGACCAGTTCCTCCATAAACAAACATCCCACTGGAAGTTAAGGGGAAAAGAATATTTTAAGCCACACTGGTCTTTTGTCCAGTCACGGTTTGTCATTTTGTATCAACAGATATATTAAATTTAAATAAAAGAAATCAACTGCTCTGAGACAAAATTATACACCTTTAAAAAAGGCATTTTAAATTCCATTCCAGAAAAACTCAGAATCTGTGAAACTTCACACAAAAATCCATTTTCGACACTAATGGACTCTGTGCAAGAGCCCTATTACTTGCAAAATGTGAAACACTATCAACAAAACAAAAAATGGTTCCCTGGTGCACAGTCATATCTCAACCGGTTCCCATTCCTTTTTAACTCCTGAAAATATACACACTGGAGGTTCCAGGAAGCAGTTAAAATGCTCTTTTGATAACCAAACCCTTCACGGGCATGCATGAACTGGTTTTCACAGTGCACCGGTACCCGTGAAATGCAGTGACCTTTCACTACTTGGCCGAACACTGCCCTCTTTAGTATGTGCATGTACCATTATTACCTAAGTGTTCCATTAGATCAGATCGCGTCGTCTGTAGAACAAGAGGTAGGGTGTGTAGGCAGCTAGCGGTTTGGTGACCTGGTGAGTCCGCAATGGCTTCACCACGCTGTCATCAAGACGCAACCAACTGTTACTGGCGGCGTGGAAGACATCGGTGATGTAATGTCCACCAGAGGCCTCCTTACCTGTGTGGTACACCACTGCAGGGCAAAAATGAAAACGAAAAACAGCTGTAAACTTTGCAGAGAAATCAATTGTGAAAGGTTCGAAGTGGCCAGGAATTGGGTCAGAGAGAGACTTCACGTTGAATTTGAATTTCTATGTGCGTTCTCAGTTGTAAGCTTTCAGTAACCATGTGGAGAACATGTAATTTCTACAAAAAGTGGATATCAGTGCCACATACAGCGGTGAGTTTTGCAATGAAAAACATGGCCAGATTGATGCTACATGGCTTTGTGAAATCTCTATTCACGACATTCATTTCATAAATATTAATTTATAAACAGTCAATCTGGCCACTGTTCATATTTATACTTCTGATAGAAATGAGAAATACGGTGAAAAGTATGCTCGAAGGTCAATTCATAGAGTCATAACAATATCTAAAAAAACATACCAGTAACATTTTACTTTAAATAATTTTTAAAATGAACTTCTGGTTTGAAGAGATTCTTACCAGCGAATAACTTGTATGTTCGTTGGGCAAACACAACCTTGGACCTGATGTTTGGAGACAGCAACTCTGAACAAAAGAGAAAGACGCATCAAAACAAAGTCTGAAGTTACTCGCACTGTTACTCTTAAATGTTCAGTTCAAAATGACCAGGGAAAATGTTTGATTGTTGCCTCTGTACCCACCTCTGTTGATCTCCAGTTCCACTCCATACTCCAATTTCTTCATGACTTTCTGGCATCCACCCGACTTGTCATAGACGAATCGCTTCAGGTGAAGTGTCAAGACAGGAGGCAGTTCCTCGAGAGTGATACGACGGGATGCTTCAACCTGCACAAGAGCCGGATGAAAACCTGTCAATCACTTGTCACTGAGCAGCAGTTTACTTTTTGTTTATTTAGAACCATCTTTGATGAAGAAACGTTCAGTTTTAGAGGAGGGCGGGAAAAACCTTAGACAAATGTCTCCAGGGAAACCCTGTGAAATCAGATAGGGCTTGAAAACCCAATCAACATGTTGACTTGGGAGCAATTTGAACCCAGGCCGCAGAGGTGGAAGGAAAGAGCCATTACACCAACCTGACCCTCAGGACAATGAGGGGAAAAAGTTGAACATGTTTCCTTCAAGCATAAATGGAATTCACCAATAGTCAAGATGTGGATGTGGTGTTGCAATCTTTGTTCCCTACCTCCTGTTTAGTCTTGTTGCATGTAAATCCATGAAGAGCCTCCCTGCTGGCCAGATTCTCAATGGCATCACTGACTGACCAGATCTTATCAGACTAGCACAGGGAAACAAATAACCATGATTTAAGCTGATGAACAAAGCAATAACAAAAATAAAAGCTGAGACTTCGCCTTGGAGGTTGAATCTACAGTCAAGATGATCATTCCCTTCCTGCACAGCTCAATCTAAAAACTAAAAAAAATAAATGTTATTCTTCAAAATCTACCAAGAGGTTTGGAAGATTTTGTAGGATTCAGGGAGGTGCAACTTGGCCAGTGATCTGTTTGGTGCATGGAATGTACATTCCAATGGTTATATCGGAGTTTGAGTGGCGACTTAAAATTAAAGCTGACAACAGCTAGCAAAAAGCCGAAATGTGAAAGTTCCCATACTTTTGTGCAGACAAGGTGTACAAAAAAGCTGAAATTCAAAATCTAAACAAAACAGCCGAAATCAGCTATAAAGCTGAATTCTCATGGCCCTGTTATATGCACTGAGGAGAATTGGGGGATTTAAGAAGGTAGAGCCTGGACAATTTTAGCCCAAAGAATATGCTGATGGTTTTCTACACCGTGGAGGATTCTGGAAGACTTTGGAAGGTTCCTTGCAAAAACACATCTCAGGAAGTTAGGATATAATTGAAGAGAAATGACTACATCAATGCTAAGCTGATGATGCACAATGAAAAGTGGTTTAATTGAACTGTTTAAAAACTTGATCACAATGAATATGAAAGGCTCTTATGTTGAAGTGTTAACCTACATAATAAACTCATATTAAGCTACAGTGCTACTTTGTGCACAGCACCTAGACTCCTACCTGAATATCCAGCTGCAACGTGAAGAATGGCTGGAGAGTGGCAGACTCCTTGGAGCCTTGCTGGTGGAGGGCTGACCTCATCTGACCTCCAAAGATGTCGTACAGTGGTGAGCGATTGAAATAAGCCTGCAAATCATGAAATCAGAAAGCTTTACAAGCCAATAAACTCCTGCAGCATTGACAAGGGAACTTCTATTAACATATAATAACGGAAGATTTTTTCCATCCATTTTAGACAGAGCCTGAACAACAATGTTACACTCATGGTTAATTTACATGTTTGGAAACAAGCCAGTTGCACATTATGCTGCTGTGGAAATACAAGATTTCAGCGGACCAAATGCTGTTTATTCGCTATCACACCTCAGCAACTTCCTGAGCAGAGATTTTGCCGTTGACAGAAATTGATTCCTTGCCCAACTGCTGGTGTGGTGCATGCTGCCCGTGAGTGGTTTCCCTGGGCAATTATTCGGCTAAAAGCTTTGTGTGAGCTCAGCAGCACCATTATGGAGTATCAATTGATCAGTGCAACTGAGAAACGTTCTGCAGTGTTTCTCCTAAAATAATCAGAGAACTGAAAGAAATGAAAGTATCTGACAACTACCTACATGAGATCTCTCAGTTTTAGCATTACATTTTGGACCATTTTAAATGCAATTCAGTTTTGATAATCGTGAAATTTAGATTCAGTTTAATGTTTAAAAGATTTTCTGTGTTGTGTGTGAATTTCAGTGTTGACTTGTTACAGGTATGTTTCTATAATCACAAGAACCAACTAATATTGCATATTTTGTACCTACATGTAAGTAACAATCAAGCCCAGTAGGCCCTCTTATTATCATTTCACTCACCACGCGAGTAATGCTGCTTTTATTTCGTGGCCCCACCTGCTCCCATTCATCTTCAGCATCATCATCCTCGTTTTTCTCTTCGGCCCCTGTCTCGCTGTGGTTGGCGACGGGCACGCCATTGGCCTTGGCAATCTGTGAACCACTGGCATCTCCTGAAGAAATGAACCGCAGAGTTTCTTTGAAAAAACTTTCGTGAGTTCGTCGGCAATGACGGATGGTTATGAACACTCATAAGTGTTACAGAGTGTTTGCGCGTTTGACTGTAGACTCATCCAAGGAGATGGCATTACTGCAGTGGTACCACACTTGTGGTGTATTCTTAGGCCGTGTCCAAATTACTGGGCTGTGGCTTGAAATTACATGTGACCCTATTGGGAGTAGCCGCAGCCAGTAGTAAGGACTCGTGTATAATTTTAAGCCACAGCTGAGTGATTGGGACAGGGCCTTCGACTTCAGGTGCACATGCAATTTTACCAGTAACAGCTTCCTGCCTGTGGACAACAGCACGAGTGCAGTCCCTGCACCGTAACAACTTTGCTTATGCGCAAACCCTAGGAAGATGCAAAGTCTTGAGTTCTTATCATTTACTGTCGCTTACCATATTTTGCTGGGGCATAGTACTTCATGAGAGCCAGCATCTCCTCGTGTAGCCCATTCAACAGACAACCCAGGAATTCCTCTGCGTCTTCCTGATGCCCTTGCTGCAAAAACATGTATTGCCAAACAGAAATTACCAACGGGAGATGTTGCATGAAAACATACCGAAAAAAGGCTGTTCTGTATTCAGGATTCTGATTTAAAACACTAACATTTTGTTACACTTCAGAACAACATGGGGCATACTACAACGGTGCTGCTGAGCATGGAATTCGTGACTTCCGATAAACCCAGGCAGTGACAAATTTTTTTTTAGCTTGCCCGATGGGGCAGGCCACGCCATAAATTTGCTTGACCCAATTGGATCAACACTGCTCAAGATTTCTCAGAATCCACGATTATTATGGTTATTTAAGTTAGGAATACTGCATGCAAGCAGTCTTTAATTAACATTAATACAAAAAATACTGCCATGTTCGCGAGTAAACAGAGCAAGCTAAAATAAAATCTGTCACAGGCTGAAAAAAACATTACATACTGAATTTTAAAAGTAACTAAAAGATATTGTATCAAATTTAAGAGTCACCTAACCCCTTACAAAACACAGAGAAGTGCATCTTTTTCAGCGAGTGTACATGCAACTGACAGTGGCGATGAACAAACATGGTTCAGCAACCAGGGCCCCAGGTTGGAATACATTTCTTGTGTAAGAATTTTCATTATAAGCCACTTGGATAAGGAATCCAACATTGTATTATAATTGAGTTTCTAATACCTTTATGCACTGTACGATGATTAACTATTATCGTAAACTTTTGATTGCTAATATAGGTGACAAAAATTATATTTACTGCAAACTTTTTTGACACCCAAATAATTACGATCCAACAAATGACTGACATGACGACCCCATTACTGAATCTATTAATAAGTGTAATTCTGACTGGATTACAAAATTTCTGAAAAGTGAAAAGTGGTGCTCTCAGCCAACTGTATACACTGTTTCAGAACATGTGCGTTGGAAACCCTGATCAGCTGAGAGAATTTGGTGTTAGTTTAGATCGACGTTGATGACAGCTGCGCCAGTGCATGGGGCAATGTGGGGTGAAGTTAGCCCTTATGACTGGAACACAAGTGGAATATTTTTTTTATTATTATATTGGAATTATAATTGATGTTCAATGTTAACCTTTAGCACATAAAACAATTGGTTTACTAATGCAGGTAAGCTTTTCTGGACTTGCCAGAATGGGCACAACTCATCAGAATTTTAATAGCCCAAACGAAAATTTGATTGCTCAGGGCTATCTGACAGGCGATTCATCATGGCCTTGATAAACTACTATTTATTTAGACCACTTGAAGAAACTCTTCCAGGAATCCTACAAGCTTAGAATGCTTAGTTACAGGATGTGTACATGCTCACAAGCCAAAATTCCTTTCCAATCAATGAAAGGCACTGTTATTGCAGATTTTTCTTCCGTGATTAAGAATTCGTCATTTTACGCTGACAAGGAAGTAAAAGAGCAGAAAGCTATTTCAGTGAGTAGGAAGGAATGACTCCATTTATAATCATGAAACTGGGCCCTGATAATTGCCTCAAGGGCTGAAAAAGTCCTCTTGCAAGCAAAAGCAGCATTAAAATTTGGCTCCGGTACAAACACAGATAGACACACATCTCACGTATTGTTGCAAACTGCCTTGCTCAGGGACATCATAAACATCTTGAATTTCACAGACCTCCTACCTTGATAGACATGGAGGTGTTGGCCATAGCCATCATCTGATAGACCCCCCTAGGCTCAAAGGCTGTCCCAGGTTTGATGTCCACACTACCTTTCTTGGGTATGTTTCGGGAGCTCTGCTCCGAGAACTCTCTGACCAGCTCCACCCTGGACACAAATTAATTTCCAAAAAGGGGAGAGATTTTTTTTAGTGCAACGTAATTATCTATAGCTTTGCTAATCTTAACAATGAAAACAGTCCCATGGCTTCGTCTTTCTTTCAATATTCAGCTATGTACAGCTTTGGCACACGAGGCCTCTTAAGACCAAAGATATTCCTAATTTTGTTCATAGCATGTGCCGTTTGTTTCTGTTTAACTGCAGCAATGAAGTTTGGAGGACTTTGGACACCTCCTACCAAGAAACGGTGACAGGAGTTGGGTTCAATGAGAGATCTTTACAGAAGAATGCAAATATCTACACAACATATATGGGCAATTCTGCCCTAAATTGTTGAAAAAATGCAGATAAATTAATGCAAACCCTCAGCCATCATAAAGACACTAAACTCAGAAACTGACAGCTCCCTGAAAGATTCACTTCGTATGCAATCACCATTCCTCCCATACATGACCAAAGGGCACTGTTCAAAAATCGATTCCAAATCACCTTTCGTTGACCAAACCACCTTACAAAACACATTAATCCTAAAATGGTGTCCACACAAGCCTATCAATTATAACTCCTCTTTCCTTTTGGATCTGGCATCCCATGTGTCCCCTCAAAAGTTTACAAAAAAGCAAAAGAGGAGGCCCAAAAGCCAGTGCTGAAGGAAAGTTGGTAGAACTTACATGGCGTCCAGCATGGGAGTTGAACTGGGCCCTCGCTGCATAGGAAAGAACGGCACATACTTCATCAGGTGATAGAAGGGTGGACAGGCCAGTAAAGCTTGCAGGATCTGGGCCATGAAGGTCAAGGGTCACATTATGAAGGTTGACTGGGTCAAATCATACATATCCGTAACAGTCATACACATGACCAGACAACAGGATCACGCTATTGACATGATCATAATAACGAAATATACTGCAAATAACGTTTGATTTCATTTCAAAATAAATAACTGCATAAAAGCAGATAACAGTAACAGGCTGGAAGGTAAAGTATGAGCTACAAGTGCTTAAAAGCTTCTGTACAATGCAATTTCTTTAGTACAACCCTTGAAATGCACCTTTATGTCTCACGCTGATTCTTAAATTGTCTTTTGCTATTTTAAAGGATTGTTTTGGTGCCTTTAGATTTTTTATGCAAATGACTACATCCATATTCATAAGCAAAACCGTGATGGTGTCCCTGCGAGAAAACCTACACATTAACACTGCTTTGAGCATAGAGAAATGCAGGAATTTCTCATGTTTTGCTGCTAAAAATTTCCTTTTCCTCTAGTGCCCCACTATGTAAGTACATGGCAATAATCCAATAAGTAACCTTTTCTCAGACATGTTTTCAACTGGAACATTTTTGTCCATTTTTTGGAGAGAAAAACCCATTAAATGAATGGTGTCTTCCCTGCCTGACATTGCAACCACAGTGCTCTCCATTATCTGGAAAAGTGGAAATTCAAATTTTTTTTTGTTTAAAGTGCACTTTTCAATACACTTAAGGCTGTCACATTGTTTTCATACATAGGAGAAAAACATGAAGTTGCAAAACAAAAAGGCTGTGAAAAATTTAATCACTTGAAAACTTTACGTCAATTACTACATGCGACAGCGTCAAAGAAATTAAAAGTTTCTTTACTTCAGGCTTGGCGATTAAAATTTCTTTTGAAAGGCCTTAAGTGTCTGCTGCTGGAAAGGATACGCTGTTGACATAGCACCAATTACCAATGTTCTTCAAACCTCTTGGCAAGATGTACATAGCACGGTGGTTCAGAGTTACGCGACTCAAAGCCCCTGGGGGTAAAATGATAGAACACAAACGACTGACAAATGACACTGTGACTCTTTCTTGACCCTTGATTGAAGCACTGACAGGCCTCAAATGAGAAAAAAACCCTGTTAATAAATATGACGAATTCATAGAAGGGTATTGTTGTCAAAGAGTGTTGGGAAATCAATGCATCCATGAAAACATGCATTCTGAAAACTCTTTTTCATAATGTTCCAATATATAAAGTATGTTAATTGCTTTCTCAAAAAAAAATTAAAAATTCAGTTTTTGTGAGACACTGCTGTAAATATACCTCCCAATTCTTTAGCCCGGGGATCTTTATCCATAGTTACTGGAGTCTTGTCCTCAGTCTCTGACTGCACTGCCACTTTGGTTTCTGCTTGGGATGATTCTCCTTGGACGGGAGATGGAGTGTCTGAAGGTGGGGCTGCTATCCCGGAAGCAGGGGATTTGAACAAGCCGGCCCAACTTGTGGGCTTGGGGGAAGGTACAACTGCTGGGGATGAGACAGTGGGAGTCTTGGCTCCCTCTTCTGGTTCTGGAGGCTGAGTTTGCTGAGTCACTTCGGGGGCAATGTCAGCAGTGCTCACCTCCGGTTGGCTTTCTTGAGGACCTGGCCACTGCTCATTACTCAACAATGGCTCTTCTTTGGGTTTGGAGATGCTTGCTTTCAGCTTTTCCTGCTGTGACTCTCTGACAGTACTGGATTCTGCTGGTAGACTCTGAGGGGCATATTCTGTGTCGGTGGGAAGGCCGGCTTCCAATCCGAAGGACAGACCGTGGGGATTGACAGTCTCCCCCTCGGGGATTGCCTTAGCTCTTGGATATTCCTCAGTGTGTTTCACTTTGGAAGGTGTGGTTTGAGTCAGTATTGCACTTGGTTCTGTAGCTGGTGCCAGCTTCTGTGGCACATGGAGTTGTAAGTTGATAGATTTTTGCATTTGAGTGGCAGGCAAGTCATTACAGACTGCACTCTGCTTCACTTCACTTGCTTCAACTGGAACAGTACTAGTTCTTTCTGGTGCATAGTGTGTTGACAAAGCAGTGTCCTTTTTGTCAGAGGGGAGAGGAGTCACTTGTTGTGCGCTTTGGTTTTGAAAGGGTTGGCCTAAAGTTTGGGACTCCTTGCATGCATCCTTTTCAGCCACGTCCAATCTTGTCTGAACGTTACCAAGGTCTATCCCACTTCTGACACCACTGGGAGCTTCACTGGAGGCTCCACTGCTACTACCGCTACTCTCATTGTCTGCATAGTAGGCAGTCTCTGTTCTACTGTGCTGCTTCGCATCACTATAGTAGTTGACATAATAGCTGGGATCACGCTTTTTCTTGTTCCGGCGTTTTTTGTCCGGTAACTCAGAAGTTTGCCCATCTGAACTCCTTGAAGCTTCATCGGGCGTTATCTGATCACTGGTAGCTTGAGGAGGTTGCATTGACTCGTCTGTTAGTTGTCCTTGCTGCACTGTAGGATAAAGGCCTTGGGTTGCTAAATGTCTTGCAATAATTTCTGCACGTTCGTCTGATGACATCATTTGTCCTTGCGCGTCCACATCAAGGTGTTCAGGCGGTGTTGATTGTGTGTAGATGTGTGTGGCCTGATTTGGAGGTGGAGCTTGAGTACTGCTGGTAGAGGAGGTGGGCAGGTACCCCTGCATATCAGGCAGGCCATGCTGTTTTTGTTGCTGTTGCTGCTCTTGTTGATACTGCAGAATCTGCTGTTGCTGTTGAAAAGCCTGCTGTTGCGCCTGTTGTCGCTGCAGTTGCAACTGTTGTTGTTGCAAATGCAGGTTGATCTGATGCAACTGTTGCTGCTGCAACATCTGCTGCTGCTGCTGCTGCTGCTGCAAAGGAAACCCTGGCAAGGATGCATCTACGCTGGTGTCAACAGGGCCCACTGCAGCATTGTTAAAATTATAAAAAAGGAAAGTTTTTGTAACTACTTTCCTAGTAACTTATAAAGATTGCACATCCTAAGACAGGGTGGCCACTGATCAAGCTTGGAGGGTTAATTATACTGGTGTCAATCACCAATGATCTACTTCCTTCTTTCCTGTGTGACTACAGTAAAAGCTATCAATCGATCAATATTAATGTATTATTGCTTTGAACTTAAAATTCTTACCTTGCATGGTGTTTGCAATGGCCTCTCGTATGTAAGCTTCTTCGTTCCATGGTAGCTGAGAGAAAAAAAATTCTTCACTTTTACTAATTTTACACACCTTTTAAAAAAATCGTTATGTAACCTTTAGCTGTTTCCTTTGAAGGAACTTATGTCTTCATGTAGCAACAAAAAGCTTGCAAGGGCACAGCTATGAAGGTATGACCCGTTTATAATAGCAAAATTTCTGTTGCATGTAGGAACCGTCGATATTGTATCTTCCTCGATATCGATATATCAGTTTTTATATCAATATTATCGATAAAATCTGAAATGTCCCATCAATCATTGTTATTTTAGATATTATCAACAAATTATGTTTCTTCAGAGTGGCAAGGCATATTTATGATTATGCAAATAAGGGTGGAGTTTGTAGACTGGTGTCAATAGAGAATACCAACTGCAACCAGGCTTCGAATTAGAAAAAATATGTGCATCACGAGTGCATGCAATTGAAAAAGTTTACATGACTTCTGTAAAGTTACATGCACCATTAACTTATGTAAGAAAAAATTAAGAGAGTAGAACATAGTAACTGTATGTTACCCTGCAAGTTTACCTCATTGCAAGCTACATGTACCTGACTAGCTATCAAAAACTCGACCATGTAAACGCACGATACAGTAAATGTAGAGTATACGTACTGTACATGTACAAGTACATTTGACTCAACGAAATCATACAACACACACGCAAGTGCACTCTATAGGGGTTGGCGTCAATGCATCTATTGCTGTGACCCATGTGCTAGTTTTTCCTCAAGAGGTAAAGTTGACTACATACAAGTTGGCTGCATGTACGTGCACTGTGCCCAGTAATGCCAATGTTGTATTTACGCTTGGTCCATGGTAACACTAGAGAATACAGAAGTGAATATGTCAAATGCATGTTATGTGTGTAAAAGGTAAACGACATTAGCGTTAGAACCAAGGTAAGCTAGGGCTTATCAAAAATTACAGTAATGTGACGATGCACTTTCTTCCTTTTAATAAAATTTGTTCCTGAGTAGCGATATTTTTGGTATTTTTTCAATAATGAGGTTTTCAAAGTTTCGATATCTTCGATATTCCTCGAAAATCTGATATTTTCGATATATTGACATTACCAAATAACTAACATCGGCGATATTGATTTTAAATCCATATCGATAATATCAATATATCAACAGTGCTTGGTTGTGTGGTATTCTCACCTCTAAGTATTTTTTGTGTATTGGCTTCTTAAGAGAACCGAACAGATTCTCATACTCTTCGTCTTCAATATCTTGGAAGTCCCCAAAACTGATTCCCTGTTCATGAGAAAGAGAACACACATAATCAGCTTCCAAGTCTCATGCTGAGGTAACATGAAGGATTTGAATTGACAGTCAGACGTTGCAAATGTAACTACAGTAGACATGAAGGAAATAGAACCATAGAAGATTCATAACGGTACAAATTTTACATCCCCTAAATCAGTCCTCGCTCAAGTCGTGAGCCAGCAAAGAAAGCAAAAACACATCAGTATCAGGTCACGGTCAAATAGAGGTTATCCATTGCTGGTGTCTTGGCCTGCTGTTCTTTGTTAGTTCTAATGAAAGTTACACTGAATGCAAATTGTCAATCCCAATGAATGAATCAAGCCTATCCTAGTGATTACAAAGCCCTTGCCCTTCAACCCCGCCATAAGAGATAACCTCTATGTCGGCCAAAAATGCCAAATAAATAGCAAAACCTTTAGTGCTTTAATCCTATCCCCCAGCCTACTTTGGCTAGAAACTCTGCCAGACACATCAAACTGCATCATTTGTCAAAGTGGCTAATTTAAGTGGCAAATTTTATAAACATGAATAAAAACAAACATTTCAAGAAAATATGAATTTTAAGCTTCTCAGTTAAAATCCACATTCATTTTTGAGTATCACAGTTCAATCCTTCCTCTATGATTACACATACACCTATACTAAAAATCCTATACATCTCAAATTTCAAATATCCCTGCTTTAGTTTAACAGTGTTTACCATGTTCAAATCGATTTTTCTTTGCTTTGCATAGTCCAATGGAATTACTGAGTCCAAACTTAGGCCCACACTTGTATCAAAATATTTCTTATGATCATGACATCCTCTCCAACTTGAAAGATCACTTCAAAACAAGAAAACTAAATCTAAGTCTAGTAAGAAACGGCTCTGTCATGTCTAGCCCCTGGAAAATATCTGAATAACGTGAGTGAAATCATTCAATAAATGGCTTTTAGAAAACGGAAAGTTCAAGGATCATGTTCGTATGCAAAAGAAATTGCGCCCACGATAAGTGGGTGCGCCGAAAATGTTCAGTACGCCGACACGAAATTGCGTACACGGATGTGTGGCTAAGGATGGATTGGGAGTGAGAGTCCTTGCCACACTAGTGGGGCTATGTGACTGTCATGTCATGCATGTCTGTGGTTTGAATTTTGACCCCAGCTTGGGCAGCTAGAACACCACTTCCCGCCAGCAATCAATCATTCCTGTCGGGGACATGTGGAACCCATTTTTTGCTGGGCCTGACTACCCCCAGAACTGTGTGTGGTTCAAATATGGTTCAACGAACCACACTGGTCTGGAGTGCCTGAAAACATGGCCGGCATTCCACATCCACATGGACCGCCGTTGTCGTCGTAGGCGGCCTGGCGGACCAATGAGAAGCTAGGACAGCCACTAACTTTATGAAAATTGTCCAATGACCAAATCAAGCAAACTTGTTCTGATTGACAAATGCACTTACAGAGCTTGAAAGTGCCATCTTAAGTGTTAGCCGTCGTGTTTTTACACAAACTTTCCAAACGTGCTAAATCACGTTTCTCGGCTATGCGTCGCCATCTTGTTTTCTGAAATTGGCAAGTCGCATGCGCGTTGACCGTTTATTCATAGCCTCCTGTTCAAGCATACATTACAAACTAGCTGCGCGTAAGTGCTGGGCGCGGCGAACTGAAGTGCTGTACACTGTACATGTACTGTACATGTACTACTGAGAGAGCAGGGTGAGAGCTGGCCACAGTGGCGTAACGGGGTGCCCTCCCCCAATTTGAAATCTGTGAATAATCTCCGTCGAAATGAACTCCAGAAATTGGCGTTTTAAGAGCAGATCATTTTGTTGTGGTGCATCTTTGAAAAAAAAAGTGTGCACCTTCGCACCCCCGGACATTTAGCCCTTCATAAAGTTACGCAACTGGCTATCATCAAACTGGCGGAAATGTGAGCTGGCATGTCACTTCAAGCATGCTTCAAGCGTGGCAGTGCGTGGCTCGGTAGACTTGAATCAAGTCGCACCTACGTTGCTCTTCCCTGATCAGCCATTCCTTCAGCCAGTACTGCAGTACGCACTATACATTGTCGTTGCGCTCGACTTGGCTGCTAGCATGAGGTTGCATGCCACAAAGTAAACTGCCATAGCCAACAGTGATAAATACCCGAACTTTAAAAAATCTGGAAAGCTACTCACGAGTTTCTCAGGTGTTTGAGACGCACGTCAAATTAAAGCCCCGTTTACTGATTTTTCATTTTCTTTTCAAATATCCATTCATTAATCGATGACTTCTGAAGACACTTTTTTCCACGGAAGGTCACCCCTAAAATGCAGCAGTCTTGAAGCCCCTCACCATTTTCAAATATCGATGCCTACAGTTCACGAAAAATAGACCGTAACTTTTCAGGCACCGATTTCTTCCAAATCTCACTCCGACGCAAGCTGGTATTCTCTTAATCTCTTTGCCCGCCTAAAGCTGTCATTTCTACAAATCTTCAAGTTCATGGGCCACAAAATGCTCTATTTCGTAGAGAATTTGAGTGCATTACAAATTCTAATTTGGCCCGCGCAAGCAGTTTCCGGCCTATTTATTGGCCTGCATCCATATCCCTTATAAGACGCCCTCGTTTGATAGCTTTTACTGTGCAACGTATGTGTAAACGTGTGTCAACGTGTGATTTTGATGCATGGCCGAAAACGTGCCGAATGTTATTTCCACCGTGAATTTTCAAGTTTTCTCCGAACTACGAGTTTACTTTGCCTCATATACGGTTGTTTTCTATTTGATTATGTATAATGTGGATAAACTGCACATTTGCTAGGTAAGATCTAACTTGGAAACGCAATGAAATGAAGGACTCTATTTTTACGTCCGACTAAGGATAATAATCATACGTTAGAAGTTTCTTAGCGGCGCTTCCTCTGAAGTGGCACATTTTGAATTGTGTTCCCCTTCGAGCTACTCTCCCCAGTCCGAATCCAGGGTGGGATGTAACGTGGCCACGCCCCCCAAAAAGAACTCGCAAAGACAAAGGTAATGAAAAGCGATTTAAAAAAAACAATGCCTTCCCCTTCCTTCCAAAAGCAAGTGGAATGCTGGTAAAGTACTTTGCTCTCACTTATTGCTAAAACAAAACACTAATGCGTTTTTGTGGCTAGTAATAGTCATGGAGAAATGTAAACAATAAGCCCATGCACTCGCAACCAAATTGGCGTATACAAGACCTCTCTGTCACACTGAACTGAATGCGGGTAACTGATTCCTACAAAAGTTTCACATTTAACAGTGGGCGTAGGTTTGAAGCTACAGTCCTGGACAAAAATTGTCAATACCCATACCCTTTCTAGGTCCCCCACTCCCCCGGTCAGTGCTGTCATCTCCGTCGAGCTGGAGCACATACCGCGCAGTGAGCCCTTGAACGTTGAGAGGGGGCCTGGCGGTGAGGGCCCATGAGATTTGGCTAGGATTGTAGATCTTCCTGGGAACCTCATCCCTTCCGTTTGCGACTTCGGCACAGCCTTGTAGCCATAGGCGGAGATTATTGTAACGAGTTATTATGAGGTCGTTTGCAGTATACGATCGAGGGGTGGGGGTGGCAGAACAGACTTTAAAAAAAAAGATTTTCCAGTTAATTGTCATCTGTAATCAAGTGGGCGTAACTAGGAAGCCTGCCCCCCCCACCAGAAATTGGAGAAGGAAAAGGTCTGGTGCTGGTCCACCTGGGTCGGTGTTTTATCTGTGACCGAACCACCGAGTGCCTCCTCAAGAAAAAAGGGCCCGCCAAATGCCCTCCCCATAAAAATGTACCCCAGCTGCGCAATTTCTCATTATGGATAGGGGAAGATGGGGATAAAGCACGCAATCAATAAAACATGCAGTTGTAAAGTGCTGTTCGAATTTATTAACCAGAAAATATATCAGCCAAGGTTATAAGGTGTTTGGGAGAACATCAAAATGAATACTATTTGCAGTTCTGCGTTGGTTTTGGCGTAGAAATTTATCTTATGAGCACATCCTACAAGTTTTATCCTTATGAGTATTGTGAGTATTCTCAAAATGCCTGTAAATATCTCTGTATTCAACTGAATTGCCACTAGAAGACCGGGAGGGGGGGTCATTGGCACATGCTCCCTCTTCAGAATTTTTAAAGTTATTTTACTGATTTTTTTTCTTTGTTCCATTTGTTCTCGACTGATTTATGACTTTCAACACAAAAATATACATCTTGATGGGAAAATATCTTCTCCCACCGGTCCCTGAATCAGGCAATTTTAACAAGCTGGCTCAACTTGTGGGCTTGGGGAAGGTACAACTGCTGGGGATGAGACGATGGGAATCTTGCCTCTTTCTCCTGATTCAAGCAGCCGAGTTGCTGAGTTGCTCCCATGGTGATGGCAGCAACCTTTACCCCAGCTGACTTTGGTGAAGACCTGACAAATGCATTTTTCTCAACGCTGGCTGTTCTTTGGGTTTGGAGACTCTCGTTTTCATTTGTTCCTGCTGTGACTCTCTGATAGTACTGGTTTCTACTGATAGACTCTGAGGGGTATATTCTGTATCGGTGGGAAGGCTGACTTCCAAACCAAAGGATTGGCCGTGAGGATTTACAGTCTCCCCCTCAGGGGCTGCCCGAAGGATACTCCACTGTGTTTCACTTTGGAATGAGTTGTTTCAAGCTTTATTGCACTTGGTTCTGTAGCTGGTTCTGGCTTCTGTGGCATATGGAGTTGTAATTTGATAGATTTTTGCGTTCGTGAAGCAGTCGAGTCTTTACAGACTGTACTTTGCTTCTCTTCACTTGGCCCAACTGCAACAGTACTACATGTAGGTCCTTTTGGTGCATAGTGTATGGACAAAGCTGCGTCCTTTCACAGGTGAGAGAAGTCATTTGTTCTGCACTTTGGTTTTGATAAGGTTGGCCTGCAGCATGGGACTGCTGGCGTATATCCTTCTCTGCCACGGCCAATCTTGTCTGAATGTCACCAAGTTCTATCCCACTTCTGACACCACTAGAAGCTTCACTGGAGGTTCCACTGTTCAAGAAAACTATGCTATGTAGAAGGCATTCATTGACTCGAGGGACAAAAATGTACCCATTAATTAAAGTGGCTCATTCTTCAAATAACTTACCTTGATTTACTCGTGATATCAAAAAGCCCATTAAAACACGCAAAAATCTTCATTAAAAAGCCAAGAAAGCCCAGAAAGCCAAGAAATGTAGTTTCAAAGTTGAGTGGGATAGGTTTAGTGAGACAACATGCACTGTAAAAAAGCAATCAAAAAGCTTAGGCCAAGTACATTAAATCCACTTATAGATGTACATGTACACTGTTTAAAACAAGTCCGTTAAATAACAGTAGATTCTATTGTTAATCGGTATTACAGAAGTTGTTATTTTGGGATAGCACATTCTGCCATCAATTTTTGTCTGTATACTAACAGGAAATTCTAATATGGAAGTCTATTTAGGACACTGTCAGAAAAACAATTAATTCGTACGTACGGATTACCTGTAAGTAGGAACGGAATACTCTTTCGTACGTACGGATTACTACAAAGTTATACGTACGGTTTTGTAAATAATGATGATCACATTCAAAATTCCGCCTTGTGCAGATTAGCATCCCCTCGTCAGTTGAAAAGAGCCATGCTGGTGGGGAGTGTTGTTTTGTTGGTAGGGCCGAACGCACACAACGCATGTATCTCATAGTCATTCGGGAACCAGCAAAGTGGAGTTCCTACCAAAGGAACCTCTATTGCTAGGAAATCGCGCCCTCTCTTGGTCCCGCTCGGGCCCAGTGAACTGAAGTTTAGTTATGTAATGCACATGTGGATTACTAATCCGTGCATACAAATTAATTTTTTTTCTTACCACGTTCTAAATACACTTCCTAGTGGTACGCGGTATTGGTACTTCCCTGTTTTTCCACGGTAAGTTTACGGTAGTTTTACCATAGAGCACAGTGGTTCAACCATGGAGAAATAAAACCCATGGTTCAACATACATGTACATGTACATGTTTGCTATATGTATTTACTATAGTGTTCCATATGTGCCATCCGACGTCGCATTTTTCGACCGTCCGGGCGTCGCATTTTTTAACTTGCGTCGCCTTTCAATGTGAATAAGCCATTAATCATCAATGGTCAACCTTGGTCCAGCCGGACCTGACGTTGTTGACTTGGATGCTAAAAGTGTGCGTGCATATTTTTTTTTTAATGAAAATGGAAACGGCTAAATTAGCATGTATGCGTCGATTAACTGTGTGTAAATAAGTTAACAGCCCTTTAATGAGCCCGATTACTCGTGGAAGTTCACCTTGCTCAATTTGGTTTCTCACTTCTGCAAGCTTTTTGAGTGAAAAATGTCCCGGTACTGATGATTACTAGTTGCCACAAAAATCAAACCCAGTATAGTCGGCCCATTGTTTACTCTGGTTGGTATGGTAGTGCCATCTTGCAGACATGCTTCCCGAGGGAGCGTTTATCCCAACATGGTGTATAATTTACTTGAAAATGTAACTTCTCCTGGAAAAGAAATGTCACGCACCATAACTTTGAGAAATTTTACTTTTTCTTGGTTGAAAGAAGTTGTCAGCAATACAAAATCACGAAAGGTTTTCCGAAAACACTTTTTGAACCATTAAACAATCTGTCCAGAGGAAGCCAAGACTAGTCTTATTTTTTTCATTACAGTAGTAGAAAGGCAATGGTCCGTGGTTCAGGCATTCCCCCCGGTGGAGGCCGTCTGGTCGATCATGGGCTTGTTTGGGGGGGGGGCTTGTGTTTATTACTCAACGAAATGATTTCCCAAGGTCTTGTGGACTGCATGTGGATTTGGGTTTGAAAAGTGTCACTGTTTGAAAAGGCTGTTTTGTCGTAGCTGCTGCTTCTTGATCGACCTTGGGGTTACACGTACATGTACATGCGTTTCTGTCTAGTTTTCTTTTTTTCTGTGACAAATATTACCGTACATGTGAGAATCTCCACAATAGATAACTTCATTGTTTGTTAGACTAGTTTTCGAGTGTTTTATAATTAACTGGCGGTACCGGTGATGGACGAGATCCTGGCCTCCATAGGTCTTTCTGATGAAGTAATGAAAAATGCGACGCCGGTTAAAAAATGCGACGCCGGCTGAAAAATGCGACGCCGGCTGAAAAATGCGACGCCGGCTGAAAAATGCGACGTCCGTCGAAAAATGCGACCATGGCACATACTGTGTGCACCAAATTGACTCACTCTTTCCATAAGCTTTCCAATGCAGCATGTAACAGCCGTATGACTTTATCATTACTGAGTCGTCGTTTGACGTGACCTGTATGCAGATTCGGTTGACGAATACACAAACATATAAAACTAAAAAGCTGGTAGGCCAACAACTGAAAAGTGTTACTTGTGTTAATAATAATACAAGTAGGCCTACAAGAAAAAGTTGCTCGTACGTGCAGAATTGCCTTAATGTCGTCATTTAGAGCTTAGAGTGGGACTGTTAAAAGTTGCATAGATTTGGTTCTATGAGCAAATCAACTCAAAGGTTCTGATCTTCATTCAGTCAGCTGCACCGACGTCGTTCGTAAAAGGGAGGCCTACAACGCTTGGTAGAACTGGCCTGGAAGGCGTGGCAGTCTGTGATAACACTCGGGTGAAGTTACATGTAGCACTGCAGTAACGAAGTGAGGTATATAATATACATACAGGTGCTGCTTGTCACCCTATGCACGTCATAACCCCTGGTCTGGTCTGAAAAAATCTGTTTTCTAAGTGAATACTATGCCTCAATATTTTCACTTCTAAATTTGACTTTTAACTAGGCCATGTTTGATGTTACTAGTAATGCCTAGGTAGGTGCGACTTGTGCATGACTTTAGCCAGTGGGGGTGAACAACCCTAGGGCAACCAAGGTGAACACACTTTTGCCATACAAAGCAACGTAAAATGCACTGACCTATGGTCAAGCAAAGTCGCATCTGCTAATAAGCCAATTTCCCGTTCCGTTGTTGATATTAGCACCCCTGTGCAAGTACGTGAACAAAGCCAGAGGGGAACAGATTGTCTACCGGTACAACAATTACAATAGTGAGTATCCATTCGCTAAACATTACATAACGTCATGAATTTGTTCCCTCTGTTAAATCTTCTGAGCATGTGCACATGAAACGTGAAAAAGGCTTATACTATAAGCCTTTATAGGACACAAGTGTGAAATATGGAATAGCCACCAACTGACCAATCAAAGAGGAGAATCAAGACTCGGTGACATCATCCTGGCCACGAGAATATGTGATATACATGTACCGTACTTGCCGCGATCTACTGTACGTCCTACCTCCATGCTTTGTATAAGGACATTGGTAGCCTTGTCCCCGACTGGTGGATAATTGACCATTTAATTAGTCAGAAAGTGGCCAATGATGTTATTATTATCTTGAACTTCACAGATAAAACATGACTATCAAACCACTTGAAGTAAAGTGTAGCATGTACATGTACATGTATGTGCCCTGCTTTTTTCCCATACCACATTATTCCCTTGTTAAGCAAACTGTGTGATTGGTTCAATAAGGTCCTACATAATGCATGAGCAGCTTTGACTTACCCATGCAGACAGATCTTGTACGCTACGAGAAGTTCTGTTTATAATTTTGGAACTGCTTGGTTTAAAAAACAGGATAGTTTGACCCCCCAGTCCACTCCATTCCATTTGCTGCCCCCCCCCCACTCTGGATTCGTTCTAGATGTTGCCTGTAAAGATGACGCAAAAGTGTAGATTTAACAGGCTGCAATGAGTAAAGTTTTTTTCCGAAAACCATAAACTTTAGGCTCATCAAACAGTAATCTTCATTAAATCTTCAGAAAATGGGCAAACATTTAAAAATCCAAATAAGTTTTTACATTCTTAGTAAAAAGTAACTACAAGCTGCGTTGAGAGATTGTACAAGCTTCATTAAGCTAATTAAACGAAATCTTTAATGCTTTGGTTGTGTGTAAAGCTACACCTGACCATTTTCTGATTATCGCTTTGGTCTGGTGCAGTGAACCCATAATATCAATGCCAAATGCAATAGTGTAAGTATGCATTCATGTTTGTACATGCAGTGCAGTCACTTTGAGCTTTGATGTGACTGTGAAAGTATGAATTATTCGTTAACTCTTGTGCAGCTCTATCCTATGGGCCCTTAGCAAATTTGTGGTACCAAAAAAAATTGCCGCTTGAAATAGTAAAGAACATGAACATTAATGTATGCTTGAACGGGAGGCTATGAATAAATGGTCAATACGCATGCAAAGTGCCAAATTGTGACATCAACACTAATCTATGCACTACCACAAAATAAATAAGAGAGTGGGCCTCTTTGGTTCGTGTACATTTTGTTCATTTGTTTTTGTATTTGAAAACAAATAGCAAATGACCCAAAAAACCAAGTTGTTTTCCATTCTTCGATTTGAAAATGAAAATAAAAAAGGCGTTTTTCGATTAGAAAACAAAAATGAGGAAAAAGATAAGTCGTTTTTTGTTTTTATGTTGAAACAAAAAAAGCAAAAGTAATCTTGTTTTTTAAATTTCAGTTTATTCCCAATTTTGTAATTTCAAGGAGGTGTCATGGATGTCTCTGAGCGATTTTAAAGAGGAAAATTGCCTTTGTATGTTTGTATGGTTAAGGAGGAAACTAGAAAAATTGAGTCAACTGCAGAATGGAATATCACAAAATGAGATATTTTGTTTCTTCTGAAAACTAAATCATTCTATTTATCATTATTTATAAACAAGGTACTTTAAAGTCCATCGTAGAAATCATTTCTTGACAGCCGTCATAGAGGAAAATAAATTTAACCAAAAAAGATTTTTTATGAATCAAGTTAAAAAGTAAGAGTTACCACATTTCCCGATCAAAATAAATATTGCTTGCTCACCTTCCTAAATTATCCTGTCCTTGCTGTTGTTTATCTACCACAACAATAGAGTAACCCATCTTATTTGTGCGAGTAACAAGGACTCTATGGGTGCATTTGCGCGGTTACTCCTGTTAACACGAGTAGGATGCGTGATCATTACACTCGGGTGCAGGAGTATACTCCCCCAGTAGCGAGCTATACTCCCCCATTAGCGAGTATACTGTCGCTGAACCTTGGATTGTACTCCAGCTGTTTGATCACTCAGGAATATACTCCTGATAACAGGAGTAGCTCACTTGACCCATGGAGGAAGGAATGGACCCCATAATCACCCCTGTATTACATTCGGACATGGTGAGAATGCTAACCATGTCCAAAATGTTCATGTCGTCATCCCCCCATGGTAATCAGTCTACAGATTTCTGCATCTGCACCTCACAATATTCCACCTGACTTCTTTATTTTCAATGAAGGCAAGTCCTCGCGTGACCCAAACAATTAATTTTTTCTGGAAAGAAGTTGTAGTAAACATTTACCATGAATTAGTTTTCTCTGCAGAGGTTGATCACCACTAGGGTTTGAAGCTTTAATTAATGTTATAACTTTCACATCAATCAAAGTTTGTAACTTGATATCACACAGCTTTTGATTCCAAGTCATGGCTGCCCCAGGCAACCTGAGTATGGGTATGCTGCCCGATGAGTCCATACCTGCTACTAGGGTGGAGTTGACAGTGTCTTGCAGGTGAGTAAGCTTTAGTTGCACCGTCAAGTTTGTCCTGTAAAAATATTACTCTGGGTGTTGGGTGTCTTACATTCAGCGGCACACATGTATGTATCTGGTCTGTACTTTAAGAGCAAGTATTAAGGCATTTTGGACAGGTTTGCTGTCCAATTAGAGTATCTTCCATTGAATTGTACATATGTGAACGAACAATAACCATTCTTTAATTGTTTTGTTGCAGAAATCTGCTGGATATGGACACTTTTTCCAAGTCGGATCCATGTGAGTACTAAGTTAAGTTAATACATGTAGCTTGCCATATGCACGTACAGTGTACTTGCACACATTCCTGTGTCTTCACTCATGTTGGTGTATACATAGTATGTGCCTGTTTCCTTACTCTGTCCTCTTCAACTGTCTCTGTGTGCCAAAATTCCTCCCTGTGAGCTGTATGGGCACAATAGAGGGCTTGCATGGAGTGCCCTCTCTGAGGATATGTTTTGTTATTTAGCTTTAACGAGAATGAATGCACAAAAGTTTTACTGGAGCCTATCCTAGAGGAAGACAGAAATGCCCTCTAACGTGACCACAGGCCCTCTATTAGTCATGTAACAGTGTATTTTTCTGTAATAAGGTCCAAACCTTTTGTTTTCACCCTAGTGTGTGTCATGTACACTCAACCTTTGGGACAGCTGAACTACAAAGAGGTAGGTATTATCCCTCAACTTGTACACTGATCTGTTTGCTGCAGACAAAATTTCGAATAAATCAGATAAAACTTCAAACGGACCACTTCCTGTTGTGCTCAAGGGTACACCCTACAACACCAACACCTGAATCATTCGCCTCACTCCAGTGGTTGAAGTCCGCGGTCTGGAAGTGGTTTCCAGTCAAGAAATTTGTTTTCAGGAACTTAATATGTTGGCTCAATTGTAACCCTTCTGTTTCTGGTACTTTTTCCCAGTATGGAAGAACAGAGGTGATCTGGAATACGCTGAATCCAAAATTTGTAACGAAGTTTGTCATTGATTATTTCTTTGAGGAAAAACAAATGCTCAAGTTTGAATTGTGAGTATATTTGCTTGGATTTTTGGATTTAAGTTTGTGAACAATTTGCATACAGGAAAGTTTTTGCACTTGCATGATTAAGATGGGAAGAAACTTCTTTCAACAACTCAGTTCTCAAGTGCTTGAAGTAGAAACTCAATTACTTGAAGTAGCATTCTACCTTTGACATTCAAGTCTACAATTATTTTGATTCCTACACAGGTATGATGTGGATTCCAAGAGCCCTGACCTGAGGAAGCATGTAAGCATGTCTGGACTCGGTGGTTAAAGTGTTGTATAGATCAAATTATATTTTTTTCAAAGAAGTGATTTTGACTAGGGGAAGGTTCAAGTGACAACTGTAGTTAATTATATAGTTTGACTAACACTGCCCGAACTATGGATGGTTTGAATTATCTAGTCCACCATTTGGGACCAGCAAGCCCAGGGTTATGGTCGCTCCGCTGGTTATCCATATCCAATTTCATTTATCATTACATAGGGAACCATTCACATGAAAATAACTGTATGAGATTTCATTGATCATGTACGCTGTGAGATCCTCAGCCAATGGTGAAATGTAATGATGAGATAAAAAAAATTGACTGATTAGGGTTGTTCGAGTATAACAGAATTGTGCATGTACATTGTTAAAAAGCAATTGACCAATAGTCCAACTGTAGTTTGCACCTGAACTTGCCCTAGGCTTTCATAACAAGCAGCAAATGGAGAAAAAAAAGATGAACTGATCAAAAATAGACAAATTACTGAGCTTCTGTGATTGATTTTCTTAAAATGCTTTTATCCATCTACCTTAAAATCCTGATTGTTAACATTCCCTAAAATTTTTGCAATTTTTGTTGAATTTGAAAAATAAAGAAATAGAGACAAATTGTTTCCTTCTATAAGGTGTCATGCACTTACAACAGTGCTGCATGATAACTGTGGTGTGCAAGGAAATCTTGAAAGATTTTTATTGACAAGCGATTCCACCCACCTGTTTTCATCAGGACTTCCTGGGCAGTGCCACGTGCACTTTGGGTGAGATCATGGGGTCAAGAGGTTGCAAATTCACCAGGGCTCTGAGGTAAGGATGTTGATTTGACCGAAATAACTACAGGGCTTCTCCCCTGTTTGGTGGAAAGTTTCAGTTGTTTCCCTCAGTGTAAAACTTGTCAACTTTACTTTCTCTGATTATTTTGGACTCGTCAATGACTTCCTAAGCTTTATTTTGGTTGCGTTGAATTTTGTATACAGAGGACCCTCAAAGGATTGTGGCTTGATTACTATTAAAGGAGAAGAGCTGAGTGATTGTAGGGTGAGATATATCACTTTTTTTAATAAGTTTCTTGAACCGCTTCATGCTGTAGGACGTGTATTTGTGCATGGGGATTTCCCTGTGTTGTTCCCTGTGCGTAGTACCAGATCATCCAAAACCTGGAAAGTTCCCATTTAGTTTGTACACAAACAGGTTGGAACTTGTCTTTGAAGGTCGAGCATGCGTGGATCAAGTGGCTGTGAGCCGCAGCTGGATTTTGTAGCAATTATCCCGCCTTGACATTGTCTCTGAGGTTCCTCCCCAAAACCGCTATGCAGTCAGAAATTTGGCAGAGTTCTTAAACAGATGACCAGTTGGCACTTGTAAAGTCCAACGTTGGAAAGGACTGGTTGTGGAATCTTGCCACTTTGAAAAGTCTTCATTTTTGGCCGAAAACATCGGTGCACCTGGGACAAAGTTGTCATGGAATTATGCCTTTGCCAAGTGGCTAAACCTGAGACTAATGGTACAAGTACCTTGATAATGCTGCTCTGTATCGTTTTTTTAAACTGGTTAGCTGACTGTTAGTTGGAGATAATGCTTTACAAAAAAACCTGAACCATATAGGGAAACTAACTATGTGCTTAAAGAATTATTAAAGTTTTTCTTTTATTTCTTTCAAACAGGATCTGATAAACCTGCAGTTCAAAGGTGAAAATCTGGACAAGAAAGATTTATTTGGCAAATCGGATCCTTTCTTAGTCTTCCACAGATGTAATGAAGACGGAAGGTATGCTTGGTGTTTTTTTTATTCCCAAGAAATCCATCTTTCATTCCGGCTAAAGCCAGTGACTAATCAGTGTTTGATGTGTCATCTTGGTTTTTTTTTCAGTTTCACAATCTGTCACAAGACAGAATACATCAAGAATACATTGAAGCCTAAGTGGAGATCCTTTAGCATCATGTTGAGAATGCTGTGCAATGCAGATCTACACAGAACCATCATGGTTGAGTGCTACGACTGGAATCGTAATGGCAGGTTTGTTTTTTTCAAACATAAAATAAGAATTGATCTCTTAAAACATCTCTTGATGTTTAGCTTTCTGCTTTGAAGACCGATGGTTAATTTCACCTGATTTTTAGGAAGTCTTGTGTCTAGTGTACTTGTTATAAAAGCTTCAGATTTCATATTATATCATGGAGCCTAATAAGATATCTTTGAACATAGTTTCATCACAAATTGCATTGCTTTCGTGATTGCATGAGTCTGAAGTTTCCATTAATTTTCTCCTCTCTAGCCACAATCTAATTGGTACCTTTGAAACAAGTGTGACTGCATTGTCAAAAGGACCTGGTCATTCCAATGTTTATCCGGTAAGTCTAACAACATGAACAAGAGCAAGGGGTCCGTTTGCAGATTACGTGTAGGCGCTCACAAAAAGTCCAAACAGGAAATAGGTGTATGGGGGAGAGAGGGTTTTTTTAATGGTTGCATCTCCCGCCATGTGGATAATTTTTCTAAGTTAAGCCTGCGACTTTGGATGTTTTTCTAAGTCCTTCTGGGAGGTTGTCAGAAAACTTTGAATTGTTTTCTCGCTTTGAAAATTAACATTGTATTAAGCACTTGCTGCCGGTTGGTTCGAAAAATGCAGTGCACATAATCTGGACTTTTTCAAGATTTTCAGTTTTCGAAATTCTTCAAAAATATCTCATTTCAATTAATGGACGTTTACACCCATACAAATTACTGTCTGGTTGCTACTCTAGTCTGACAGACAAAATCTATTGACTCCCGAGTACTTCAGCCAGGCCTGCAGCTTTGTAAAAAGAGCCCAGATTGTGCGGTGTTATGTAACTTTCTTTTGTTCACGAACCTGGCACAGTGCACTGCTGACCTCTTTTCAATTGGGCCAGATTAGTGTGCAGCAGTGCTGTGTGGCTCATCACTGCGGTGGTGGAGCGCTTTTGTCCCCGGTGCTAATCTGCTCGCACTAAATGCCCCAAACCGTGGTGTACTGTTTCAAAACAAGGTTGGATTATCTCCACTATTGAGAGTGAAAAAATGTCTGTAATGCCCAGCAGTCTGGTCTTTTGTTCGGAGTACTTATGTTACAAGACCCAGTTCCCTTTGTCCGATTTCGGATAATCCGGCCATGCGTATAAAGCATACGTGTCCATTACCAGAAACCCCGGCAGCAAATGGTTAAAGAAAAGAGAAACAGTGAAAAGAAGTTTTGAAGAAGTATGTCCTCATGATATTGAAACTGATGTATTCCCAGGTCCTCAGAGGAGTGGAACCGTGCAATTCCTGAAACTCCAGATAATCCTAAACATTAGTTTAGTTTGTTGTGCACTCAACTAACAATCCACTGGGCCTTTTCTTGTGTCTTACTTGTAGTTGATTCATCCGAGGAAGCAGGCCAAGAAGAAGTCGTATCACAACTCTGGTCTGATCACCCTCTTGAGCTGTAAAATTGAGCCTCAGTATTCTTTCTTGGATTACATCCGGGGAGGTTGTCAACTCGCCTTCACTGTCGCTATTGATTTCACTGCCTCAAATGGTATGTCTGTCGGTTTACTTGAAGGGAAGGGGACAAGGGCAAGGTGTAGTCTTTGTTAAAAGTGCTCATACTGCTCATCGGCCAGTCAAGTGCTGTTCTTCTGTCTGTGACCTACAGTGCTGGTGGTTTTTTGAGAGTGTGCATTCAATTGAGTCACTTCATCAGACAGAGAAACACGAGTTGATACTTCAGCACTTCTGCACTGCATACCGACACGACATAAATACTCTCTCTTGAAAAAGTCAATTCGTAATGAAGAACATGACCTATGATCCAGGCAGTCGGAGAATGGATGCATGCGGTCCTGTATGTGACCTCACTGCCAAGCAGGGCCGTTTGTCTTCTTACTTACATCTTGTTTGCTCAGAAATGTTAAGGATGTATTGATGAGCAACTGGCTATTTGGTGCAGCATGTGTTTTTTGTCTTACTTCAAGCCTAGCACAGTGATTTGGAAATAAGAAACAACAATTTTAGTTTGATGAAGATTTCAAGGTTACTGTTTTTAAATTTTGTTTTTTGTCCAATTTACATAGCTTATATTTCTTTGAAATTTTCAAGTCTTGATACCATTCTGTCGTGGCACTTCTAGGGGATCCTAGACAGCCCACATCCCTGCATTACGTCAATCCCTACCAGCCTAATGATTACTTAAGAGCTTTGAGGGCAGTGGGTGAGGTCATTCAGGACTATGACCACGACAAACTCTTCCCAGCTCTCGGTTTCGGTGCCAGGGTACCACCCAGCAACCAGGTCCAGCATGAATTCTTCTTGGTAAGAACAAGTCTCAGTTTTCTCCTTCAATTTTCCATTGGCATGTCATTCTTTACCATTTTCATGTGTTGCTCGTTCTCGCTCTGGTATCACTTATCGGATTGTGGAGGCCTGCTTTTTCTGGTGTTTGTAGGTTTGTTTTTTTATCTGGCACATTTTCTCTCAATACCTGTATTACTATATAAATCTTTCACCCGTGCTCCTCTTCACCCATAAGGATTCCACCAGATGTGAGTTTAGAATCTAGATTGACTGAAGATTACATACTTTTGCCCTTGCAGAATGGCAGTTTGACAGATCCCATGTGTGTTGGCATAGAGGGAGTAATTGCAGCCTATCAACAAGCCTTGTCTACAGTCATGCTCTATGGCCCTACTCTCTTTGCACCAATCATTAACCACGTTGCAAGGTTGTTCTTTACCCTTTTTCCACCACAAATTACCACTCGCTGAAGGTGTTATTCCACAATGGACTTGCCCCAGCTGTGGTATTATCTTCAGCCCAAACACCAACTTTTTAAAACAACAAAGATACCCCAATTGCAGTGCTTTAAAAATTGGACAGTGCAAATGCTGCCTTGGTGATCATTTTTTTCAAGATTTGTGTGACATTTGCGTGTTGTACTGCATTTTCAATAGTTTAAAACTATATGACAATGTCACAGAGCCGTATTTGCTACAGTACCCATACCGGTGACCCATGGCTACAGCCCATGGCCGATTGAGGGCTCCATACCTGCTCAACCTCCATGAACTAATTTGAGATTCTTTACGTGTACCAACTCAATGGGAAGTGCTCCAGTTTACATGGGGACGAGTATATGCCATGTGGTTCTGCATGACATTATTTGCCAGAATGTGTTTAAACATCTGCGTGCCACGGCACAGGTGATCCTTGTGCATTTACAAATCATCCGGTGTGAAGTGGTAAACCCACACTACCCCAGATCTGATACACACGTGGTTACTGTATGTAGGACCTGTAGAGTCCAGTTTTGTTTGCTCATCCCAACACATCACTGATTTATTTGCTGCTTCAAGTCTACGTCCACATCGAAAGCAAACCTGTTACTGGTTAACGGTGAGCAAATCTGATTGAATCTGGAGCGTAGGAGAGCCTGTCTGACCTCCTTTTTTCCTCATTCACTTTAATACCGGTAGATTTGCCTCCGCTAGGCAAGACGGCTCTGAGTATTTCGTTCTTCTCATTATCACCGATGGCTGCATCTGTGATATGGACAACACCAAGGAAGCTATTGTCACTGTAAGTCACAGCTTTACAAACCAACTTTAAAAAAGCTAGCTTTATTAATTTTTGTACCACTTTCACACTTATACAAGAGTCATTTCCATAAGGAGGTGATATGCTGCAATTCTGCACCACAAAATGAGAAGCACTCTGGTTTGTTTCAGAGTTCATGTACAGCTTTTGATAATATGGTACGTGTATTGTACAATATGAATTATTGTCAGTGTTATCTTCATATTCAACCGACCAAGGCCCTTCTCATTTCTTTTTTTTTTCAGGCTGCACAACTCCCCATGTCAATCATTATTGTCGGCGTTGGTAAAGAAGACTTTTCTAGTAAGTGAACTTGCATGTAATATCCTGTTTGATTCTTGCAGCTTTCAGTCAAGTTGATGTAATTGACGAGCATGTAATCCTGAATACTGTTTTTGTTGCAGAAATGGAGGAGTTGGACGGTGATGAGGTCAGGGTTTCGTCCAGAGGGCGGAAAGCAGAACGAGACATTGTGCAGGTCAGTGTGTGAAAAGGTAGAAGATACCCGGTCACTAAAGGATGTCCAGTCTGAATTAAACTAAATTTCAAATTTAGTACTTCAAGACTTTGCAGCTTGTTGTGACAGTTTTCCCCCATTGGAGAATACTTGCATTGGAAAAATCAAATTGTCCAAGGAAGCATGTCAATAAGAAAATCAGCTCAGGAATTGAATGTGTTAGACCATTCACTGGCATTTACATAAAGTCTTGGAGGGTTTAGCTATCAATGGAATCAATAGCTTTGCCCCCTTGCCACATTGGGAGTCCAATCTGCCAGCTTTCCCCAGCTAGTTTGGTGGTGGAGTGGCCAAAGCATCTGCGCAATTCAAAGCAGCAATCCTGCCAGAGCTTCAAAATATTTTCCCTGCAAGCTCTTAGACAGCATCAAGCTTGCATAGAAATATCCCGTGGATGTCTTATTTGACAATTCTGGCGACCCCTTGACAATGATTACCCCAGTTTTTACTGCCATTGGTGGGGGCCACTGCAGATGACAGTTTTACCATGCTCACTTGATTTGTCCATACATTGCCTGTTAAATTACATTGAAGAAGGGCAGAAAACCAGCTCTGGAGTCTCTTTAATTGAGTTCGGGTGGCTTGTTCTCGTATGTTCATGAACAGCTCAATTTGTTGTTCATGGGTCGGCCGCTCGTATGCTGGGAACGTACATGTACAACTATTTATTTGTAGCAAGCAGCATGCAACATGGCGGCGTCCTTGTGCATTCTTCAAGAGTTAATGGGCTAACTTCTTTTCCATTAAAACAAATTGATTCCGTCATGGAAAATTATTAATGTTTAAATTCTGCAAAACTTTCCATTGTCTCCAGCTTTGTAAGCCATCTCGATAGTTTTTGCTACTTTTCAAAAATCAAACCTCACAAATTTTTCTGTGTGTTTGTGTAAACCCTGATGATGAGGTGGTGTGTGAGCCTGTTCCGAGAACGGTGTTCTTGTGTCGTGTTCCCGCCATTCAAGCACGAGAGCACGAAACCCGTGGCAAGAACAGGCCGCCCGAACTCGACCTTTAAGACTGGTAAAGTGTCTAGCTTGTGTTACCCACCCGCAAATGCATCAAATAAGAAACTAATACCCCACGCAATAACTGAACTCCAAACTGACTTGCTTCCATCTTCATTCAGTTTGTGCCATTCAGAGACTTTGAAGGGGAAGGGAATAAGATCCTGAGCCAGGCACGTCTTGCCAAGGAAGTCCTGTATGAGATTCCAGAGCAGATCACCTCCTACATGAAGAGCAGGAATATTAAGCCTGGTGCACCACCTTCTCCCAGTCTAGCCAGTCACCAGAGTTTCCAGGCCAGATATTGAAAGTTGGATTGAAAACAAAAATCCAGTTGTAGTTTGTGTAAAGGATAGACTCAGTCTTTCACACCTGCATGATGACTCCCTGCAAAAAAAGTTGTACATAGATGTTTTTATTTAGGGAACCAATGAGACTGAATGATAATATTCTGTGTAGTAAAACTTGGGCACCATGTACGTTGTATGGCCTAATTACTGATGGTGCAATTTGTGTTTGCCTTGTGGAACCAGAGTAATTTTTTCAAAAACAGAAATTATGAATGAAACTGCCCATAAATATTCTACAGAAAGGATATTACAATGTATTCCTCGTTGAACACTAAAACTGAAACTCATTTAAATAAAGTAACTGATAGAATAACTGTTCTTGTCAGCATTCCTTTAACCGAGTAAGGAAACTGTGTGATTTGAAACATTAAACAACTGAAAAGAATAGTGCAGTTCTCAATTATGTTTTATTAAGGAGTATTGTTAAAATCTGTTAGAAATAAATTATATAATAAAAAAAAAGCTTTAACTGCTTTCTGATTGGAGCTACTAAAATCAAAAAATTACAATGTATGAAGGGCCTAATGCTCCTATACTGAAAATTATGTTATGAAAACAATTTAGAATTGTGAGATTTGTTTATATGCTTTCTTATCAACATATTGGCCGAGTGTAAGTGTGCAAGTGAAATATTTTTGAATTTAATAGTTCTATGCAATAAGTATGATTCACAAAATTTTGTGTGCAATTATATCCTTAACTGAAGGTTTATCAGTAATATTACAGACCTAGTTTGCCGTACATTGTGTATGGTGCAATGTTGATGTAAAACATATCATCAGTTGATATTAATACAAGTGGTTTGTGGGGAAATAGTGGAAACAATGACCCAGAAAATGATAAGGACTAGAGGCGAAGCTGAGGGAGATAGTCCAAATCATCCAACACTGAGGGATCATTAATTTTTCCTTTTTTTTCCCTTGTTTGTTTTACTATACATGTACGCTATAAATATTCCTCAGGTAGCTGAGACAGTTCGGCGAGACAAAAGCAAGTTAATGTTGTGTCATGCAATAACCTTTACATTCACACAAACATTGAATTCATTTTTGAAAGTTGAAAATGCAACTCTAAAAGTTTTAAATGGAACAAAGCTTGACACATTTAACTCCACTTTAACAAAGATCAAGGTTAATGACAGCATCTGAATGCTCTGTACAGTACCTATCCATTGATATCAACTGGTACAACTGTTCCTATAACTGGTGTTTGTAGTGTGCTCTTGAAGTACACATGCTGTAAAATGTTGTGCTGTACTGGCACAACTCTGAGGCTGCATCTGTAAAGTGTGTGACAATTCTTCTCTGGAAAATTTGCAAAAAGTATCACGTGGTTGAGTACCTGAAGTAAACCAATGAAATGCAGCCACTGCCTGATGAATATTTATGAGGTTCACTGTTTAAAAATTTTTAGATGTGTTTTGAAAGCAAAGTTTTGTCTTAGAATATTATTTCTCCAGCATTTTGAATTGTTTGGTTTGGCAGGTACTTTCGTTGTTCTGTGGTTGTTTCAGGGATGAAGAAATTTTTATGCCAAGATCTGTAAATGACTTTATTTTCAGGTGGAATCTCAGTAAAAGAAAATATTTGGTCACTTGTAATTATTTCAGAAGTCGCTGTAGTTGTAGTGATAGCTTTAATTTTCCATTTTAACATAACTGGGAAATACTGTTTTAATTGTTGTAAACAACATTTTCTGTCAGTTTTCATATGCGTTTCAATGAAATAAAGTTGTTGGCAAAAGTGCGTAGTTTCTGATATACTGTAATTTATTGACTGTGTAACACTAAAGTAATTGCCGAGCATTTGCTGAGACGGTCTTACCGCCTCCCTACCACACATACATGTACTTTCTGTCCTATCAATAGTTAGCACATCAAGGAAAGCATAAAAATTCATTTTTCCCTTTCAGATCACACTGTTAAATGCTGAATGAAGTAAACTTGCAAAAGTTAATTTGAAATAATACTTAATACTTGTAACAAGGAAATCCATCAGAAGTTTTTTGCCACTGATTGACACTACTTTGTGCTTGAATAGTGAACCACAATTTTTTTTCCCTCTTGGGACAGGCAAAATCCATTTGGGACATCAGAATCGGTAAATTGGAATCATGGTAAAAACTTTAAAACTTCCAAATAAAGCAAGTCCCCCAATGGGGACATGTTGCCTGTTTAGAAATTGACCCGTTTTTAAGTTCAGAAATCGAAAGCCCCAAATTTTTCAAAACGGTATAATACACCACTTACTGGGGGGAAAGGGGATAAGGATTCAACATACGAACAATATTTGGAGAATTGTTTTCACCAGACCATCAACTTCACCTGCACCATTTTGAAATTTCAACCAGGGTACAAACTTAACAAAAAATTCCCATGTTTTCCACTGAACGAGATACATACAAGAACTTTTTATTTTCTTCATGCTTCGTTTTTAGTGGTCGGTGTTTCCCTTTTTTCCACAGTAGGTTTACGGTAGTTTTACATGAAGGCCAATTTGGTTTGACTCACTCTTTCCACGAGCTTTCCAATGCGGCATGTAACAGCCGTATGGTAAGTACTGAGTACTTCTTTATTGTTACCCTTTGACCTCCCCTGCAGCGCGCGTACTACTGTTATACTCACTGCTGCCGCACTCCTGCAAGAAAAAGTTGCTCGTACGAGCAGAGTTGCCTCGTAATTCCCGTTATTTAAAACTAAGAGTGGGACTGTAAACTTGCATAAATTTAGCTTGGCAAATCAATTCAAAGTTTCTGATCTTCGTTTAGTCAGCTGAACCAAAACTTAGTCGTTCGTACGGAAGGACAAGGACCGGGAAGGTGTGACATTGACACAGACAGCACAACACCGGTGAAGTTGACACTGCACTGCAGTAACACTAGAGCAAAGTGAGGTAGGCTACGATGTTATGTTGGACTTTGGAGGTAGGCCCAAGTGGTTGCGGGAGGAACGGTGATGCCTCTATTGTCCTTTGAAAAAAATTCATATTTCCTGCAGGAATTTGAACATGAACTTTTCCCTTTATAATATAGCCCAACCCTCAAAAAAAGCAACCCTTATGTGAATGCTTTAATTAAAATTTACTAGTGGATCCTGGCCTAGGCCTAACGTCACATGATGTAGGCTTACTTCTTTTGAAGTTGTAGAGTGTATCTTCAACGTGCTTTGTTCATCATCATCACCTTCACTTTATTTTCCACATGATACATATACACATATATTGTGAAGACAATAGTCTGTATGGATGGAGACCCCTAAAAAGCATTGCTTGTCGAGTACAGGTCCCCAGTTATTAATACATTATGTCAGATATAATAAAATATGAATAATCTTACGTTTTAATGCATATAGTAACTTAAGTAAGATGGATCATAACATCACATAATAACATAACATAACATTTGTTGATGCAGATCATAACTGCATGATGGAGCATGGAGGAAAATAGCAGTATACTGCAGTGCTACGTGTACATGTACAGGGCTCTTGGATGGGTGTTGTGATTTGCCAAATGCCTGCATTTCCAATTAAAATTCATTCCTTGTTTGTTATCACCGCCCGACCGAATTTTCCTTACCATCCCGACTTTTTATCATATATTTGATTTTTTTATATTTCCAACTTTAATAACAAATTTCTGGCCCTTTTCAACCTTACAGATGTGTGTGCACCACAAAAATGATCTTGTGTTTTTAAAATTCTCTATTCTTGCCCTCAACCGTGACCAAGTGAGTCAGACCGTGTACAGCCAATCGTATGCAGTTCACATTTCAATGTACATGTACACAGGTACGTGGGTGTTTACAAAATAAACTTGAGGTGGTGGTGATTACCATATGAGGGCAGAAATTGAAGCCCAAGCCAGCATCAAGTGTTCGTTTGTTAAACATTAAAATACTGTTCAAGAAAGGTATTTTAGACTGAAAAGTCTGGAAATGCGAACTTGAAATATCAAATATCAGAGATCTTCCCAGCCCAAACATATAACTTTGAGTTATTAGGAATTATTTTTAATTGGTCTGAAGAATTCTTGTGAATCCAGTGCCTCTACAGAAAATGCATCTCCTTGATTTAGTTCAAATGGTGTTTTGGGTGTTATGGCTTCTTGCTACACTGTACAATGTAACACTCCCTGAACAGTGATGCTGGTATATATGGGAAGAACCACCCGCATAGGGCTTGGTACATGTACATGTAGCTAAGTTGGTAGAACGGTGGTAGAGGGTTCTGGAGGTCGTAGATTCAAATCCCACTCAATATCTTTATGTTTCAAGTACATACAAGTAAGGATGCGAGTTTTCAGGCAAAAGTCTGATTTTAGGCTAGTACATCTACATTTATCGACTGATTTCAGGCCTTTATTAACATGGCTTAAGGTACATGTACATGTACACGTATGTGTATTATATTGTCATTTGCAAAAGTTTAGGACCACCCATAGAAAATGCATTAACCTGAAGGAAAACCAAACTTAAACCAATCAATCATGGCAACTTATGTTTATTTTCAATGTGTAACCTTGGTACCTTGGTTGAACATTTTTGAATACATTTCCATGATTTGACATGTTAACAGTCTAATATTCAGTTTTCCCTCCCTTATTTCTGATTGCTTAGACTGGCTTTTTTACCCATGCTGCCTTGCAGACAAAATGTCATACAAGACCTGCCCTTGCAAAAAATTTGATTCAAATGGGTACATGTAGCACTATACTGGTGTTATGCACCACTGTAAAATCATGTTCAGTAATCATTCAGTGAGACAGTGTAATGCAGGCCCAGTGACAGAAATACCAATGAACTTCAAGGTGGTCTTAAACTTTTGCAGATGACTGCAGTAGGCTTTGCTTTACATTTAGACTTGGGACAAGAGCTGTATTGGAACTCCCAAAATATCAACCAGGGATCACTATGCGGCACCAAGATGCATTCACGAAATAAGGTTAGACTTAGAGTGGGAAAGTTGAAGACTTCTCTCATTCTGTTTTGCAAGGTTTGACTCAAGATGGCGGATGTCAGTGATATAGACATGATGATGCCAGGCCAGGCAATTCCTGCTACAAAAGTGGAACTTACTGTGTCATGCAGGTAAGTCAGACTCCAAACTAAATTCCTAACTACAATTATTTGGGTTTTTATTTGGAAATTTGGGGGTTTTAACGGGAAATTTGTTTGGACAATTCCCACAAATGGCAGTGGATTTACTCACACTGTTGGACTTTTGCAAAGGAAGGTACATGATCACAATAGTTTGTAAATCAGAATGTTTCTGGATATGCAGCTTATGTGCTACAGAGGAGATGACCTTAGGAAGTAGTCATGGAACATGAATCATTGAATTTAAACACACCATGACATTACTCCAAAAATAAACAGTGGTTTGCTACTAAAATAAGGCATTTTTCCTCTGTTGTGCCTGTTGTGGGGAAATGTCACATGACCTGTCAGATATGTGCTTATTAATAGATCCAGGAATTTTGTCTTGTTTCCACTGTGAAGTTCAGGGACTGTGGTTGCCTGCAGAGGACCCTATTTCGAACTTGTTGCTTGTCCTATTCTTAAGCTAAAATGCATTTAAGTTTCCCCATTGCATAAATTCTTCTGTCCTGAAAAGTGCTAGATCTTTTTTGAAGCTTGTGGCAGTTTGATCTGAATGATTCTTTATCGCTTTTATTCATGTACATGTACTAATAAAACATGCTTTCTGCACAGGGACCTTTTGAATAAAGATGTTATTTCCGAGTCTGATCCTGGTAAGAATTCTGCGTACTAACTCTTCCTCTATAGTTTAGTGACGGCCTGTTAACACTCCTGAATGATGTGGTCAGGCTATGCTCGATTTGGTGTCTCTGTCTTGATGCCAAAGAACTCCAATAAGGCAAATAAATACATACATGCTCCAGAACTTTAAAAATCCCCACTCCCCTTCTTTTTTCTTATTGTCTGTCACAGAAAATTGCTGGACATGGATACATTTTCAAAGTCAGATCCATGTAAGTTGTACTTGTTTTCTGCTTTCGTAGGTTCGAGGAGCCTATAGTTTCTTTAAATTCCTTTTTATATTTACAATTTTTGAGAAGACAATTTGGATAATCACAAAAGCAGGTCATGCAAAATTCTGAGAGCGGAGCTCAATGCATTTTCAGGGGTGTTTAAGGTCTTAAAATAGTGTTTTTTTTTTAAATTCTGTTCTGTTTATCTTCATTGCAGTCCGTTTAATATTGATGCATTTGTACAGTGATCTGAGGTCGAATTTAAGTTTGAAAATTTTATGTAGAAAATAAGGGGACAAGAGCATAGAGATTTGAGAAACTTCAAGGAAACTTTTCCTGAAAAATGTTCAGAAAGACTTGTCAATAGTGCTGTTTTTTGCCTAGAAATCCCACTGTCAAAAAGCCAAGATATATTGGTAAACTTTCTAGGTACAGCTGGTACACCACTGTAGAGAGTTGCTCATGCAATATGTGTCTGATATTTGCCACTCGTTAAGAGCAGTTACAGTGTCACAGTGTGTTGGATATTGGTTGCTTTTTGCTTAAATTTCAAATCCAGTTTGTCCATTCAAACTCCAAATGGCATTAAATACCCAAAATGAACCTACCTGTAATTCATTAGTTACTGGATAAATTGCTGCTGGTTTTCATTGATTTTACAGTGTGTGTGATGTACCTTCAAACAGTAGGAACAGACACATACAAAGAGGTATGTACAGGAAATTATTTTTTTTTAAATTTTATTTTGTTGTTTTGCGTTAATAAATAAAGCATTCCAACAGAATGAACACCTGTGTTCGTCATCAATTTGTTTGATAACGCGGTGCGTCTTCCAAGTTCTCGTACGTGTGGTGGGAGATTGCTGCAGAGATCTGCAAACTACAATGAGAATCAGTACTGTGATAGCATGCCACCAACGCTTACATGTACATGCACACTGCATCAAGCCTTTCCCACAGAATGTAATACAATAAACAGACCTTCTTTTCACACCATCGTTTGTCACATACATGTAGGTCCAGACCTCCAAAATATCTCAAGGATCAAGAATACTTCACCAGAGATGCCGGTCTTTCTCAAGCATTGGTGTCTTCACACAGCATTTCTTGAAAGATTTCTCAAGCCTTGCAAATTTTTTTAAAGATTTGAAAACAGTTATTTCGTGTCATGAATCTATCGTGTGGTCGACGGACAAAAAAATGCAGTTATTTCAGACACAATTTTCAGTCACGAATTGGTTCGTACAAGAAGCTTACTATGCAGTGTCACATGACTTTCTAAATTTCATTTTTTCTCATGCAGTATGGGAGGTCAGAGGTGATCATGAACACCCTCAATCCAGACTTTGTCAAGAAGTTTGTCATCGATTACTTCTTTGAGGAAGTGCAGAAACTCAAATTTGAATTGTAAGTATTTGTCTATCTTTGGGAATCAATCCTTGTACCTCACAAACCTAAAGGCTGTTCATACTTCAAGCAAACCCAAAAGTGAAGTAAACTTGATGTCACAAAATACTTGCAGTGAAATGTACTTGAGTTTAAAGTATGTTTAACCTTTGCGAATTTGCAGTGTGAATAGTTGATCTGACATCATAATTTCACATTCTTGTTTACTTTTGCACCAAGTATGAACTGGCCTTAACAGACTCATTTGAAATTTTTGTTTGGTGTATGATTTTCAGCCAGTTCCTGTGCTGCTATTGGATTAGGGTTTGGTTATATAAGCATGGTCCAATAGAAAAATTCAAAAGAACCAAGATAGTGGGAGAATGTACAATTTCCATTTAAGGCATGATCCAGAAAGACCTGTCACATTGTATTATTTCATGAATTTGTTAAACTGTGGCTCATATTTTTGCTTTCCTTTTGTCTCCTATCATAGTCTCAATGGCATATTTATTGATATTATTACTTTAAGGGGGAGAGCTTAAGTGGAAGTTATCTGAGTGTAGTTACAGTTCCAATGCTCATGCGGTGGCATTTATTAGTTTTACTTTATTCAATTTGTTCCTTGTCCAATCTGTTTTCATTTTGCTGAAGCACATTACTCTCTTATACCCAAATAGATATGATGTGGACTCCAAAAGCCAAGATCTGAGGAAACATGTAAGTTAATTTTTGTTTTATTTTCCCGCATCTTTTTCCCCTACCTGGGTTTTGAAGAGGGTTCAGGACACTAATTAAAACATTAAGTTCAGGAATGATTTAAGTTTTACTTGCAGATTGTTTTAAAGATTTTTACACTTAAACTGATTTGTTTCTTTAGCATTTTATTTTTAATTGCAATTGGTTTTTCTTTCTGTTTTTCTGAATGACAATCTAGAACTACATATTACATATACCTGTGTTACCTTTACAAAATATCTGTCTTCATTTAGGATTTCTTAGGCAAAGCCTTTTGCACTCTGGGCGAGATCATGGGGTCATCTGGCTGCAAACTCAAGAAACCTCTGAGGTGAGTCCAAATGAGAATCAATCTGACTCTGAAAGTCCATTGAGCTCCTTGATTGTCACACTTACTGCTTTTCAATGCTCTTGCAGATGGAAAAGTATTCTAAGGCAGGTGATTATATTGTATTACTTTCACCCTTAGGCAGGTGCTTTTGTTACGAGTTATTTTCCCCCTCCCCACCAGGGCCTAATTTAGTTGGCTGTGCTAATCATGGATCTCTCGACTTTTGAGTGCCATTTTGTTGCTTAGAGCTCTAGCACAGAAATTTGTGCTTAATCTGGAAAAGTAGAGTGGACCATTTGCAGCTATTAAAAAATTAAACAAATTCAAAATTCAAATTATTAAATGTCAAACTTGTTCAGTGGAACTGAACTCCCTGTGAGAAGCAAAGAATCTTTAGTCATGGTTGTGTACAGGTTCATAAGTCCAGATTCCTTGTTAACCCTAACCCCCAAGGGTTGCTGGCCCTAACCTTCCCCATTCACACAAAGTTTGCATAGAGGCTGTTGGACTTTGTTTTTTTGAGGTATGCCAAACCCAGTGCAAAAGCCAGCTTTTGTGGGCCTACCAGACCTATCCCCACAGAATTAAACACTTTACTACTGTTTAATTCTGTGTGGCTGGGGAAGGTTGGGGTTAATATGTTAGTATGCACATGAGTACAATCACAAACTTAAAACAAGTATAAGTTTACATGTACATGGATCATTTGTACAACACTGTTGTACATGTATTACCAAAAGTCAACAGAGGCAAGCTTTATTGCTATATTTGCATGCAGGGGTTTTTGTACTGAGTGGAATCACTTGAACACTCCTATGGAACTTTTAGGAATGAGTTATAGATGTAACAAACAAGTAATAGTTATCTTGGATTCTGATGGCGTTGTACCCCCTCACTCGTGGCAAATTTGAAGTTGGGGTTCCATGAGGTGAACTTTTTTTATAAGTTGGTGCTCAGATTTTTTTAAAGAGAACTTACAGAGGAGGCAGAAAAAACAAGTATCTCTATGGTCTCAAGAAAAACATAGGCCTGCAAATCAGAGGGAAGAATAAAAAAAATGCCCCCCCCCCAAAAAAAAAGAAGGAAAAAAGAGGTACCACTAGCACTAGCCGCCAAGGACAAAAGCTCACAAAATTGAAATTTGGGACTTTGCCATTGGTCGGACAGCAGAGCAGAATTCATTCTTTTTTCTTTTTTTTTGGTACATCTACCTGGTATATTGGTAAATTGTTGTTCGACGGATCTAAAACTTCTGAAAATAAAAAATTTCTTTTTTCCCAGTTCTGAATCCGAAAGGTCGGCGGATCCAAGCTCCAACTTAAAAAAAGAAAATTCTCACCTTAGAGTAATACTGATGTGAAAACCTGACACATCTGTGAAATGACACATGCATACCCCATTGCAGGCTTGTACAAGTATGCATGTGCATACATTGCAGCACCTCATTACTCATTTAAAAAAGCTTTAAAAAGTCCATAGTTGAATCAAAATCTTTAAGTGCGTACCAGGGATGACCGTGGATCTGGATATTTGTTTTTTTACACAGTGGACCTGCCAAGAACTGTGGGTCTATCATCGTCAAAGGAGAAGAGATGAGTGAATGCAGGGTAAGAATTCAGGAAAAAAATTCCCCATTTTCTTTTCTTTGAGAACTTCAGCCAAAACGTCAGTGGCTGTGCATTGTTAATTTTATAGTGCATTGTCAATTTGTGTAGCCTAGATCTTGTTTTCCCTTGTTGGTCTTTTGCCTTTTCAACAGTTTAGCGATATTTCTTAGCTTGCCTGTCATTCCCATCCACAGGATATGATCACCATGCAGTTTAAAGGAGAGAATCTGGACAAGAAAGATTTCCTGGGCAAGTCCGATCCATTCCTGGTGTTCCACCGATGCAATGAAGATGGAAGGTAGGCTTCCAGGAAGTAACCACTTTACAACCTGTGGTCTTGTAATACCTTCCCAGCACTCCACCAACAGATGTGTCCATCTATGTGTTAGGGTTCCTCCTAACGTAAACACATTGAGTAACTGGACATTTAAGAGAATATATTTTTTTGCACCATGTAAATCAATTAAAACTCCCATCATTTTTCACCAATGTATCGTCCATTTTCATCAGGATGCCGAAATGGGTAAAACATGTACATCAAAAACAAAGAACTCCATTTAATCTTCACCAAAAATCCCCTTAAGGCTCATTTTGTGGGATCTGGTCACATTTATCAATGTCTCCTCTTCAAGGGGGGCTCAATTCTGAAGCCATAAAAGTTGTGCATCACAAAGCCAAGGAAAATGCCTTCAAATTCACGATCAAGGCAACCTGGACAATGTTGCAAACCTGGAAGGTGGTAAAAGAGAAAGAGATCTCACCCAAAGAGGATGTGGCCGTGGACACAAATCATCTACAAAAAGAGCGTTTAACTTTACTGATATGTGCTCTTTCAATGAATGGCTTAATCCTGCCCAGATAGCTGACACAGTTTGTGTCTGTGGAGAGAGGAAGCTGCCAGCCTCAAGAGACTTTATTAAATGAAGTGATGAAACTTTCACTGTTTACAAAGTATTCATTGGTGATGGAGTTTCGAAAACTGCAACTTGGATAACATCAGATGGTGCCCCAGTATTCCTGTAATATCTAAGGAGTGAGTGGACGTTGAACCAAGCACTTTGAGTTGGTTTGGGGAAACTGAACACCGAGACTGTCGTTGATCTTTGTTGTGACTTTGCTTCCTTTTCCAGCTTCACCATCTGTCATAAGACAGAGGTCATCAAGAACACACTCAATCCCAACTGGAAGGCCTTCAATGTCATGTTGAGAGCATTGAATAATGCCGACCACGACAGAACCATCAAAGTGGAGTGCTTTGACTGGAATCGAGACGGCAGGTTAGCCACTGTTGATGTGAAAGAAAAATCACCTTCAACATGGGCATTATCTACAGCTTTCAATTTTAATTTTTACGAAATCTTCATTTTGGCAGGGATTTTTAAAAGGATTCTAAAGACTTCACAGGCATTTCCAGACAATCTTCTCAGTGCTAAAAATTGAAGGAACCGAAATTTTTATACAATAGATCAGCAGAATCTGACACTCAACAAGCCTGGATCCTGGTTTCCATAAATAAATTTTCCACACTAAAAGCAAATTTGGTAAAATATGATGAGGGTTTTGAATTCGAGTGGCAGTAGAAGCTATTCTCATTGTATGGATTGTCATTGTTCCATACTCCCAGTCATCAAGCTCAAGATGTCTAGAGAAGTGTTGCAGATCTTGGGTCACAGTCCAGCCAGTGGAGTGGTGATGCACCTGCCCTTCACAAATTAAAGACACTTTGCTTTGTTCTACCAAAAAAGGAACTTGGTGCTTTGTGGGGACGGACAAGTTTTGAATTAGTTTATGCGCCAAATGGCTATAAATGAGAGCTTTGCAATCCTCAGAGAACCAGGTTCTGAGGAATGCTTTATTGGCCTGATGGGCGGGGATAATGGCCATTTCCATGAATGCTTGTACATGGAGTGAGGAAACTTTACGCTCACCCTCTAGATACCGGTAGCAGCGAAAAGTGTTTGAATTGGAGCACTGACAAGAGTAAGGGTTGATGCTTTGTAAATTTACATTATTACCACACTCCATGTCATCATGTGATCCTTTATTTTCTTTTGAATATTCACAGCCATGACTTGATTGGTGTGTTTGAAACCAACACCAGGGAGTTATCCAGGGGTCCGTGTCTCACGAATGTTTACCAGGTGAGTTCAGCTGGCTGGTGGCATTCCGACAGTGCGTGCCCAAAGTAAAGCACATCCGAGGCCATCATGATGTGCATGTGATGGCTGCCAAATTGGCGCAGCCATACACGGACTCGTGTGCATGCTTTGTTCCCAAATAAACTTACTTGTTTGAAAAACTAAAGTGGCTCATTGTGGAGAGCTGTTGACAGGAATTCTGCTCTAAACAGGGGCTTTGAGCTTTGAAAAATGCATGCAACTTTACCTTGGATCAGCTGATTTCCTCGTTTTCTGCCTCACCCTCATGCCCGTGAAAATTTAAAAGCACTGCAAAGACTTGTAAAGATCGGAATTTCTTCCTTTTTTGTCAAAGTCTAAGATGCCTGCCTGGAAAAATTTGTGCCCGTGCCAGAATATTTTGACGTGCAGCACAATGGCTTGATCTCAGTGCTGGGATAACCAACCACCACTTTGGTAGCAAACTGGAGAGGATGGTGTATTGCCAATTAATGAAGGCTAAGGTAGGACACCATGCAAATGCACTGGTGCCAGCGGTCAATTGCATAAGATCAGTTTTCAACTGAGTGTACACAAATGAATCAAATAATTTCGATCTTGCTTCTCTCACCTCCAGTTGATTCATCCCAAGAAGCAGGCCAAGAAGAAGTCATATCGCAATTCCGGTCTGGTCACCCTCTTGAGCTGCAAGATTGAGCCTCAGTACACTTTCTTGGACTACATCCGGGGAGGTTGCGAGCTGAATTTTACCGTGGCGATTGACTTTACAGCTTCAAATGGTATGTCTGTCATGTCAGTTGTACAGTACAGTGCCTCTATAATGAACACCACTACTTTAATAATTTTGGTATATCGAGCATTCCCCTTGCTGTCTGAATCTTCCACGTGTTTTTAGTTAACTTTGAAATTTGTGCCAGTGTAGGGTACAGTTTGGTTGTGTGAAATCAGACTTACGAAGTTGTATTGCTCGTGCCTGTCTGACAGTATGTGAGTCAGTAAATATAATGTATAATGGTAAGAGTCCTCAAAAGTAGGAGTCCAAATTTCATATGAAACCGGGCATGTGTTAGAAATCAGTTAGGTGTCTTACATGTATCAAGGGTTAAAAACACCCACCTGATAGCTTCTTGATTATTTGGAATGGCTAAACCTTCTAAAGATATTTATAAAGTACCAGCAAAATATAATCATTTTTTTTCACAGAATGGTTTCCAATCGTAAGCAAGTCTGTGAAAACTTTAAATCCATTTTGTGATGGTTATAAAAATTACAATCAATATTGTGTTCACACGATACTTTGCACATATAGCAGGGTTTGAGTTGTTTGAGGTAGATTTTCAGTGAATTGCTTGGTGAAAGCCAGCTCATGAGTAAAAGCCTATGACTGTTATTCATTGCTGACCCCTTCTCTAGGTGACCCACGACAGCCTACATCCTTGCACTACATGAACCCATACACCCCTAATTCTTACCTGAGGGCCCTGTGGGCAGTGGGTGAAGTCATTCAGGACTACGACCACGACAAACTCTTTCCTGCTCTCGGCTTTGGTGCCAGGGTCCCACCCTCCATGCAGACCAGCCACGAGTTCTTCCTGGTAAGAATTTGTTTTTGGTCAATTTTAGAGAACGCACGAAAGATTATGGTAGTGTCAGAGGATACTCTCATGAGCAGCATTTACAGAACTTTGAATCATAAGTGGAGAAGTCAGTGTGGTGAATTTGCCCAAAAGGGGTTTGTGACCTGCTTTGTCAAAGGCGATTGAAACTGTGAAACATTGCCTGATTGGTCTTTAGTGAAAAAGAGTGTTTAAGTGTTTGTAGCATGACACAGATAAGCAATTGCTTCACTGGTTCTGCTACATGTATCTCATTGGTTGTTCTGCACTGTAAAGATTCTTCCTGGAGGTCTGATTGGTCTTTAGCCATGCATGTATTGAATATTAATTTGTAGTCATTCATGTGTCAGTTTAACCAAGTGTCGAAGGTCATCAAGACAACAAGTTGCCCAGATACCCAGGGGTGTGAGAATTCAGCTTTTTTCGTGTAGATGTTGACCCTGAATTTCAGCTTTTTTTACACCAGGTCTGTACAAAAGTATGGAAACTTTTTACATTTCAGCTTTTTGCTAGCTGTTTTCAGCTTAAATTTTAAGTGGCCACTCACACTCCTGATACCATAGCTGTTACCAAGCTAGGGTCCAAAATGCACAAAGGCTTGGAATTTTAAATGCCCTGAAGATTCAATTTTATCAAATGACTTAAACTTTCGTGTCTTTGTGTCAGCTGTTTAGTATTTCCTTGGAAATCACTTTGATTTGGCACTGCTGTTGCAGATTAAAAACAAAAATATTTTCCAACTGTGTGAGTTCCAACTGAGTTCTTCAAGGGTTTTGTTTTCCTCTCAGGGATGAGATTGTATACATGCAAGTTAGCTGTATAACCTGAACTCCAAGGCAGTGGCTCATTGTCAGGCAAATGATTTTCGGATGTTTACGTGAAAATATGATCCTAAGCTCTAAGGACGGAGGTTATTTTTTCCCATCTTCCTTTGTCACCAGTAACAAGACAGTTACCACCAATCATTCTTTACTTCCCTCTTTCAAGAACGGAAGTCAAACGGATCCATTCTGTGTTGGTGTGGAGGGGATAGTGGCAGCCTACCAGAAAGCTTTGTCATCAGTACAACTCTACGGTCCTACACTTTTTGCACCAATCATAAACCACGTAGCAAGGTGAGCTTGAACACTCTTAATTTGTTCTTCTGGATTTGCCTGTGTCCAGCTCAGTAATCCAGTGACACAAACCGATACATCAAGGTTCTTGTAACATGACAGTAATGTGGTGGTTCCAGGGTATGAAATCATACTTGAGCAGCAAACATTTTCCAACCACGCGACAGCTTTTTTAAATCTTGATGAATAGCAGAATAAAAGCTAATGGCCTACACGGTGTCAGATTTCACACTCTGGTGTACAGTTTGGAAACCATCTCAGTGCTACCAAAATCAGTTCTATTTCATTGGGATCCATACTTCAGAGGCTTCAAAACCATAGCGTGCCTCTCCTGTTTAATTGTGATTGATAATCAGCTTAGCCAGAGGTTCCAGATGTCCCCGGGGTACGGAGCTCATCTCATGCTCGGTAGAATTGTTTCCACTTGGTTTCATGCCCTGTAACGCAGTTCAAGAACTGTGTTATTGAGATGTTTGAAATAATATATGATCTAATTTATTTCCTTCCTCGTTGAGGTAGACATACTGCAACGTAATGTTATAATTTTGGTCTGTGGAGATTTCTTCTCGCCAACACACCGGATTTGTCTGGAGGATGGGGTAATCTCAAACTGATCAAGCATTTTATGTGTCGATCATCGACCTTCACGGCCAGCGTGCATGTATTTTTCAAGTACATGTACATGTACATGTATGCATCAGCCCCAATGCAATGAAACGTCATTATTTTTACTGATTTGAAATGCAATACACTTATATATTGCACGTACCAACTGTACTTTCAACTGGACCAGTTGCAAGCAGTTATAGAGTCAAAATATGCTTTGTTTCTGATCAAACTGGAAGGTGTGATACTTAACAGCAACTGTTCTGAATGGTAACCTATTTTATTGTCTCAGCACAGGAACCTGGGCATGAGTGTATGTGGGTGTGCATTCACACGGGAAAAGCAGTACCTTTAGAGTTAATTTGTTAATGGGGACATGTACGTGTACATGTATATTTCAAACTGTCAGTACAAAAATGGCATCAAGTGGCTGGAAATGACTCGGGAGGTTTAGTTTTTGGTTTTAGTTGTAACTTCTCCTTCTTGAATAGTCTCGTAAAATATGTGTCCACATTTACAATGTAGTTTGTAGAAAAATTCGATTTTGTGTGTGACATGGCATCAACACACTAGATGTTTCTGCAGCAATTTTCACAGTGGGCTATCCAAATCCAGAACTGAAATCTGACGGTCAATTGTAAACACATTTAAATCTCAAACAACTGTTGTCAAGGGCACCACCATGGTAACCACAGTCACAACTACCCTAGCAACTTTTGTTTCAACACAATACTCAGTCATCTTAAATTAATCATCAATCTGTAACATGCGTGTATCAAGGATACATGTATATCCAGTGTTTCTCTTAAAAAAATGAAAGTGCCTCAGTATTTTCCATAATAATTTCTATAATGGTATTTCTGGAATGTTTGACCTTTAGCTTGAGGGACCCTGAAAAAAAAAATTGACGCTTTCATTCTTCTTTGGTTGGTAATTTTATAAATACTGGATATGAATACCTTAAGTCCACAAAGACCATTCAGGGTTCAAATGAAAGTGATCAACATTTTGTTTTGAAAGAGCGTGTAGACTGTTTAATTAATATGCAGTGTTAAACCACATCCACTTATAATAAACATGAATATTTGAATAGAAGTGACAGATTTAGCTGTATAATTTTTCTCCCCCCCATTATTTCACAATTTATTCATAATTATTTCACAGATGCACTCTATATGTAACTGCAGGTTCTACAGTTACCGGTAGCAATATGGGGCATTGCTCCCATTATGTGTAATTGGTAACCTCATCAGGGCAATTTGTATCCGGCCATGGGACAGGGATACCCGTATATTGACGTGCAAACAAGCATGCTGTTCTTATATCACAGTCTTATGAACAGTTTGAGGCAAGCACTGGTGATTGCCGTGTAACCAGCTTGCTGCATACAGAGCGCTATTTGGCTCGGATGTCGCTTTCCGAGTTTCTTTGCCTCGGGGTACAAATGAAAAAATTGTCTGCTTCACCGGGGACACCTGTCATGATGCAAGTTGGATTAGTAGCGTTTTTTTTAAAGTAACCCAGTTTTTCTTACTGCTGGGAAGTACATGTACATGTACTCATACTTGCATGCATCGTTAATATGGTCTCAGGAGGGTGCGTAGGTCATGCATGCCTGGTTATCTTAATGAAAATGGTGCAGCCATGCATTGTGTTTATCCTACATGTACCGTATCTCTGCCTTTTTCCCTCTGGTGTAATATTGTACAATGTACTCATAGGTAAGCAGAACTTGTAATATCTAGACAGAACCTTACCAATGTGTTTATGGGCTCTGGAATGCTTAGAATTAAGTTGTAACTTACCAGTCTGAAATCTTAGGTTAGTAAAGTTCCCAGTGACAGCAACCCGGTAAAGTTGCCAAGAACGTGTACTGGTACACTGTACTTTGCAGTGGAAAGTTAAAGCAGTCTTTGAAGTTTCCTCACTAATTCTGTCCAGTCTTAGTGAAGACGAGAGCTGTTTTGTAAAGAAAGACAAACATTTGAAACAGCGGGGGGCTGACTAGTGTTTTGACACGTGAATTGGTTAAAAGTTTTACTGTTTGTTAGTGTCCCTTGTTTGTACACCCGTACTTTGTAGTCTTGTTAGTTGTCCAACAGGTCAGACAAAGCACTTGTTTCACCCTGTGCCCAATATTATTATGTACAGGTATGCACTATGCTCTGTATATCATGTAAATTTAAAGGCTTGTTTCTCTTTGTTGATATTGTACTGTACAATGGTGTGTTTTTGGTTTTTTGTGGTTTAATAACATGGAATATCAATGTGGATAATTTTTAAAAGAAAAAAAGAATGCTCTTACGAAACAGAATTTATTTTGAATGATCTGCCTCATTTGTATGTACTGTAAATGTGATGCTGACGTAAAAATTTGGACCTACATGTGCAACGGAGGCGCAAAACAAGAGACAAAGTTTTGCAAAATTAATGGTTGCAACAGACAGTGTCACAGAGAAGAAAAATGTTGCCCTCTGCTTGTGTGTAAGTCATACATTATGTTTAGTATGTGGCCTCCTTTCAAATACCGCCAATGACTTGGAGGTGTTTGAAAGATTTTATATCAATGCAACTGTAAATTATTGGTCTATGAAATCTACAACCTTGGTACATACCATCATGTCCTAGTCTGCTGCGGTGAATGCTGCTTGTTGAGTTGTTTATAGAAGTACATACTGCATTTTTTGTCAGCCCATGGTGAACTAATGCCAGCACTATGAACTGAGGGGATAGATCAGGGGTGATATTTTATAAGCACATTCAGCCCCACTGTGTGGTACATGTAATTTATGGCAGTGAACTGAGAAACCTGGACTATGCTGTCAACAACCTCCAACAGAGTTCTTTGACCGTAAACAGTGAATTTTGGTGAAGAAGCGTCTTGTTATCAGTGATGTGATTCCAGCCGTCAGTCAACCCATCAGGGAAATGGTGAACATTTACCAACTCTGGTTGTAATCCTGAGCAGTTGGTGAGACAACAAAAAAACTGTAGGTGGCACTGAATGAAAATGGTGCTTCACCAAAATGTGCATTCATCTGAAACTGAAAGTTTGGCTATTACTTGAAATGTGCCAGGTGGAACCCTGAGTGATACAGTTCTTGAGATGTATATGTGTACGATGTAGTTTCCAGCTGGAGTCCATCTTAAGACCCATTTTTCCTGGAATCAATTTCAAGCTTCAGTCACACCCATAGTCTCTATCTTGGCTGTATGACTTGAGGTTTGAGTCCTGTCTAGGTTGGCATGTGCATTGGGTTTTCAGTCCTTACCTGATTCTGTGGGTATCTTTGGAATGTTCCAGGGTTTTCGCCCACCTTCAAAAGTAGACATTTCCTCACTACCTTTGCCACTGTGACTCTTAATCATCCCGTTATCGGCCCTTGATGAACACTAAGAAAATCAAATCAACCTAATCTGCCTTTAACAGAAGCACCCCCTCATCGATTGAGAGGAGCGATGTTTGTGGAGAATGTTCATTTTGTTGGTACATGTAGCCAGGCAACCACAGTGCATAATTTTTAGAATTGGTCGTGAACCAGTCTAGTGCAGTTCCTATCAATGGAGCCTCCATTGCGAGGAAACTTGCGCCCTCTCTTGGTCCTGCTCGGGCTGGATTACACAAGTTTCGATAATTCATTGGGTCAGTGATGCACGTAGTCAAAGTAACCTTTTGTCTTGTGATTTATAGACTCTGATGTGAGGAATTGGTTCCAAGTTCTGAAACTGGGAACCTATAACCACCTCTATAAATCACCGAATAACCTCTGAGTCAAAGAGAGGAAAGGTTTTAAAAGGTTACAGTAAGGAGATTTTGAAATTAAGTGTCATGCTACAAGGAATGCTAAAATTGATTTCAAATTTATGTCACAAAGGTTGTTCATGAACATTTTGGATGAGACTGAAATGGCAATTTGAGTGCATTTTTCATGATTGCTTCTGGTTTTTTTTCACTGATGGGGTTCGGATGGAATTTGCATTTACTTGTATCTGGGTACCTGTGTCCTATTTCAGTCAGGTATTCGATTTCTGCACCACCTACATGTATAAATGCACATCACTTCATGTAAATCAAGGCCCCTAATTTAAAACATAGAGCAAGGTTCCTTGCTCTGTGATTAAACTGACACTACATGCTCTACTTGGCAATAAACAATCATCTCCTGCCTCCCTGGAGATGTGTACAACCACAGAATGGTTTAACCAATATCTCCTTTCCCCCTTAAAAAAAGAGTATAAAATAGACTCCTGATAATGGAAGGCTGGTTGTCACTGTAGCACATACATGTACATTGGATGATGACAGCTCAAGCTGCAGCTCAATTCACCCCATCAGCAGAACTCTAAGCCAGCGTACCATTGAATCTACAACAGAACGGGTAGTAAACAGAAAACAGCAAATAGCAGGTTGGCATGACCGCTCTTCAGCTGGTAGTCTTCTTTCTAAGCTGTAATGAGATCATTAAGTCTGCTGTGTCATTCTTCACATCAGCTCGAGGTTATTACATGTTGTATTTCATTTCTTTTTTCACTGAATTCTTAGACCAGTAGATGATACACCCTGGCAAGTCATTTTAATTAGCACGTCAGTCTGAAAATATCCAATGTCATGGTGTATGTTATGTGTATCAAATAGTGCACTGATCCACAAACATCTGTAAAATTAAGTGTGAGAATAATGCGGACCTATTTTTATTTTCTTAACTTTATGCTAGTGGTAACAGATAGCCTGCCTTTCTTGAGTAAAACCATATGCGTCCAAAAACTGGGGGGGGGATAAACTGTTTTCACTGATTGTAAAGGTTGTATTAATGAAATTTTCTTATTAATCTGTGCTTCACTTTTTCATTTGTATTCTTTGCCTGATGTTCAACTATATGAGAAATTAAACATCACAGATTCTGATGAATTTTAAGTTGAAAAAAATTAGCATAATTTAAAATAACATGCATGCTCAAATAGGCCTTTTCATTTGTGTTTTAGGCTCAAATTCCTGTCAAATAAACTCAAAAGGCAGGTACGTGTACATGTATCAATAATGACATATATTCTTGAACATGGGGTGGGCCAATGACCAATAACTAAAAAGGAAGTTAGGATAAGAAATTTGTTGGATTCAACATTATAATATGTCTTGCTACTTATGTAGCTGTATTTTGAGCCAAGCCAATTCACCTCCTGAATCCAGCTCTGGTGCACTACCAAGGTGGGGGGGGGACTGGTAGTGTGTTGTGTTGGTGTAAGGTCACAACCTGCTTCAGTCAGTTTCTTTGTCCTTGTCAGTCTCTCATTGAAGTTTAATATTTTGACGAAATTAAGTACAAAGGCGATCATTGCGTAGGATGTGATTTCACACAGTGTTGTATCAGGAAGGCAAAACTCTTTCCCGGGCATGGGGTTGGGGATGGGGTATGCGGAGGGGGAAGTAAATGTACATGTACTATACTGGTAGCAATCAGCAGTAAACTGGAAAAGAAAAATCAATGGTGGAAAGGGATTAGTTTTGAGGCATTCTTTTCATCCCCTTGCTTACTTTGTTGTTTCATTGCTTCTTGTCTTTTTCCCCTGCCCCAATTTGTCTTAGGGCCAGGTGCCTATGAAGATGTCATGTTTGTTTTTGCCTTGCAGATTTGCAGCAGCCGTACGTGACGGCAGCAAGTACTATGTGCTGCTGATAATCACAGATGGCTGTATCTGCGACATGGACCACACGAAGGAAGCTGTTGTCAATGTAAGTCATGTGACCTTGGTAGAGCATCATGGAGGATTTTTTTTCCCTTCATGCTGCTTTCCTGCAGATAAAGGGATTTAATGCCGAGTCACAGTAGACTGTCATATGCAATGTACATTACATGTACACCACTTTGTGCACTGCAAATTCAGTCCTTCCACACAGACGCCAGCACAGCATGGAAGACCTGCAGCAGCCTGCCTTGATGCTGTTTTTTTACCCTAACTTCTTAGGAAATGTTTTGCAGAAGTTGTGTCCAATATACCAAAAAACTTCTGTTTTGTTGGAAACTGATTCTTTGAAATCTGTTCGGTGGCGGCTTATGCCCATGTAGAGTAATGGTGGTTGGGCTGTACCTTCCTCAATCCTTCAAAATCTTACCAGATCTTCTGGCAGATTTTGTAGGAAAGCAAATGTGTATGTGTGGTTGACAGAGATGTAGATTAGAGCTTTTATCTGATACAAGACTGTGCATGTTGAACGGAAAAAGGTATTTCATACACATAGGTTCATGCAGCACATAGTGTGTGAAAAAAAGAAGAAGTTTGTTTTGTTCATTTAGTGCATGATTCACAGTCCTAAGAACTAGCTCCATATACTTGGACACTATCCCTTTCTCTTTTCTGTGAACTTAGTCACAATGGATGACATCAATATCTAACATGAGCATTTCCTGGCTACCCGCAGTAGGGCAAGTAACACAGACCAAGAACTACAGCTGTGGCATTCCTAAGCAAAATGTTATGCAATGAGTCAACCATATGTATCCAAGTTTGAGACCATTTAGGAAATGGTCTTTTTGTCAGCAGAGAAAAAATATTTTCATCTAACAGCGTTTACCCGGTCTTTCATACAGGTGTGGTTTGCCACAGAAAAGAGTAGCTGGCACTCTAATATTTCTAAGCTGTAAAGGAAAGTAGGTGTAGGATTCTCTAGGACATTTTTGTTTGATTCAAAAACATTTTGAGGGTAATCTGTGACCTTGTTTGCTTTCATTGTAGGCTGCAAAACTCCCTATGTCAATCATTATCGTTGGAGTTGGGAAAGAAGACTTCAGCAGTAAGTAAAAAAGTCCTTGATTCCTTTTTTGTTCTACATTTTCCTGTACATACAAATTCCTGATAGGAATAAAGATTAGATGGGGAATATTTCATAATGCTGCAACTGTCCATTTTCCTCGGGGAATTCTAGAAAAGAATTTGGCAGAAACAGGCTGTTTTTGAAGTAGCACGCACACCCACAAGGAACAGCGCACTTTCCAAAGTAGGTCTATTCCCTGGGCAGACAAATATATAGGTCTCGGGCAATGTGATCACTAGTCAGAAAGTTGAGAGATTTGGACTAAAAAGAGACACTTGTAAATTAAGGTTGGGGACAATAATTAAAGCTAACACTGTGAAGGGCCAGTGTAATTTAGATGAGGTGGTGAAATCAACTCTATGTGGTAGACAGTGGAATACTTTTGGGTTCTACCTTCCTTGGTCCTGCAAAGTCTTCCAAAACTTTCAAGTGGATATTGAAGGCTTGAAGAGGGGTAGAGGGATGAATTTGAAGGGGGTTAAATTTTCCCTCATTGACCTTGAATCTGGGACACACCTGTTTTGATGACTGATTTTTCTACAGCAGAGTTTTCATTGTTTGTATGTATTTCATTCTATATGTCATTTGTGAAAAAGAAATTTTGTAGCATCTTAAGTACCATCTACCCTTCCCCAAACAACCTTTTGGAGAAAGAAAGAAAACATTGTAACATCTAAAGTTTTAGCAAACCTTTCAAAAATAATTGCTTTCAGTGATGCCAAAAATATATATCAAACTTTAGTGTAGTAACCTTTCAGTGTTTCAAAAATCCCATTTAATGAACTTGACCACCACACATATAAAAATGTTAAATTTTCAAGTGAAAATTGTGCCTAGTTTAAGAGTACAGCCGTTGTGTGCAGTGTCACAACTTTTAAGTTCAGTCTTTTCTTTTAGTTGAGCACCTGTTCCTTATATTTTATAATGTACATGTAACTAAACAGACTCAGTGAGAAAAATTCCGACCTTTCCTTCCCATGCCATTGGTTGACCCATTAGAGAGGTTTTTTTTTCTTCAAATCAACAAGTTCAAGGTGTTGCTGACAGGCGGCATCTTTTAATAAAGAACCATGGCCAGCAGACTCTGTTGTGAGAGAAATCATTCAGAAATCTGTGTGGTCTGATATGAACTTGATCCCATCAAAGCTAAAAGAATGAAATACCTAACAAGCCTAACCATACCAAAACAACACTAATTAAAGGACTTTGGAGGCACTTGTGTTGCCACAATTTAGAACTTGTCAGGTACAGTTCTTGACCTAAATTTCAAGGGGTGTGTGAAAGGAGGTTTCAGTGAGTGAAAAAGTAATTTGAACTTGAGAGTAGTTAACTTTAAATGTTCCAAAAACTGCATCTTCTTATTGATAACAATAAATTAATAAACATCTTGAATTTCCAGCAAAGAATTGTGCCTTATTAATAGTATGTACAGCCATTGTGTGCAGTGTCACGACTTTAATTTTACAGGTTTTACGTTCAGTTGAGCACCTGTTCCTCATAAGTGAACAGTCTCAGAAAAAGGTCGACCTCTCCCTGGCATGCCATTAGTAGACCCATGAGAGAGTCTTTGTTTTTTTTTCAATCTGCAAGTTCAAGGCTTTGATTGTGTGTTTATGAAGAACCCTGGGTGTCATACTCCATTACAAGAAATCAACCTGAGATGTGTGGTTTTATGAAAACCAACTACAGTACACGTACACGAACTACTGACATCTACCTCCCTTCAAGGCTGAATGGTAGAAGTACCTGAAAAGCAAAACTGTCACGATCATTAAGTAATAATCTTTCCAAGAAAAAAAGATTTTGGAGGCACTTTTGTTGTCACAACAAATTATTATTTTTTTAAAACCATTGTTTGCCTTTCCTTGTAACCAGATTTTATGTCCCCTGAGAAATGAGGAATATGGGTTGCACTGTGCAGTGCTGGGTTTTTCCTTTTGAAGATGAAATCATCATTTTTGTTGCCAACTCTCCTGTAATATGTTTTGAATTGAAGACAATAATAATTTGTGTTACCAGTTAACAACTCTAACTGGTTTACATAGCACTTCTGGAGAGTTGAATTGACATCAGTGTTGCTTTCCTGTCTGTCCCGGTATGCATCTCATGGAGAAAGAAAGAAAAGAGCCATACTCGTACATTTACGATTTTAGAAAGTAGGATCATCATTTGAATATAACTTTGAGTGGCACCTTAAAAATTGTTGTACATGTTCTTCAGTATCCTGCAAGACATTTTATCATGCCCAGTATGTTGTGTTGGCAGTTTGCTGGGCTCATTTCCTTGCTAGTCGATTGTAGATCTTCTCTTTACAGTGTCAAAAGGACACTAATCTTAGGGGCCAGAATTCTTTGAAGTGATGCAGAAAGGCTTGAAGTTGAGTTCAAGCACAAATGTATGATCATTTGTGGCACTACTACTGTTTTCAAGAGGAGGTACACTTTTGTGGGTTGGCATTTGGCACCTACATTTTGCCCATTGTTGAAAGACAAGTTGAACAAAACAGTGTCATAAACAGTTACTTGTTTGGACAGGAAGTAAGGGTTGCTTTTTCTGGGCACTGAGGACACGGACTGGAAGACTTGCATTAGTTTTTATGTCGGAAAGTTTGTGTGTCGGAATAACTGTGGGGATAAAGCAGGTGTTTATGAAGGCAGAAAACTCATTCAGCCCTCCAAAAAGCCATTATAAAGGAATTAGGATGCCTTTTCCTTGATGTGCAATAGGCTTAAAAGCAAGGAAGGCATCCATGGGTCTGCCATGTTGTTGGGCTCATTTGGCCACCTTCCTTCTCAAATGATTATGAAGCTAAACCTCCTCGGAGAGTTGTCCTCCTGGCTCAAGAATCACACTTTCATGTTCAGTGTTGAATCTTCCACTGTGATTGGTTGATGCATAGCAACAGCATTGTGATGTCTGCATATGGCCTCTTAGTGTTACCTGTACATGTAAATGGTAGCAAGAATCTTGGTACATGCACGTGTACTGTACATGCCCAGTGGCAGGGTGTGGCATTTATGAAAAGGGACGGCACCCCAAATGCAAATGAACCCAACAGATAAACAGGGCATATTTTTAGTGATATTTTCTGTCTCCAGTTATTCAGGAACCAAATCGGCACATCGTGTTACTGCTGCCATGGGTCGTTTTCCAATACTCAACATTGTCTCCGTCTCAGGCTTCATGTAGGAAACCAAACCTCGATTGTGGGCTGGAAGCGTTTAACTTAAATTGAAGTACTGTAGTATTTGGCTCTTTTGCATTTTACTTGATGGTTTGTGGCACTATCAGACCTACTATTGCGCTTACAACCTCAAAGTCTGGAAGTGAAAAAACAGTTGAAGCCTGAGACGGAGTTCAAGTCGAGTATTGGAAAGCGGTCTTAAAGTCTCAGTCTGAATATTTGAAATATGTATATGACTTGACTTCATTAGGAAACTGGAAAAGTACATGTGCATGTACTAAGTCTCATGCATGAGGACTTGGCCACTGTTAAAGAGCGACCGGTGATGACTACCAGTCCCTCTAAATGCAAAGCAGTGCAGGTCTGTTTTTAGGAAAAAAAGCAAACAACTGGATAATGCCAGTATTGATGGTGAACTGTCATTTTGTGTGTCTGAAGCCAATAACAGTATTAGGTCTGTGGATTCCAAATAATTTGAAGTGAAAGAAACATACATGTACATGTATGTTGGTCAAATGCTGAAAAAAGCCAACATGAGGTTGTTTAAGTTGAGATCAGTTTAATACTGTAAGGTAATTTTGGGGTATTTTGGGGGTATGTCAGGTCAGTGTTTGGTATACGCTGTTGTTATTTGTCTCTCTAGCATTACAGCGCACCAGTCTCATTGTACTGAATGATTGAATCTACTCGGAAGAGGGCATATTAAATCCTTTTGGGCAACCAATCTATCAGTGTTACATTCTGTCTTTAATGCTCTCCAGTAATTAAAGTTTTCATGTTTTTAGACTTTATGTACATGTACAGTACATTTACATCATAATGACCTTGCGAAATGACCTTAGGATCATCTGTCAATTCAATAATGTTAAGTAATAGTACTGAATCTTAGTGTTGTGACATAGCAAAACCGCAGGTAGTTGGTTTGAAAGGCATGGGTTGGTAAAGTTTAAGAAGTACCAGTAGTAACCAGTATAAAGTCATCTGGAAAAGTAACACAGTATAAGTAATTGTCCTTTTCGAACATGCCAGTACAGATTATTTGCATAGCAGTTTGATTTGTTGAAATCTAGCTGTCAGATTGCTTTGATGACTTGATAAACGGAAGACTATAGAGAGGGGAGAGAATACCAGATGTGACATCTGACATCTTGCCGTTTTCTGACCAGATACGGTTGGGCTTAACAACTCCCCTCTGCACTACCGTGTCCCTCACAGAACCTGGGAAAGTTGAATTCAAACATTCATCAGCCATTCATTAATGCCTAAGACAGTTTAGCCATTCATTTTGATTGAGAGCCGATCACATGGCTGGTTGATGGGCAGGCCCATCTTAAACAGTTTTTCTTGTCAAGTGAAAGTTAGACTTGTATATAATCTGGTCCCTTGCCTTGGTATTGGTTGAATGTTCATAGTCTTCACTCATGTTTGCTCAATACCACCCATGAGTCCACATGTTGAGAGACCTTAAGTCACGCTACTCTGTTTCATTTTGCTCTGCACCACGTCATGCAGTACAAGCCATGCGCACAACCAACCTCCGTTTAAAGAGATTGTTTAGGACTGCGCTTTAGACACACACACCATAACTAGAGGGGTGTTTGAAAAAAAAGGCAGTAAGACCGTCCAAGTACATGTACATTTTTATTCCCGTAAAATTCCCAGTGATATGCAACCTGCAGAAATAAAATAGACCGGTTTGTTTTTTTGTACATAGAAAGTCAGCACTCTGTGATGGCAATAATGCCTTCTGTGAATATGGATTGGCATGAATTTTGCCCTGAAGTGCAGGAGACATTTCATTTGGTTCATAAAAGCTGCTGTGTAGGATTCATGTGTAATGAGTTTTCATACAAGAGTTAAGTGCTGGAGGCTGTTTTGATTTAAATAGAAATGACAGTGGCTAAAATGTACATGGAAATACTTCAATTACATAAAGTTTGGAAACTGAGACCAAGCCAAATGAGCCTTTGAACATTTTAGGTTTAGGTATTTGAGAGTCATAAATCACTGTGTAAGAGAACATCTCTCAAACATCTGAAGGATTTGTGGCATTTGTCTTTCCTGAGAAGAAAAAGACAGTGTGAAAATAAACTCTTGGGAGCAGTTCCAGTGAGGTGCCATTTAAGATCTCCATGTTTTTTTTCCTCTGTATATCTCAAAGAAAACAAGAAATTTGTGACAGGTCTTAATCACACTCGTGAGGGGAGGGGAGAGAATTTCTGGGAATGAAATCTCTGAGATCCTGAAGAGTTCAAAAGGCAACGAAAAAAAAGAACTATATGAAGTAGCTAAAAACAAATTGGTGTGAGGTAATGGCATTTAATTAATCGAGCAGAATTGGGTCAACTGTGCCAGACAGTGATTTCATTAGAGTGATTTCATTGTGAGTTCCTTGAATTTTTGTAAACAAATATCAGCCAGGATAATGTACTGTATAATGCCAAGGTGAGACGGTCTTGCCATCAGTGGCCAACATTAAGAGGAGGGTCCCTGGGATTTCCATTGTAGTGATGGGAGATGATGCATGGTTTCAGGTATCTGTCATCAAGGTACATGTACATGTACCGGTACATATATTACGTACACAGGATACTTCTGGTGTCATGTGTGTTGTTGCTGATCAGTATATGTTGGAACAAGGTACTGGTATTGTTAAGGGCCAATGCAATGTAAATTGTTTTCAATATGCACCACTGTGTCTCAATTAAAGAGACCATTAAAGTACATGTATTTTACATGAAATTATTGCACATTTCGTCGGTGTTCTCACGAAGTGACAAAAACCCAGAAAATTAAAAATTTTTCAATTCGGGAATTTTCCTACCATTTTACTACCTGTGATCCAAAGAACAAATTTGGAGAGTTTTAAGGCAAAATGTTGTTTACTTTCCTATTACCTGTAAACAAACAACTAACAAAAAGCTTAGTCTCTGCGTTTCTCTGTTTTCACGTCGTGACAAAAAGTCACATCGTTTGCAGGGTAAATTAGAGACAATATATACAATCCCTGTACCAGTCTGTGCGTGTAAACGTGCGTGTGAACGATGTTGTACATGCACACCTGCGTGCGTATTGGAATGTAACCAAATGTAACAATCTTCCTCAAGTGCGTATTTTTTTCACAAAGTGACAAAAAATGTGAATAATGCAATAGGAAAAAAAAAGACCTCCAGGTTTTTCTGTTTGATGAAGTGAAAAACAGCTTTTATTGGTTTTTATTGATGAATTATTCTTTATTTAAGACAATGTATCTGGAAATAAGTGTGGATTAGCATTTTCCAAGTCTCACATTTCATGACTCTGTAAAAAGTTCCTCAATCTGTAACATAAAAGTGATCCAAAAAGTGTATGGAAAAGGCTCATATTATCAAACACGTTTATCTCGGATTGTCTGTTTGCCAAGATTTTGAGGTTTTTATCACTTTGCGAAAACACCGACGATTTGTGTTTCAATCAACTTTATTTTTTGGTTTGCTATTTTGATCTGTATTTTGGGGCCTGTTTGGTTTTTGTGCTAACAGGGATAGCATCGTCATGAGAAAACCTATGATGTAATCCGAGGCACTAAACCTCAGCGTTGGTTAATTTGTGTGCAAAAAATTGCTTCACAGAGGAACGCCGCTATAACGAACATGACAGGGTCCATGCTAAATGTTCGTTATAGCAGTCGTCCGGTACAGTGAAATTAACTGCCAAACGTTTCGTTGCCATGTTGAATAGCACCCACTCTTGTCTGACTGAAGTGCACCCTCTTGTGGTACTATGATTCGCTATTTTTGTGATGTTTTGCCATTGCATTCGTTGCATTTGAGGTTTCTAGAAATGTATCTGTTTTAATTATTTTTATTTTTTTATTAAATCTTGAGTTACAAAATTGATATATAGTTTATCCTAAAAGTCATGAAGCTACCGCTCAGGATTGATCTCTGATGCATGCTGTGGCGAATCTCGGTTGATTTGCAACTGCAGAATGTTCGGTAGGTTTTGTGCACAAAATATTGGGAGCTAAGGACGATGTTCGGTACAGCCTAATGTTCGATGTAGCGGTGTGCGGTATAATGACGTTCCATTGTATACCTTGCTTGGGTGATGTTTTGGTTTTTATGTAAATTTCCACATTCATCAGCAAACTTATGATGCCATTTGTGGAAATTTCTATGGCACACGATTGGTATCAGCTCACAAAAATTGTGAGGATTTTTTATGAATTGCTGTCCTGAACTTTCTCTTCAGTGTTGATTCATTGTCATGTACTTTTAGGTACTTGGCAAAATGCCCGCAACCAAGTGTCCCTCAGAAATGTTTTTTCAGTGAAGAAATTTGGGGTGTACAATTTGAACAGAAAACCCATTAATTTCAAGGTGATGTTAGCAATGGAATTATCTGTGAAGCCCACATATTCCAATGCCATCAAGCATGAAGGCACACTCAGTGAACCTCTACTCCCTAGGTATGATGTACATGTATGTATGCATCAGACAGTGTTGTACATGTTGTGTGGACTATGGTGGTGCGTATCTACCAGGAAACCCTCCATGTTGAGATTGAACTTTGTAGAGTTGATGTTTACTCGCTATCTTGAATGGCTATTCAGTAGTTGCACGACCTTGCCAGTTGTTAATTCAAACCTACTCTAGGTTTTCAGCCAACTGAAGAGTATGTTTGGATTGAAAACAAGGGTCCTCCAATTGAACTCATTGGTGATACACTGAGATCAAGGATTTTTGTCTCTTCTGGACTGAAAATGGCTAGTTTTGCTCTACACTTTGTAAACCCTTTTTGGTCATTGCACTTTAATTTTAATTCAAGAAAAACCTTCATCCCCACAGTCCAAAAAAATAGCTTTTCAAACTAAGGAGTTTGTATCTAAAAAGTAAGGTTCAGATGAAAAATGTTGAAGGACCTCACTTCTCAGATGTTTTTAGATATCTGGAGAGGAACAATTCATACGGATGTTGATGCCAAAATATTGGACAATTTGGGAAATGGTGGACAACCTGTCAGATTATGAGATTGGCTTGAGTTGGCTGTTGTTAGTGCCTAGAACTGCAGTGTCAAGATGTTTCCGTCTCCCCAGGGAACTTATTTTGGTTCTTGATGATGTTTATGGGCCCAATGAGCAGGGATATTAATGTTGCAGTGACCAAGGAATGATAACATTGATGGACAGATGGACCGTATTAATGACATGTTCATTCCATTGCATTTGACTGTAGAAATGGAGGAACTAGATGGCGATGAGGTCAGAGTGTCTTACAAAGGACAATTTGCTGAGCGAGACATTGTACAGGTGAGTACAGGAACTAGACCTTCCTAGCAGGTAGATTTTCACGTGCATATGAATGGAAACCTTGTACAATGGTCCAGAATGACTTGCGAACGGAGTACCGGTATGTTGGTATAACATCTTCATTTATTTGTGGCATAGTTAGTCATGTTCTTGAGCAAGACATACATTGTGATTGCCTTTTTATGTCCACCTAGGAGTATAGATGAATACATGTACCTGTGAAAGCACACAGTTTGCTAAGAGCAGGAGATATTCATGTATGCTTATCCCTGACAGACAGCCAACAGCTAAACAAATTTACATATTTTTTTCATGTTGATCACACCTGAAATTTTCTGAACAAAGGTGAAATGAATTTCGAGCCCTCTATGCCTGATAAAGAGAGATAGCATTGTAAGTTAATCTAGGCCTCACTGAATGGTTCACCGTGGCATTGTACCCTATTTGACCAATATTTTTCTAGTTGCTATAGAACCAGAGAGCCTCATATAAAAGGTGGAACTCATAGTGCTTTTCTGGTTTTTTATTCTCTTGGGGATAACAGTTTGTTCCATTCAGAGATTTTGAGGGCGGAGACAATGTGGTGGTGAGCCAGGCTCGCCTCGCCAAGGAAGTACTCGCCGAGATACCTGATCAGATCACGTTGTACATGAAGATGCGTAACATCAAACCCCGCCCACCTCGCTCGCCGAGTCTTGCCAGTCATGCTAGTCATCAGAGTTTTCGTACTTGAGCTGTGTGAAAGCTGCTGACAAACCTTTTTGGCCTTGTGCTGAGAGAGATTTAAATATATTTCCATCCTTCAGAATCATTCAGTCCTTCCATTTGCGAAGGTCCTAATTTGCTATAAGTCAGGGAACCAGATTTGAGTGTTAGGTACACTTGTCAATTGGGTAACCAAGTGTGAAAGTTGCCAGCCAGCCTGGTACCTGACCAGACATTTACATGAACATCAATGCTGAACTTGAGCACACTTCGTAGTTACAATTACTGCACTAAGACACCAAGGACACACCATATTATACTAATACTACTAATAATGGCAATGCAGCATGGGTTGTTAAGGTCAGCTGAGAGATATTAGGTTGTAGCGCCGTGGGCGTATTTATCTGTAATATAATCCATTCTGAAGATGTTTATAATGAAACAGTGGTGGAGGTTACACTTAATGGATTACATGCAGTGGAAGTCATTTGCATTATGCCTGGGGACAGATATGGTTTGCACATAAATTCTGACCAGTGGATTGAACCAAAAGAGATTCTGTGAGAGACCAGATATTTTAATGGCTCCGAAACGCATCATCTTAGTGTAAACTTAGTGTAAATAGAGGATTCGTGTGGCCAGATGCAAATTCATTGCAGCGCTTGTGTTCTTTTTGTATGTGTACACTGCTTTTATTTTGAAATCAACCGTTGTCTTGGGAAACAGTTTGCTCGGAGTCTTTCTTGTTAACCAGTACAACTTCAGAATGTGATCCCCTAAGTTTGTGTACAGGATGCAAAAGCTGAATCTGTTAATTTGTGACTGTGGATTGAGAATACACATCCGTCACTTTCTTGGAGTGTCCGTCAGTAACACAAATAATTGCAGAGGCTGGTAATACAATACTTGTAAGTTTCTAATGTCAAATTTCTGCTCAAAAGGTAGAAACCTGACTCCATAATGTAGTTTAGAAAATCACACATACTTTTTATCTTCCTTCATGTATGCATTTCTTCCTCTCGCTGTAAGGTCAGTTCATACTTGACACAAAAGCAAACAGAAACAAGATTTTATGATGTCGGGTCAAACATTCATGCTACAAATTATCCTCTCGCTGTAAGGTCAGTTCATACTTGACACAAAAGCAAACAGAAACAAGACTTTATGATGTCGCGTCAAACATTCATGCTACAAATTTACAAAAGTTGAGCACAGTTTGACTCAACCGAATTTTGCAGCAAACATTCCTATTATGTCAAATTGGCTTGGCTGTCACATTCGCTTGGAGTAGGAAGCATCTTTTACAATGTAACATTCGGAAATTTTAATATATTGTGGGTGGAAAAGCCTCCCAGATGTCCATGGTGCACTATGCTACGTAAGGCATCTATCTTTCCATAACACTCTGTTGTGATCCCATTGCCCCCCCATGAGGAAGGTAAAGCCCTCATTCGGCAGCAAACTGGTAACCAGGGATCAATTCCGAGGCATTTCAAGCAAATTAGTGATACGTATGCCCTCTTGTCTTTTTTCTTATCTGTTTATTCCCTTTTAAAGTTTTAATTTTGTTTATTTCGGGGGAAATTACTCCCCTACCCCTGTGATGCTAATGCTAGCTGAGGACACAAATTCATTAGATCTTGAGGCAGGCATTAAGCTGCTGTCTTTGGCAGATGTCATCGGCAGCTATTCAGCATGACAAGTATTTGTTGCCTGCAGCCTGATTGGCCAGGTAACAACAGGCCCAAGGGAGCTATCGAAGAAAATGTAAAAGGAAAGCAACATGCAGCAGTTGGATCAAAACACGCAACCCTCTCGACCAAATTATGCTGACCAGTCTCTGAGCGATAATAGAGGATTTCACTCAAAGGTACAACCTTGTACAGAACCCCCAAACAAAAAAAATCAGCTTATAAACAAATGAAAACTACTCACCCTTGACCCATAAGGAAGCACCCTAACTACCAACTCAGCATTTTTATTTTTCAGTTCAGACTCCGGTACAGACTGTACAGGAAGTACACCCCAGGCAGTCAGGATTCTACGCATTGATATGATGCCTTGATATTTGTTGTTTGAAGCCAGTCACATCCTTATTTTGTTTGCAGTATCTTGTGTTCAGTCCTTGACACAGTCTAAGCATTGTCTGTCAGGGTATGACTTTGCAGATTCTCATTTTGTCACCAGCCTTGAGATTTATTTTACCTTGTTCAGGCCACTTGTCGATTTTCCAGGTTATATTTTCCCAAATTCTCATTGCAGCTTTGAATTGTCAAGTCATGCCATGGGCTCTAGGTATTTAAGGCAAAGAAAAAATAGAATCTTGTCTTTTTTTGAAGACGGAGGCATTTTTCCTGCAGATTTTGCCAGGATGTTGGAAGGATGTAGTGTCTCTTCCTCATACTTGTGTTTCAGAATTAGCTTGTATCGTATTAGGTGTTAAACTTGCAGTTAAGATACATCGATTGTAAGAAACAAATAAAAACTTAAAGCATATTACAAATTTAGTTTTTAAAAGTGAGAAACTAATACTGTTTGAGAAATGTGTGTCAGTTTTGGTCGACTGATACTTTGACCGTAACAGCTGCATGAAATTGCAATATAGGTTATCATGAATGGCTTTTGAGTGGGTGTCCAAAATATGACAGGAAGTCACAAAGTGGATGTCCTGAATGCTGTAATATTACCTCTTTTACCTGTGCTGTACGGCTGCTTATAGCCACAGTAAAAAATTAAAGTGGCCAGAGCAATGGATATTGTGGCCACTCTGTGCCATACATGTTTAATGGCCACAGTGGGGTACGTGGAAGGATCAAGAACCAATTTTCAAGGGCCATTTCTTTTTGGGGGGGGGGCAAGTATTTGGGGATTTCCTTAGGTGTATTTTTTTGAATGGCGAGGCTTAATTTGGGGGGGATTTGGAATGAAGGGATACAAAATCATTCCCATTGTGGATACGGCCATGTAAACGAATAAGGTGGCTGCAGTGATGTGGCGGTCATGTTGTGAATGCAGCAGCCAAAAGATAAGCATGATATGCTTATGCTTATGGGTAGACACGACTTCAGTAGTGATTGTAAATATGGGCATTGTGCCCTACTCTTTGTTTTTACAGTTTCTGTTGATTTTACAGTGATCAAAGAGATTGAATAGCACGAGCCTGATCTTGAGTTTCGATCACTGTATGCATTGTAGATTCTTTATTTGATATTTGTAAGTGCTTGCTTTCTTGTTTATTAATTTTAATCTATTCTTACGATTGGAAATGGGTTAAACAGGTCAAACGTATTGTTTTATTTTATTATTTCTGTTCAAATTCTCATTAAACATTCAATTTAAAATTGTTGGATTGGAGACAGCGCTTCCCCAGTAATGTAAAGTTATCAAAATCATGAACATTTACTTATCCAACATCAAATGTGTATATATTTTTTATGGCTGCATTGTTTTTATTTCTGCAATGATGAATATCTCTATTGGGGATTAAAATCACGTGAAGTAAAAGGTTAAATGTTACAATAATTATCTTTTCACAATGCTCAATTTGTAATTGTATAATTATTTTATTGGCATTATTTTTATAGCAAATGGTATTCTTTTTTAAATAATATAAGGGAGTGTAGAATATTTTCAATTAAAGTTATAAAGTTTTTTTCGCGAGGCGAAATATCCACGTTCACTATCCATCTCAATTCGTTTTGATTATTCTGTGCCATATAGTATCAGAATTCACCAGCTCACTTATGAGTTGAGTCTTATTCCTTTGTTCCTGAAAGAACTCCTGTGCTTTTTTTGTAAATTTGGGTAGACAATGAAAAACTGGTTCGAAAGTGTGTTTTAACGACTTCACCCAGTGATATACTGAGATTTGTACTCCTGAATGACAATCCCCAGGTTTCGGGGGAAAAGAGACATCCGTTGTTAAAACAGCTGACCGATTTCTGATCCAAGTTCAATACCAAAAAGTGCCAAGTTTATTTTTCACTCCTCTCGGTCGAATTGTTTGCTCTCCCTTTTGAAGGAAAAGTGCTGACTGGTAATTCTGTGTAGAATTGGTCCAAGTTCGAGGACACTGTGAAATTCAATACAGATCAGAAGCACTCTCGTATCAAAAGGCCATGGCTGAATGACTGGCTTCGGCAAGGTGTAAAACACGCGTCTATGGGAAATGGCTGCAGCCGCTCGACAATGGCTTTCCATAGGTACATGTGTCATTTCCAGCCCCACTCGTAACATTCTGCTGAAACTATGAAAGCAAAATTGTGTTAGCGTCTAGGAAAGCAACTGTAGTTTGCCGTAACTTGGTTGAATAGGATATCAGTTCCATGAGTCATTGCATTGCAAACTGTCAAAAGGAAACAGAAACCCAGAGTTTATACTAAAGTAGGCCTATGGGTTTACTATTTCGAGTTTCATTAGTTAATTTAACTTCTCTCCTACGTATACTCTCGTCGGCGTAAAGTACCGCCTGCATTACCATGCAAGCCTTAATCTCTTGTTCTTATGCTGAATAGCTGAAGTTTCTAGACAATGGCTGGAGTTTCTGGCACAAAGGAGAAGTATATCGCACCCGTCAGCAGGATGGGGTTATCCTAGTGCGGATGTTGATAACGATGGAAGTGGCTAAAATTTGGTCCCTCGGCGGGTCTACCTAACCACTATAGCGAAAGTTAGGATTTCCTGACAGTCGATTGGAAGTGGGAAATTAACTTCGAAAGTCTTTAATTCTATTCAGGCAAACTACCGGGGTGTATTGAAACAGAAATTGGTTCAAGTGCTCAAGCCTCGGCCTGTCGATGACAAAACGACACGTGTGCGGCCCTCCCGAGTTGTCCCCGTTTTCCTCAAGCCGTGGCGTTAAGATGGGGGCATACCCCCGGCGAATGTCCGTGCGCCCCAGGTTGTTCCACCCCCGCCATTCGGAGTCTCCAAAATATATAAACCGCGGTTTATTTGCTTTCAATGCCCCTGTGAACATAAAACTTTTGCAGCCTTCGGAAGCCCCCCAAAATTTCACCGCAGTCGCTGTCCTCGGTGGTGGCTAACGCGTGGGTTTTTTTTACTTTGTCCCGTAGAAAAGAAGATAAACCAGTGGTCAGGCCAACGAGGATACTGAAGCACTCTAAAGTTTTCAATATAAAATAATGTTTGTGGTTGTCATCTGATATTGTTTACCATGAGGAAAGCTTGAACCTGCGTCTCTGAAACTAGAAACAAGTTTTCGGTTTCATCTTGAGATCGTTTTCTCCTGTGCATTTCCTGAATTTCTACTTTGCTCTAATGGGAATGCATCACTTTTTGCAGTCACGCGGAGTTTCAGTGCTGGCTCTCAGTGTCCGACTCTTTAGTGTAAAAGAGCGAGCCGACTTTGATAGAAAGATGTGATCCAAAATTTACTTTGAACGTGAAGGGAAAATGACCTTTTTATGAAGAGAGACTTACCGTAAATTAAGAACCACACTGACAGTCGCAGTGGTACCTCACCGCATTCACCTGAAAACAGACAAAGTCAATCAGCGTATGCATCTTCCTAGGGATGCATCAAGTGGCGTAACCAGCGGCCCCCCCCCCATTTTTTTCGCAAATAATACCTCATAGGCGAGTACGAAAGAAAGTGATCGGTATTATTTTTTTATTAAATATTAGCACCAACACCCTAAGGAAACAACGCTTATGTTTTTCTCCCCCAACATCATGTTAAATGAGCCCGAAGCCGTATTCGCTTTTGAATCCTCCCCGTCTGGACACCAAAAGCTGGATACGCTGCTGGATGCATCTTAATCTTGTCATCACTTTTCAGGAGCATCAACAAAACGCATTTATTCTTCTGACCAATGCCCTCCAGACAGCATGCGGAAAAAAGGTTGATCGCTTATCGACCTTTTTCCCAGGTTCATGAAAATGTGCACATGCTGTAACCTCTTCTATATAAAGACTTATAAGATTGTGTGTAAGTACGTTTGTAAGATCGTGAAAAGGGACTCCGAAATATGATCCCTAAATGAAAGGGAGACCAAACTATAGTCGGTTAGCAACGGCGACGTCAACTTTGTGGAAAGGGCCCATCAGTCCAAAATGTGGTGTATGACGGGCGCATGGGCGTGGTCCAAATTTTCCAGGGGTGGGGTGCAAAGTATTTTTTCCGGGGTGATTTCGGGGAGGTAAAGCACTCATTATCAACAAAGTTCGTTCCCTTTCATTTTAGTTGGGTTTTTTTGGGGGGGGCGGAGATAATTTCTTTCGTCGTTTTTCTTTTCTTCGTTCTCATTTTTTTTCTGAAGGGAGAAGTATTCCCCTTCGGGACGTCTATGGTGGACGGGGGGGGGTTAAAATGTAGCGGTCATTTCTGCTTTAAAGTGTTGCTATGACGATATGCCGAATTTTTATTTTCTACCGAATGAGGCCGTGAGATCTCCATCTTGTTTTGAAATGACGGGGCAAATTGGTACATCCTGTATGCCACAAAGAGAATGAGTAATGGGAAATGAAGCATTATTTTGACTTCTGCCCTAGAAGTCTTGGAAGATCATCACTTCTTAGAAAATTCTGTGAGATCAAGTCGGTCCGATGAGGAATATAGGAAGGATTCTTCTATTTGATTGAAACTGTTACAGGGGCTGAATTGAGTTCTGGGAAATGAAACTGAGTGTCAGCTTCCTGGACTTATTTGCAGACGAAAAATTTTCAGCCTATTATCAGTTCTATAATGCTTAACTCAATATTAGAGCGTTGGCAAAATTACACACGAATATCTGTAGACTATTGAATCTGTGAGTAGGTCACAATATAAGGCCGTGTCCGAATCATTTGGCTGCGGCTTGAAATTACACACAAGTCCGTGGTAGTGGCCGCGGCCTGTTCCCATAGAGTTGTGTGCAATTTCTGACTGTAGCCGAGTGAATCGGACATGGTCTATAAGGCTTTTTCGTAATTTGACTAAAATCTGGTACATAGAGTTAGCTGATTGCACATAACATAACAATTTGGATTCCCCAGACTGAAGAACTGTTGCATACCTCAGGGGATACTCTTAAACGATATGGGGCCGATGAGTCCCCCCCCATGTCCAATCCCTGTACATCCCCCCCCCCCCCGAAGTTGTAAAGAATTCCTGAGATTCCGACCAAACAATGACCAACACAAAGGCGGGGGTTCTCTCCGCCCCATATCTTGCATCATATGGATAGGGGTTTGGGACAAGCTTTTGCATAGCGACCACCATCTCTGGAATGGACTGGTTCCTTTGTGCCCTTCTTATCTATTGAAAAAAGTGTATTGGTGCAAGGTGTCTCTTATGTAACTAAGCAAAAGTTTGCCCCGAATCACAAGCGCCGTTTCCCAAAACTCAACTTCGTCTCCGTTTCAGGCTTCGTCCCCGAAACCAATCCCCGGTTGTGGGCCTGGATTACGGTAATTTTTGGCTCTTTTGCATCCTATTTGATGTTTTGTGGCACCATTAGACTAGTTATTGCGCTTACAGCTTCAAAGTCGGGTAGAAAAAAAAAGTTGAAACCTGAGACGGAGCCGAATTGAGTATTGGAAAACGGCCCTGGTATAACGACAGTGTCTTTAGTATGAAGAATTCAAATTTTTTTGTTCACGGGAATTTAAAGAACCCATTGTACCGGATTTTATTCAAATTTAACTCGCAAAAGGCTTATTCAAGTTGGGTGAACAAGGTTAACTTGTTCCCAATCTGTCTAGAGAATTGAGGAGCTTTGCTGTTATTATAGCAAATGTGTGCATTAGAGTAGAAATAAAAATGCTGCCCCGGTATACCATCGCCATTCTAGAAGAAAGTCTTTGCTCGCGTGCACAACTTCGTTTGTAAGATAATCGGTCCCTGCTTTCCAATAAGCCCGGTGGTTTCATGTGTCACGCTGCAGCAACGTCACTGATTCCACGTGATGATGGTGAACGCCCCCTGAGCCCTGAGTGATGCGTGTCAGATACATATACGCAGTATTGAGATGGGGGTTAAACTCGTGCACACTCCGCGTCCGTGGCACTTGTCCCCTTCTGCGCGATACTCTTCATTCATCAACAAACCGTGTAAACTGTAGCGACTTGTGGTGCAAATGCTCTTGGAAGCCATAAATAGCTATCTCTAGAAGAGTGCACTGTCATTTTTAATTTGTCTCTCAATCAATGTGACATACCGTTTTCCGGGCGATGGCGCAGGTCGTGGACAAAATGAGCGCGGAAGTTCGCTCGGCCGCCTTTTGGCGCGCCTGTCTGGCGGAATTTATCGGAACCCTCCTCTTCATTTTCCTAGGCTTGGGCTCCACCGTAACCAAAGCCCCTGACCTTGTCAGGATTTCCCTGGCCTTTGGTCTTGCAATCGCAACCCTGGTGCACTGTACCGCACACATCAGCGGTGGACATCTCAACCCTGCCGTCACAATCGGCTTTCTGGTCACCCATGCTATCACCCCCTTGCGAGCCATTGTCTACGTCTTTGCTCAGGTGCTTGGAGGTATGGTAGGCGCTGGCATCCTCCGGGGATTATCGCCCTCCTACTGGAGCGGAGGCCCCACGGTTCCTCAGCAAGGTGTCGAGGAGTGGCAGGCTTTCATCATGGAGATATTGCTCACCTTCCAGCTAGTCTTCACCGTATTTTCTACTGTAGATCCGGACCGTAAAGGCTTCGCCGGCTCTGGGCCACTGGCTATAGGCCTGTCAGTCGGCCTTGGGCATCTCGCTGCGGTCAGTATTCGTTTCTTATCAGAATGTGAACTTTAATTTGATTATGCGATTGAGACCTCAGCAAGTAAAATTCAAACACTAGTCTAATCCCCGTTTGTTTGTTCTTTTTTGTTTACTTGCGGCCTAAGTTTGGAATTCAGGTGTGGTTAACGTCTATTACGTACTATCGGGCTACTCCTTTTCTGTCGAACGTCACAAATGTTACCAGCAACTCTATCAAATTTCAAATATTTCACAGCAAAAGTCCTTGTTTGTTTGTGTCTTTTTGTCAATATAGCATTAACCGGGACCATTAAAAATGGTGGAGATATATATTCGATATGAGTGAGGTTACTTGCAAGTTGCGAACATAATTATGAATGTAAAGTAAATATTACTTATTGTGTGTGAAATAAAATAACACAAAAATTAATGGTTATAGGCCTATGACGCCCATATCCCCAGGCCGCATACATGTCTTGCATGCGTAAATTTTTCTAATGGTCCCTGTTAATTAAATTACAGCCATGTAGTAAATTTCTATCTGGTTTTATTCGTCATTTTTAGTGATAGCATGTTTGAAGAGCAGCATTCCTTCGTAAAAATCCTACGTATGCCATTGCAGACATTCTCCGTCACGTTCTATACAGAACAGAAATTGGCAACTAAAAGGAATTACCTGCGAATTATAGTATTCAAATAAGCTTACTTCAGCAGGCCAATACGGGCACATGTGAAATGCCGAGATTTAAGATATATGCATGCCCCGTACATACGGCACTGTGACGCAGTGGTTCTGACCGCTACCCTTAAGCTTAATTTAAAATTACTGCAGTAGAAAGTATATTAAATAAGTTATCAAAAGGAAAAGCAGCGCAAACTATGTATGCGATGCCACTTTGTACGAAAGATGTACGCAATATCAACGACTATCCCACTCCCGTGCCAATGATTGTAACACCCCCCGTACCCTTTACAAAGCTATTTAAGTACATGTATTATGAGTTAGGTGTTTTACACCATGCACTGAAGCCAAAATACACGACATTCAAATGAATGGTGCCCACACGAAACGATTAAACATTGTTATTTGTGTTTATCTTTTACAAAGAAGTTCGTACCTCGGAAAGCAGGGCAGTGTGGATGGCACTTGACCTATGATCATCCGTGCGATAACTACAAGTAGAAAAATGGTTGAACGCACAAGAATTACAATGATTGTAAAAAATACCAGTCTTGGCAATCACAAACTGAAATGCTGTACATGTAATTGTTTTCGAGTGTTTGATTTCTGAGGTTCATAGTCGAAGTCAATAACCTGCGCAAAGCTCTTTGAACTCAGACGTGTTCAATTTACGATGATCGGAAAGTCCCTGGTTTGGAATTGGACAAATAAATCTTTAGTGTGCCGAGAGATGTACAGTACTCTGTCAGTCTACTGTCGTTGAATGAGTCAACCATCATTAGCAAAAGGAAGGAAGAAGCTAGAAATGGGATCCTGGCCCCGCTTGGAATTCGCTCTCGCACGAAAGTATTTCCCCAGTGGTTTGTGATTGGCTTAGCTCAACTGATTTACTGTAAGCCATGCGTTGGTCCCAAGTCATAACATGCCCACTATCTCATGTCTTACCGATGTGTGTGAATGATCACAATTTTAAATGTACTTCTTTCTTGCCTTACACACGGCATAAGCAGGGGTTGTAAGGCCTCTCCCTCCACACACATACACATCAAGTTGACTTAGGGCCTACATCGATTCCAGTTGAAGGCACACGTCAGATCTAAATGGTGGGGTTAAAGCCATTGTGTTATAATGATTTTCAGAGTGAAAAAAGTATACATGTATTCATTTCATAACGCCTCAGACCATTAAGCAAGATTTACGCAATTTCAAAGAAACAGCCCCCCTTCGTGTGTACCCACAAAGTACTTAATTGACGCCCACTTTAATTAACACAAATTCTGCTTGGACTTCTGTTGACCCTCCCCTACCCAGGTCGTGAGAGTCGCCCAGTGATGATTCATTTTGGTTAATAAGAAGGAATACTGAGTACCCACTTCTTGATAAATGATGTTTATTAGACAGAGAATTATGCCAGTCTTGACCTCAGTTATAATATACAATGTTGTTGGACAAACAGTACATGTAATCGTGCGTAAGTGTAACATGGGTTCCCCCGGCTTTATGAACGTCTACGGCCGACCCATTTTTAGACTTTGGTCATCTTCTATCTGCCAAGAATTACGTCACTGATGCTTAAAATCTGTCCATATGCAGGCCAAGCGAGCAACGGGAAAGCTTTGAAAGTAGGGTGTTGGAATTAAAATGCAACTCCTTCCGTGCACCCCCCCCCGTCTATCAAATCGTAACTGAGCCTGCAAATATAGAAATAACATTTTTTGTCACATTTTGTTTTTGTGTTTATAGATTGAAATTAGCAGTGCCAGCATGAATCCTGCTAGATCTATTGCGTCAGCAATCGTGTCCAGCAATTGGACCGCACATTGGGTAAGAATTCAACTGTGCATACCATTAAAGCCGCTTCATCCATACCTATATACATTTTAAATTATTCCCACAAAACAAAG